CAATATTTTAATTCCTGTTGGCACCCCTGCACAGCATGAACACCCAAAAAGCATCTCGTTTCTCCCATAGCTACAGCCTGGGATTCAAGTGGAAATCACACTTTGCTCTGACTCTCTCTCTCTCCAGCTTGCTGCTTTACTTATCACTGTCCAAGCTCTCTGTTCTCAATGCTGACTTTTGTCCGCCTCGCTACTTGCGAGTTGAGGAAGCAGCCCCACACATTTGTCGTCTCCCACCGAAAACCCTTCCCTTGTTCCCCTTGCTTCCTGGCTATTCCCCTTGCTAGCCTGGCTATTCCAAGAATGAGAAGCCTTGGTTAAATTTTAACCTTTGCTGGATGCAGGGATTAGAGGAGTCTCTGCATACAGGCCGTTTTTCACCCTCTGCCAAACTTATAACAATTCTGTAATGAAATCTGGTGGGAGGGTGGGGGTGGTTGTATGATCTTTCAATGCTTCCCCTCCCCAGTCCTATGATTCTGATCGTAAAAGGGGACTGCTAAAGGGGTCAGACCATTTGGAAGTGGTAGAGTATCTGAGGTCTCAGGTTCAATCCCCGGCATCTCCAGGGATGTCCCGTCTGAAACCCTGACGAGCTGCCAGTCGTGTTGACAACGCTGCGCTAGATAAGCCAATGGTCTGTGCAAGGCAGCTTCCTGTGTTCCTAGGACAAGCTTAACCTGGCAGAATTGTTGGGAAGAAAGACCTTTGCATGACTAAAGCAGATCTGGCCAAGTACAGGTGGAGGCAAACAAGCAGTTGGGATTTTGGAAACAGAATAGAATTGCCCTCAATCCTTCCTGCAAACGCTGGAACTTTTGGAGCCAGCTTCGCAAGCAGTCCCACAAGGGCCCCTGTCTGTCCTTTCTCTGGCAGAATCTCTAAATTCCCTACTGGAAAGACGGGAAACCTGTGGCCCTCCAGATTTTGTGGGACTCCAGCCCCCATCAGCTGCTGCCAGCCTGGTCAATGGTCAGGCATTATGGGAGTTGTAGTCTAATTAACATCTGGAAGGTCACAGGCTCCCCATCCCTGCCTATTGCTTTTGTGTAACAGGTTGGGCATATTCATATCAGCTGGAAAACACTTGTGCCATGGTACCTCTGCAGGCAGCAATCAACTCTCGTTATGGAGATTTGCAAAGCACAGGCTGTTCCATAGCTTGCGCAATGCAAGCAATTATCACAGCTCTTAAGTAAGTTAGGCCTGATGCAACCAATAGATTTGCCAAACGGTGCTCCAGCAGTGTGTGGCAAGGCAATGTTAATCTCTTGAGAATGGTACGAGTCGTCCAGTAAATCTTTTATTAACTCTGTAGCCTATGTGCCTATTTCCATTGCCAGACTCACGCATACACACGTCCCTGCCATCATATTTCTTTCAAATTTAATTTTGATTTGTGAAAGATCTATTTTAGCAAACTGCTGACAAATGGCAGCTGAAGGGAACCATATATTATTGAAAAGTTATCCGGCAATATAATGAAGTGCTTTCCTCGGATCAGCATTACTCCAGGAATGATTGCTCTGACCAAAAAAAAACCCAAACACCATTCTAATGAACCAAGATATATGCAGTGTGCTAGTTCACAAAGGCCTCGCTGTTAGTGGTCAGAAGAAACGGAAATCAAACATGGACAATCACTGCAACAACAACAGCCAAGGAAGACCCCCAGAAGTGTTGACAGAGACTCAGAGTTATGGATCCCAAGGGACTCATATAAACAAGTGAATCTCACCAGAAGAAGACAATTGCTAGACTTGCTGTTAAATATCAGGGAGTGTGGGACGTGCTGGGAGTTGGGTCAAATATTGCGGTTGTGCTCCTTCTGACTCCTGATCTTAGCGTTCTGACAGACATTCCAAAATCTTTCAGGCTTGTGATGAATCGACTTATGTGAGTCACACAAGCATTTTCTTTATTATCGTAAGAGCTGCACTCTTGCAAACTTTTCCCTCCAGAGTTACAATTCCCAGAGTTCCCTGGGATGAGGGATTGCCTGTTAAACCACTCTGGGAATTGGAGCTCCATGAGGGGTACAGGGTCTTCTAGCATCTCACAGCATCCTTAACAAACCACAGTGAATCAACTGCAATCTAGGAGGCAGGCAAATGTTGTCCCTATCTTCAAAAAAGGGAGACAGGGAGACCCAGGTAACTACCGAAAGGTGATCTTGACATCGATACCAGAGAAGGTCCTTAAACAGATAATTCAACAGTCAGACTGTGAGCATTTAGAAAAGGATGCTGTGATTACTAAGACCCAGCATGGGTTTCTGAAAAATAAGTTGTGCCAGACCAATCTGATTTCTTTTTTGATGGAATTACAAACTTGGTGGATCAGGAAAATGCTGTGGACACAGTGTATCTTGATGTAAGGCTTTTGACAAAGTCCCCCATGATATTCTCGCGAGGAAGCTGGTAAAATGTAGGTTAAATGGGGTAACTGTTACGTGGATTTGTACCTGGTTAACTGACCAAACCCCAAAAGTATTCATTAATGGTTCCTTGTCATCCTGGAACAAAGTGACAAGTGGGGTGTTGCAGGGTTCTGTCCTGGGCCCATTGTTGTTCAACATCTTTATCCTTGGATGAAGGAATTGAAATCAAATTTGCAGAGGACACCAAACTGGGAGGGGTAGCTAATGTCGCAGAAGACAGAATCAGAATTTAAAATGACCTTAACAGATTGGAGAACTGGGTGCAAGCTAGCAAAGTGAATTTCAATAGGGACAGATGTAAGGTTCTGCACTTAGGCAGGAAGAACCAGATGCACAAATATAGGATGGGCAAACACCTGGTTTACTAGAAGTACATGTGAAAAGGATCTAGAGGTCTTGGTGGACCACAAGCTTAACATGAGTCAACAGTGTGATGCAGCAGCAAAAAAGCTAATAGCCATCTGTGGATGCTTTAGCTCAGATTCATGCATTGCAGGGGGTCGGACTAGATGACCCTACATGGGTCCCTTCCAACTCTGATTCTGTGATCTAAGGGCTACCCAGAGAATGTTGTTTATAATGCCCCCCCTAGCATAAGACGTACCCAGAGGAACTCTCCTTCAGGTAAGAGACAGGCAAAAGTCAGACCGGCTCACCTGCCCTTTTGAATTTTCTACTTTATCTAGGAGCATACAGAGGATAATTAAGAAGCACTGGCAACTTATGTGAGCTACCAGGATGTGAGGAACCCCCCTCTGGTGGTTTTAGAAGGACAAATTCACTGGGACATACTAGTCCATAGAGATGTATATTCATGGCATCCATCTGTCTTGGGAGCCAGTGGAGGAGTACGCCTTTGGAAGTGAAGTCAAACAGTTGGAGAGTTACAGCGCCTGCTGTGGCTGTAGAGACAGATTCAGGAAACACATGCTTTATTGCAGCTGTCTCTACCACTGACTCAATATTTTTGGTACCCTGAAGACCTTTTCCGTTCTGTTTTCCAAGCTGAAAACAATCAGGTCATCAGTCCAAACCACAAATAAAATGGTATTTGTTGTCCTATGTCATTTTTTCAGATCTCCACATCCTGTTTTAATGGATTGTAAGCAGGGCTGCAATCCTGACCCCACTTATCTGGGATTTCACTTCTATGTGCATTTGAATGCAATGGAACCTTGGAATGGGAGCAAAGCTCTGCTCCCATCAGCAGTTGCTGCCCATCTTGTTGTTGTTTAGTCGTTTAGTCGCGTCCGACTCTTCGTGACCCCATGGACCAGAGCACGCCAGGCACTCCTGTCTTCCACTGCCTCCTGCAGTTTGGTCAAACTCATGCTGGTAGCTTCGAGAACACTGTCCAACCATCTCGTCCTCTGTCGTCCCCTTCTCCTTGTGCCCTCCATGTTTCCCAATATCAGGGTCTTTTCCAGGGAGTCTTCTCTTCTCATGAGGTGGCCAAAGTATTGGAGTCTCAGTTTCAGGATCTGTCCTTCCAGTGAGCACTCAGGGATGATTTCCTTAAGAATGGAGAGGTTTGATCTTCTTGCAGTCCATGGGACTCTCAAGAGTCTCCTCCAGCACTATAATTCAAAAGCATCAATTCTTCAGCGATCAGCCTTCTTTATGGTCCAGCTCTCACTTCCATACATCACTACTGGGAAACCAAAGCTTTAACTACCTATGGACCTTTGTTGGCAAGGTGATGTCTCTGCTTTTTAAGATGCTGTCTAGGTTTGTCATCGCTTTTCTCCCAAGAAGCAAGTGTCTTTTTAATTTCGTGGCTGCTGTCACCATCTGCAGTGATCATGGAGCCCAAGAAAGTAAAGTCTCTCACTGCCTCCATTTCTTCCCCTTGCATTTGCCAGGAGGTAATGGGACCAGTGGCCATGATCTTTGTTTTTTTTTGTGTGTTTGTTTTTTTTGATGTTGAGCTTCAGACCATATTTTGCGCTCTCCTCTTTCACCCTCATTAAAGGGTTCTTTAATTCCTCCTCACTTTCTGACATCAAGGTTGTGTCATCTGCATATCTGAGGTTGTTAATATTTCTTCCGGCAATCTTAATTCTGGCTTGGAATTCATCCAGCCCAGCCTTTCGCATGATGAATTCTGCATATAAGTTAAATAAACAGGGAGACAATATACAGCCTTGTCATACTCCTTGATTTTGAACCAACTGATTTTGAACCAATCAGTTATTCCATATCCAGTTCTAACTGTAGCTTCTTGTCCCACATAGAGATTTCTGCCCATCTTAGAATCATGGAATTGTAGAATCGGAAGCGACCCACACGGTAATCTAGCCCAACCCGCCTGGCAATGCAGGAATCACCGCTGGAGAATCTTTGGCAAATCACTCAGCATCCTCTTGCGTTGGCGGAGTATTCCCTTCCCCACTTCGCTCACCCTTAATCCGGCCCGCCCCGCCCCCTCGCGCGAACCCTTGTTCCATTCAGGATCAAAGGGCCGCTTCGGAGCCTTGCGCGCCTCGAGATTCCACCTCCGCTGATACGTCACTGGTTAATCATTGAAAAAGCTACTCCCGCTCCTAGGGAGCAGCCTGCGGACAGAGGCCCCGCCCTCTTCCGCCAACGCAAGGCCGAGAGCAGGACATCTGCGAAGCGCCCGGGCGGTGCTATGAGCGCCCGCCCGCCCTCCTGTTGCTTGCACAACCCGGCTGCTAGTTAACCGGCTGCAAGCATGGTAAGTTAGAGAAGGTGCTTTCTTGTTGCAGGTTCTTTGCACGGTGGCTTGCAAAGCTAGCTTAAGAGATCCCTCCTGGTGCAAAAGCGGCGGAGGCACTGAGGGAGGTGGAGCCGCTCAGGTGAAATAGGTGGACGAGTTAATGCATAAGCCAAGTTAAACGCCCTGCCCTTCTTTAAAGGAGGGGTGGGGCGGGAGGAAGGGTTTTTTGTGTGTGTGCTTAGGCTCAAGACTCGAAGATGGGGAGAATCCCAATGTCTTAAGGTGATACTCTCTTTTGCATTTCAACGGATCTCTCTGAAAGCTGTAGTATTTCTACGGCTACGACGGTTGTACTCTTGTTAGGCACACGGCCAGTCATAAAATACGGTGGTTTGGCGTCCTATAAGAACCGTGGCACCTTTGAACCCAGCAGAGCAAGGGGATGGGCAGTGGGGGGAGGGATGGAGAGACCGTCTGGCATTTTCTGTTTTTAGCTAGGGGGTGAGGAGGGACTAGCCAGGTTTTTTCCCCCAGGTGAAGCCTCCAGAGGGGCGCCATTGAGGTTCCCAGCATGTGTGTATATGCGCGCACAAATGCATGGGTGAAATAAAGCCTAATTTTGTCCCTGGCTAGGTGTAAATATTGCTTTAAGAGCCTTCAGCCTTGAGATTGCTGCTCCTGTTTTTGGGAGGGACTGAAGCAGACAGGTGAAAGAGGCATTGAAATCAGCCTTTCCCAGCTTTGGGTACCCAGATGTTGTGGGATTCTGTTGTTGTTTAGTCATTTAGTCGTGTCCAACTCTTCGTGACCCCATGGACCAGAGCACGCCAGGCCCTCCTGTCTTCCACTGCCTCCCACAGTTTGGTCAAACTCATGCTGGTAGCTTCGAGAACACTATCCAACCATCTCGTCCTCTGTCGTCCCCTTCTCCTTGTGCTCTCCATCTTTCCCAACATCAGGGTCTTTTCCAGGGAGTCTTCTCTTCTCATGAGGTGGCCAAAGTATTGGAGCCTCAGCTTCAGGATCTGTCCTTCCAGTGAGCACTCAGGGATGATTTCCTTAAGAATGGAGAGGTGGGACTCTAACTCCCATCAACCCTGACCACTGGTCTTGCTAGCTAGTTGGGATGATGGGAGTTGTAGTAAAAAAAAATCTAGGTACCCAAGCTTGGAAACATCTGGTTTAAAGCACACACACCCTCCCAAAAAAGGACTCTGGGAACTGTTGTTTGCCCCTTATAGAGCTTCAATTCCCTGTATCTTTAAACTACAGTTCCCAGGATTCTTGGGGGGGATGTGTGCTTTAAATGGATGGTGCATACACAGTCAATGTTTCATGTGTGAGTTTTGGGGGAGTGGAGGATGTTGTTGCCTTTTGGGTAATACATTTTGCAACTTTTGCCATCCCCAGCTGAAGCTTGAAAGGGAGTTGCTATACCTTTTTAAGTTCCAAGTAAGTAGACAAAGTAACTTCTGTTGTATGCCTGAATTAGCTTTTCATGCATCTGTTGTTTATAACTGGGTCCAGGAAGTTAGAAAATTGCATTTGTTGGTGTGACGTTCCCCCTTAAATGCTTTTGGCAGTCTGCTGTAATGAGAAGCATGTGAACTTTAATGGTTTGTGGAAAGCATGTGGAAAGCGTTTTTTGTTTCCTATGTTGGAGAGGAAAGGGGGGAAAGCACATCAGATTTGTGAGGCATTAAACATACACACCCACAGCCTAGGACTCATGGTCAGAAGCATTAGATAGGGGAAGCAAGCTGACAAGAGGCATGATACTCAGTGGGTAAGGAAATGGTTAAAGCTAGTGGCTGTCAACACCAAGGATGAAGAATCCTAGTAACAGGTTTACTCATAAGCCTGCAAACTAAAGTAAAACATCATAGGTTGGGACCAGTTGTGTTGATGTTCCACTGCAATCAACAGGGCTTGAGTTAGTCATGACTAACTTAAGCTCTACTGACAGCAGTGGGACCTAAATGCAACTCATGCAGTTTGGAACCAACCCTTTGCGACCTTTATAAATAGACAATTGCCAAATGAATTGGAAGCTGTTTACTTTAGGACCTAATTACAAGCAGCAAAGGGATTGCTAGTGGATACCTTGTTCAGACTTACCACAAATGCATGCTATCCAGATATTCTGGACCTTGGCTGCTCTCTCCGTTCCTAACTGTTGGCCAAACTGTCTAGGGGTAATGGGAAGAGGTGTCCCACCAGCATCTGCAGACTTAAGGTTGAAGGACACTGTTCTCTACCCATCATTTGTGTCTTCTGAATGTCTTCATGCTGGATGCCTGCCATTTTTAACAGTGGCACAACCTCACAGACCCTGCACAGGGATGGGGAACTTGCTGAACTCCAGCTCCCATCAGCCCCAGTCAACATGGCCAGTGATCAAGGATGATGGGAGATGGGGTCCAACAAGATGCTGCAGGTTCTCCATCCCTGCCTTAGCAGGTGAGGCCTTCTCTAGGCTTGTCTATATGACTTCTGTATGCATCCTTGATGGATGTAATCTCTCTCCATTTCTGGGCAGCATCTGAAAGTTGGGCAAAGCCTGCCAAATTAAGTGTGCTAGGAAGAGAATGTTGTCTTCAAACTGAATAGATGAAATCAAGGAGTGTCACTTTAAAATCCCATTCTTGCATTGTATGGCGAGGTTGCGTAATTAAAGTGTTGATTTGTTTAACCTATAAAAGGGTGGTTCAGTCCCTCTTTTTCCCCCATGGAAAGAAGTGTTTTTCTCCATAAGACTGAAAAGAATTGATTTATCCTTGCTTAGTCATCACTACCTTATCTTGTTGTTTTTTTGTCATGGTCCGGGATTTGCAAGAGTTGTGGCACAATCCCACTCCCAGAGACGTATCCCTTTCAGGAGTGGAGAGTGCTTTTTGCAGTTGCCTTACCTGAATTTGTTTTTAGCCTTCCATTAATTGCTGGAGTACTAACCACTTCCAAGGATAAAGTGGAAGAACCGCACCAGTGTGTGCTGCCTTGACAGCACCGACATCCATCTTAAAACTGAATGCGAGCTCTTGAAACATCCATTCACATGATAGAGGTGAACCCCTGTTTTCCTTTTCTCTGGTCAGTTGCCTCCTCCCTTCTAGCAGGCGGTTATTGGAAGAGCAAAAAGCAGTGGGCTCCGGCAGCCTCCCTTCCTCCTGTCCCTTCTCCTTTATTGTTGCTAAGATACCTTGTGCCAGCTTATCTACTGATCTCACTCAAAGGGCAAAGGCTGGAGCTTTATTGCACTGAGCAGTGTTTACTCAGTGCAGCTGCACTTCAGCAAAACAATTGGCTGAGATGAAAATGGGAAGAAACCCCTTTGAGTGACTCCCTGAATATTCCCTGCGGGGTGTAGGGGTGAGGGTCCTGAGACCCTGCAGATACTGTTGGACTGGAAACTCCCATCATACCTGACTGGTTGGGGCTGGCAGGAGTTGGTAGTCCGAAACATCTGGAGGGTGCCAGATTGAGGAAAGGCTGTTCATAGTCCTCCGTGAGCTTGCTGTTTTACAGTAGGGTGGCTCTCTAATGGTTGCTGAAGTGAATCTCCAACCATACCTGACCACTGGTCATCCTGGTGGGAGCTAAGGGGAATAAAACAACATCTGGAGGATCAAAGGAAAGCCCCCCTCTTTTGGGGATTCCAGCCTTGTGAAGGTTTCTCTTCCTCAAACTCAGCCCTCCATATGTTTTGAGACTACAGTTCCCATCATCCCTGACCACTGGTCCTGCTAGCTAGGGATCATGGGAGTTGTAGGCCAAAAACATCTGGAGGGCCGAGGTTGAGGAAGCCTGCTCTACACACTAGCAGTGTGAGTTACCTCATACACAACAGAAGCCTCAAGAACCGCATATACATGTATGTGTGTGTGTTTATATATGACCAGAGTCTTGAACAATCCACATCTTCAGCTGGTTTGTAAGATGGTCAAAGCAGGAACCTACCAGGCACCGCCTTAATGATGCTTCCCTGATCTAATATGAATACTGTTTTCATAGAATTGCAAAGTTGGAAGGGTCCCTGAGGTTCATCTGGTCCAACCCCCTGCAATTCAGTAATATGAAGCTGTCCCATATGGGGATCAAACCTGTGACCATCATCAGTCATCAGAACCATGCTCTAACCAACTGAGCTATTCACAAAAGCTTCTTTGTTGTCCTTTTAAGAAACCACAGTGGCGTCTAGTCCAAGCAAATTGCCCTAACGGGAAAGACAGGCTAATTACACAAATAGTTGATATTCAGTTATAAAACAATGTAGAGTAAGCCCACAACTTATGCAAGTTTAACTTGTGCACATTCAGCCTTGGTTGCTTGGCAAAAACAAATTCTTTGCTGTGTTTTAGTTGTTGAAAAGCACAACCCACCAGCATAGTGCTGTCAACTCATGGATTCTGGTACTTTAGGGCAAGTGGGCACTGCCCTGCCAACCTCAGTTGGTCCAAAGCCAGCCCCCAGCCCCACCCTCTTAACTGCCTTCCTACTTGCAGGGATGAAATTGCCTGCCAGCTTCCTCCACCTCAGCATCCATCTTGCCCTTAGAGAACTCTGCAGAGATGAGGAAGTGGTCCAAGCTAGAACGTGTTGACTCTGCCTGTCCTAGGCACCACCCCCACCCCCACCCCCTTTGGTGCTCTGCTAGCCCCTGTTCTAGAATGGAGCCCATCAATGCATGGGGGGACTGACGACAAAAAAACGAAAAGGCTTTACAAAAGGAAACAGGTTGGCAAGGCTTCTACAGCCTTGTTAAATGTTCCAAAATGTATAAAAGTTTATTGGAATGGTCAGTTAAAGACGAGGAGGTAAAATCCGTCATGATAAAGTGGGCAAGAGATCTAGTTCACAACATGTTATACTATTAAGGAAAACTATATGAAGATCTTCTACCATTGGTACATAACACCGAGTAAATTAGCAATAATGGACAAAAATAATTCAGACCAGTGTTGGAAACACAAGGAGGTGGGATCAATGTATCCTGTTTGGGGGACCTGTAAAAGAATGAGGGAATTTTAATTTATAATGAGTTGAAAAAGATGTTCAAAATTTCAATTTCCCCAAAACCTTAGGCATTTCTTTTAGGGATAATTGGGAGGGAGATTCCAAGAGACTTAAAGAAACTATTCATGTATGCCACCACAGCGGTGAGCGTTTTGATTGCACAGAATGGGAAAGTGAAACCATACCATTAAAAAAAAAAGATTGGCTGATTAAACTGATGGAATATGCTGAGATGGACAAACTGACACGGCAGATAAGGGATCAAGTGAAACAAAAAAATAGTAAAGATTGGAATATATTTCAACAATACCTGATAGACCACTGCAGAGCACTAAAAATTTTGACTGGTTTAGGTTAACTCTTGTAATGGGAAACATTAAATAGTAATGAAAAGGTTTGTTACCACTAACCTAGCTTTATTATGATACGCACTCAACCAAGAACTTTAAAAGACCCAAGTAAGAAGGGCAGGGAAGTCAGAGGTAATTAGAATATCAAAGAATCAAAGGAACAAGAATATATCTTTATTTTTCTTTATTATGATTTAGAATTACATGTTTATCAATAAGAAAACTGAAATTTTTCGTTGTGATTTCATGTTGAGAAAGCATTTCTGTTGTAAAAAAAAACTAATAAAGATGAATTAGCAAAAAATAAAAGTTCCCTAGCTAGCATCCCTCCTCTTCTGCAAAAATAAAACATAAAAAATGGAGACTACTTTTGAGTAGGTGCCTTGTGGATCTACAGTCCCACCAGCAATTAGCACAGGATGGGAATAGCTGGCAAGCAGCAAGTATGATACAAATAGTAGGCAGTGGGCTGTGTTGGGACACACAGTCTCATGACCTTATAAAAGACCTTGCAAGGCTATGGCTTGGCAAAGGCTGATTGTGCCTCCTGCTGATGACACTGCCTTACATAAGCCAGCCTATCCTTGGATCGCCATGGATTGGGAAGCTTGTTCTTGCATAATAATGGTGTGGTTTTTCTCCTCCTTCCCTCCACCCCAGCAGTAATAGCAGTTACATAAAATATTACCCAAAGTGTTTTGATTTATTATCCAAATTCTGGTTCAAACAAAATCTGCTGCAGACTGGGGAGGGGTTCATTGCATTAGAGAGCCTGCTTCCAATAAGTTACTGTGCTATGGACAACAGTACTGGCTGTTCCCGATTTGCCGCTCTCTGTCCCTCCCAATATCCAGGCAGTTTAAACGGCAGAACAAAGTAATGCAATAGCTTTTAACCATTAACCACAAACAGCCTGGTTAATGTGTAGCAGTGTTTCTCTCCCCCCATCCCCCTTCACTGGGAGCCAGCGTGGTGTAGTGGTTAAGGGCGGTGGACTTGTAATCTGGTGAACCGGGTTTGATTCCCCGCTCCTCCACATGCAGCTGCTGGGTGACCTTGGGCTAGTCACACTTCTCTGAAGTCTCTCAGTCCCACTCACCTCACAGAGCGTTTGTTGTGGGGGAGGAAGGGAAAGGAGATTGTTAACCACTTTGAGACTCCTCAGGGTAGTGATAAATTAGCAGGATATCAAATCCAAAGTCGTCGTCTTCTCTCTTCATATAAACATGGGTGCTTCCTATTTCCCAGAGAATAGCCGCATGCTTTAAGAAAAGCTTTCCCAAAGACAGAAAATGCACTGCACCCCAACAGCGCACATGATGTGACGTTGGAGGCATGCGTTGTGGTGCAATTTAGGAGAGCGTCTAATCAAAGACACCAACTGCATGACGCAAAAAACCAAATTGATAGCAACTTGTTGACAGTGAAAACGCCTAAAATCAGGATTCTGTTGCTAGTGTTGCTCTTTTCTCTAGATTCCAGGTAAAGTTGCCAAGCAGTGTGTACCGTTGTGTCTTCGAATCGGTGGTGCTCTTGTTCATAAGCCCTAGGTGTATAGCCTAGTGTAGCTGCCAAGACAGAGCCCAGTGAGTAGGGGATACAGAAGGGCTTGCAATTTAGCTTGTTGGCCAAAGGATGGGTTCAAACACCTGGACTTCAACTCCTATAAGTACTAGAGAGCATGGCCATTGGCCAGGGGTGATGGGAGCTTTGTCCAACAACACCTGGAGAGCTCCATTCCTCACCTCTACTGTAGGTAACATATACACTGGGCTGTTCCTAATGGCATATTACAATTTTTTTGTGGGGTTTCCCACAAAGAAAGAAAAAAAATGTAGCAAGACCCAAACGTTGTGAGTGGTAGTTGAAAGTGGGGCAAACATCTTGTCAGATGTTCTCACCCAGATGGTTCAATTGATCCAAAATAACTCTGAAACAAGTGAAGTATGAACACCTTACCCCAGGCATGGCCACACTTGGCCCCCCAGATGTTTTAGGACTACAACTCCCATCATCCCTAGCTAACAGGACCAGCGGTCAGGGATGATGGGAATTGTAGTCCCAAAACATCTGGAGGGCCAAGTGTGGCCATGCCTGCCTTACCCTATCAAACGGCTCGTGGACAAATCCCTTTCCACACCTGACCTGCTCCGACGGACGTTCTTTGGTTGCTCATCTGTTGCTCAGCTACAAGTCAAAGTCTACTTGCATGCATGGAACAAATCACCCTCTGAGCTTTCGGTCCGAATTACTTTTTCAAAATGGAGAGTTCAGATGTTTTGCTTTGTCGTTCGCTGATGTGCGCACTAGTTTGTTTCTTCTTCCAAGACCGATTGTCCTGCTTTCCGCCCCAGTTGAGAGTGTGCATTCCAAATGAAGCTTGTATTACGAAGTTCTGAAGGTGATCTTAAAGCTCTTGTGGCAGTTCCATTTTCTCTCTCTCTTGTTGTTTTTCCTAGGCGGGAAAAGCCCACAGACTAAGCGGCGAAGAGAGAGAACAACTGCTGCCCAATCTCAGAGCTGTTGGATGGAATGAGGTGGAGGGTAGAGATGCCATTTACAAGGAGTTCCACTTCAAGGATTTCAATCGGGTACAAAGAATAATAATATCCCCGCATCGTAGTTCTTTTGTCTGCATTTTATTTTAGGGAAGCTCAAGGAGGTTTATCTTCCCGCCGGAGTGGTACCTATTTATCTACTTGCACTTTGATGTGCTTTCGAACTGCTAGGTGGGCAGGAGCATGGACCGAACAACGGGAGCTCACCCCGTCGTGGGGATTCGAACCACCAACCTTCTGATCGGCAAATCCTAGGCTCTGTGGTTTAACCCACAGCGCCACCCACGTCCCCACCCCTCAGGGTAATAGCTTAACTTAAATGCAGTTTAAGCCTCCCCTTCTCTACCAAATTATTACATTGTGTACAGTACTGTGGTGTCAATGACTGTCCATTCTTTTAAACTCTGTAAGAGTCAATGACAAGCTTGTGCAGAGAGAAATGAGTATTGGTTGATATTTATGAAGTTCATCATGTGCGAACTTCCATGTGTGTGTTTTCCTAACTCACTCTTTGCATCTCGTGAGCAGGCCTTTGGATTTATGACCAGAGTTGCTCTGCAGGCAGAAAAACTGGACCACCACCCTGAATGGTTCAATGTCTACAACAAGGTAAGAGAGAACAGTTGGCTGTCCAAGCTTAGACAAAGCGGTCTGCGGCTGCAATCTTATAATATACACCCTTCACCTGGGAGTAAGCCCCGCTGAGCTCAACGAGGCTAACATTTTGAGTAGACATGAGTAGGATTGAGCTGCATGTGATTAAATGCTACTGGCTTAAGATCAAGATAACCAAATGTGCTTTCCATCTCCCCAATTCCCATTGTGTTTCCCTCCCCCCTTAAGCATGTACCATTGAGGAGCCTAGGAGAGGGGTGTTAACCCTCCCTCCAAAATGTCACCTACCAGCTACATTTTACCCCTGCCAGCCAACTTGGGCCTGTCCTCTTCCTTTCAAAGGTATGGTATTCTGCAGCGCCTTGACAGGGGGCAGTTAGAAATCCAGGAAGCTGCCTTAGACAGAGCCAGAAGATGGGTGCAACTTAGCTCAGTATAGTCTACCCTTGACTGGCAGCAGCTGTCCAGGTGTCAGGCATGGGGCCTTCCCAGCCCCAGCTGCAAATGCCAGGGACTTATGCTGCAAACAAGTCAGATTCTCTACTACTGAACTACAGTCCTCTGCCTGGGTAAACAACTCTTCCTTTTCCAATGCAAAAGAAGGGGAAGGAACCACTAGGGCTTTGCTATATATGCCTATAGCGTACTGTAATTCATAGTCTTCCTCTTAGGCTGCATAAAGGGAGGATCGTGTCTCTTGGCCAGGGCATCAGTATTTCTTTTTTCCACTTTAAAATCAGTGTTTCGCCAGCAGTTAAGAAGCAACAGAGCTCTTTAGAATTCCCCTAGATCCAAAGTGGATCCTTCTAATGTATGTGGCATAGATGAAGCCAGAGCTTTCCAAACACTGTGTTGGCTGCAGTGTGTAGGTGTGTTGCGCCAACGCTCCCCATGCTCCTCCCGGGGCCGGAAAGGGGTTAGTTCACTAGTAAAAACTGAACTACTGTGTCACGAAATGATGCAAAACTGAATTATACCGTGCTCTGAAATGATGCACGTCTAAAAGGCGTGTCACCAACATCAAAAGTTCTGGATTAAGCCTTAAGTTGTGCTGGTGTACTCTCTGGGGCCGAAAGTAAGAGATACTTCGTACAGCGGTACTAAACTTTTAAAATGTGCCCTACTTCTCTAGGGTGCTTGCAAACTTGATGTGCTTCCTGTATTCCCACTCAGCATGATGACTACATTTTTATTTTATTTTTTGTATTTGTAGGTTCACATAACCTTGAGCACCCATGAGTGTGGAGGCTTATCGGAGCGGGATATCAACTTGGCCAGCTTCATAGAGCAAGTGGCAAACACACTGGCTTAGAATCGGCCACCCTTGCCATCTACAGTCTTCGGTTGACCAAGGCAATGCCAAGGGAGAAGTGTGAGATGTTGATGCAAATAGTTTTTATCCAGTTGCTGACAAAGCCTTAGTATTAGCCCAGTGCATGATGGTACCCTGTCATTTTAAAAATCCATGCCATTGCATTATTTTGCCTCTTAGAATTCAGTGTTGCTACTCCGTAGTCTGTTCAAGCAGTATTATACCAGCACAGTAAAAAACTACCTTTGGGGTAGGCGAGATACCGTCCAAAACTGGTTTGAAGTCCATATCGTGATATCCGTTTCATAATTTTTGACCTGCCGATATATCGTGAATCATGGTGTATGTTTGTGCTATGCAAAAATCACATTGTGGGGACAACCGTGAAGCCAGCCAGTGCCTCTACATAGCTCCATCCTTTATTTCAGACATCGTGATATATCGGTCTATTGCAGTGTTTTTAGCTGGTGATAAAACCAGGTATCGCCCAGGCCTGCCTGTGATACAGTTACAGTCAACCTGGCTTGTGACTTAAGCAGTTTACAATAAACCTAACATCTGTCCCGTTACCCGAGTCTTACCTTCTTTCTGCTGAAGGGCATATTCTAGAACACCAATGAGCAGACTGAACTCAAACCAGGCATTTTCTCTACCAGGGCACGATAAATGATTGCATGCTTTTTGAGAAAAGAAAGGTGTGTGTGTGTGTGTGTGTGTGTGGGATTTTGAGGCAAGCCTGCCACCTTATCCAGCATCCTATTGGGTGGAGGAAGGGCACAGGACTGCCCTCCATTGCCATGTCCTCTTTTCAGCTTTACAGTTACTTCAATGAGCATAATTAAATGGTTAGAGTGTCGACCTGGGAGAGCAGGGTTCAATTCTCTACTCGGCCATGATGCTCACTGGATGACCTTGGACCAGCTACCATCTCTTAGCCTAACTTACCTCACAGGGTGGTTGTGAGGGTGAAATGGGAAGGAGGAACCATGTACACCACCTCGAGATCCTTGGAAGAAAAAGCTGGCATATAAATGTAATAAAAATGTCTCTCAAGTTTGAGGTGGGTGGGGTAGGGAACTAGGATGACTTTCGGATCCAAACCATTTCCTAGAATGTCCCATTTCTAGTTGTACCATGAGAGAAGGGAGAGAAGTCCCTTGAGAGGTCCAAGCTGTGATGTCAGGAGAACAGATCTAGTCTATGCTCTGGCCCCTGGGACCATAGGATTGCACCCTTCAGTAAACATCATCTGTGAGTGTTTGTCTCAAATACAGTGGTACCTTGGTTCCCAAACGGCTTAGTTGTCGAACAAATTGACTCTCAAACCCAGAAATGTTTCGGTTTGCGAACGTTTTTCGGAAGCTGAACGTCCTCTGCAGCTTCCGATTGGGTGCAGGAAGCTTCTGCAGCCTATTGAAAGCCACGCCTTGGTTGCTGAATGGTTTCAGGAGTCGAATGGACTGCCTGAATGGATTAAGTTTGAGAACCAAGATACCACTATACAGTGGTACCTCGGGTTAACTACTTAATTCGTTCCGGAGGTCCGTTCTTAACATGAAGCACCACTTTAGCTAATGGGGCCTCCCACTGCTGCCGCGCCACCGCTGCGCGATTTCTGTTCTCATCCTGAAGCAAAGTTCTTAACCCGAGGTAATATTTCTGGGTTAGCGGAGTCTGTAACCTGAAGCATCTGTAACCTGAGACATATTTAACTCGAGGTACCACTGTACCTGAAAAGGAAAATGGAATGTACTCTTACATTTTACATTTTTGTAAAACCAAGTTAAAAACAAATTTGGCAGCAGACCTGCATTTGTAATAATACTTGATAATTTGTGGAAGGCTGTACAATACTTTGGAAGGAAAGGCCCCAATAGGTGAGTACTTACTCTCTTAATTTGAAAAAAGTTTACTGGTGAATGCAGCTCTACATTTAAAAATCTTATCTGCTAAATGGAAAAGTCATCCCAACAATATGAAAAACACAACTATTTTTTTCTGCCCTAGAAATTTTTTATTTTAAACCTGGAATTGTATACATGATGCATGATAAAGTAAACATGGATTATGCGTTCAAAATAAAATAGTACCGAGACAGTATCCTACAGGATAATTTTTTTAAAAAGTGGTATGCAAACACATGTTCGACTTCCTGATTGGACTGCAAAACCCAACTCATTTCTTGCAGAAACTGACAAGAGTTTCATTCCACTCTAAAACATAATCAGAACTACTTGAAACACATTTCTGGGTGAATTATGCACAAGGATGTTATGGTCAAATGTTTCCCTTTCTTAAACAATGCAGAACTGTCAACTTGGTGAACAGCACACAGTAATAAGTTATCATGAGTTCTGTACAAGTCCAAGTTGTATGCAAAGCATTCTGGTTGGACTGGCTAGATTTAAAACTAATTCAGAAAGATGGCTATGGAGGGCTAAGCCAATATTCCCAATAGTCAAAAGGGAACATGTCCCGCGGAACAAATCAAGCCACAAAAAGGATTCTGTCATAATGGCGGAAAACAATGTGCTTCACAAATCTACAATTCTGTAAATTCACATTTGTGCTTCCTTCAAAGGAAGCACTGCTACCAAGTAGGAGGTAATGAAATATTTCATGAGACTAACCCAGTGAAGTACTTAGTGCTGTATCAAAATGGCTCAAGTCCCAACTGAAAACTCTGCTTTCAGCCTCACTTCAAGCCTTGGAAGAAGCTACTGGTGCCTGCTTTTCTCAGCTTTGCGCAGGAATTATAGCTGTTTTCTAAAAGCAAACTGTATACAATCAGAATACAAGTTACCACTCCTCCTAGTCAGCAGGTAGCCCAAAACACAGTTGTGAAGTCCTGTTCTACCTATAAATAGGAACGGGGAGAGGAATGTTTTCATTATACCTGAGGCTGATTCACCACTGAGGTTGCTTTCAGTGTAGTACCACAAAAGAGTTGATCACCTGTTGACTGACGGTATTCAGCTCCCTTCCTGGGCTTCCCAGGGGGAATGCTATCAACATTAAGGCAAACCTGTGAGTGCTCTTTTTAGAAATGTGCCTTACAGTCAACGCAGCACAAACAAAGCCAAACGGAGTCCGCTATTGTAAGATTACATTTAAAATGAAACAAAAAGTTGATGTTAGTGCTCTCCACTTTTATAAAAGCTCACAACCAGTTGCAGGAAGGAGAGCAGAGCTCTGGACTTCTCAAAATCCAATTCTGGCACCTAGGAATCGCAAAATCGCTTTCTAACACTGCTGAGAGTGCATTATTTTAAGCCAGAGCAAAACATTCAGATAACTGAATAAGTGTGTTGCCCTTGAAGCTGTTCCACAGATATGCCACAACTCAATAGGGCTGTGGGTGGCACTGTAAAAAAATCCAGGGAAAGAGGAAAGCAGCAAGATTGTACCATGGGAGAAATGAACAGTTAAGTACCTCATATCTCCCTTTCAGAGCAAATCCCACACTTGGTGAATTGGAAAAAACAAACAAACGAGTTTCTCCTTTCTCCTCTTCCAACACTTTCAGTTCTTTTCCCATGGCTCATCATTCAGCACAAACAGACAAAGAAGCCAAGCAGGAGGAAGGAAAGGAATGTATAGATTCTGAACACCTGAGAATGAGGGGAGTAGAATGGAGTTGCAGTGGCCATAAATATAGCTGTTCTGTTGAAGACTAGTAGTAGCAGCAGTGAGCAAGTGTGAAGAAACACAAGGAGTTAGTATTAGAAAGAAAGGGGGGAGGGAAACCACTTGACTCTGAAAACTCACATAAGCAAAATGGTGAACAGAGCCGATGCTTATCAGAAAGAGAGATGGGACAAGAACAGAGATCAAGCTGCCATATGATCTGCAGGAGGACCAACATTCCCTTCCCCTGGAATTCTTTAGAATACCATCCATCAGCGGACAAGGCACACAGAATCAGTGGTGGCCTGGAGACCCATTCACATGTGCTTCAGACGAAGGAGACATTTCCGTGCTGTACAGGCAGTCCAAGTAAGCACCAGCAATCTCTGAAATCATATTCCTGTCGGGGATGGCTTGGGCCATGCCATAGATAGCACCCTATAAAAGTCAAAACAAAAAGAAAAGTCAGTAAACGCGTCCAAGCTTTTTTTTTTTTTTGCAAACGTAAGACGCTCCTGCTGAAATTCAAACCAAAGCATCCCCTTTGAATTTGAGGGTCGTCTTACCAGGCCAGTGGTCTTGCCCTTGGGGAACTTCATGAGATCATGGACACATTCTTTGATGTCGCTCAGCAGCTGTTCAACCACCCCAGGCTTCGTGTGCACTTGGGTTAAGCAAAAATGAATACTAGGGAAGGAGATAAAAAGAAAAAAATTAGCTTTGTTCCCAATGGTGCTGTTCTGTTTCGCAGGCATTTGTACATATCCTTTCTTTTAATTCTAGAAAACTGCTGGTAGATCCAAAGAGCATCTTTCATCCATACACGATGCTCACCTGTGTGGAATACAGCAGCTGCTTTGGGTTTCAAACACAGATTGGAGCTGGCTGTAAATTTACATGAATGCAACAGGAAGCGTTGCTTCTCTGTGCTTCCTCTTTTTTTTTTAAGAATAATTTTTTATTAACCGACCAATCACATCAAATCAAACCAAATTACATAAATTCCAAATTACACAGCCGAATTTTAAATTTTTGTTGGGGGTACCCATATTTCAAGTTCTGAAGGGATCCAATCAACTTCTTGCTTCTTACTGCTGTTTTAATGTCCACAAATCTAACCTTATGGTGTTCACAGTACTATCCAGTCCTTTCTTATTATTTTTCCACATCTCTTGTTGTTATTTTAATATATTTTTCCTTTCTCTTTGTGACCTCTGATAGTCTCCGCAAGCTGGTTAGAACAGTTTGTAATCCTGCGTGGATATTATTTTTTTTATCCAGTAGCCATATCCAGACGTTTTCCATATAACATCACTTCCATACATCAAAACAGTCTTAGCGTCATTAATCTTCACCAATCTGCTTCCTTTCTCAAAACCTCTGAGGAGATTCACTAGGAATGCAGTCTGAAAAAAAATCCGTTCTTCCTCCCGGCTATAAATCCTTTGGCAAGATGGCGACTCCGAATTAATTGCTGCGCCATTCCCAAAAGCTCTTATTGCTTCTCGGTCTCCATAAAGCATACTTTTGGTTAAAGTTTATCTCCACACAGACCTTAAACATCCTGCTTGGGTCAGTTCAACTGACGGTTCTAATGAGGAGGGATTCTTGTAAATCACATAGAAGGAAAGTAAAAAAGGTCCCCCCCCCATTCAGCCCCGTTGTCAACATACCCCGCCTTTGGTGTATCTTATCGTAAAATATTCCTGTTTCTCCAGCCCGTTGTCTTCTTTCGCAGAGGTCACTTAAATTAGCAGACTTCACTCCCCTTCTTCACTTGAAATATGTGCATTTGCTTCTTTTGTAATTAATTATTCCAAATTGCTGCAACTAGTGCGCGATCAGAGACAGCGTCCAGGAGAGCCGAGGTCCACACGGGGCATTCTGCCTAGGGCCCTCACCCCTTCTTTCGAATTAGGGGTGATTTATGGGCACAGCAGGCAAGGGCAGTGTTCCCCATTTCCTTGGGGCAACAAGGGAGGCTGCCTACTCCCGTAACAGCCTCTTAATTACCCCGTGTGGGTCGGAGAGATGGTATTGTCGGCCATCTTCCAATGCGCCCCCAGTGGCCCCGCTTCTCTGTGCTTCCTGTTCCTCTTGAGAAACCAAGCTATTTGTTCGGAGCGTTGTGAAGTCACAGAACACCCAACGAATCAATACCTTTTTCGCTCTGCTATTGAAATGCAGAAGCCATCTGTGTCAACACTTTTTTGGTTTAAAAAAACAGTTTAAAAAGAAAGTGTCTTTGCGAGATCAAATGCAGGAGAAGCTTCCCGTCCTCTTCGCATCGTAGCACAATGGCATGTGAATTCCTTTGCCCTTCCTCGCCATGCCCTCTCACTCCAGACGCTTTGAGTACTTGGGCTCACGTAAAATGTAGTAATTTCTAATGTGGCTATTGCGGTAAATAAATTTTCCTTGGGGGTGGTGCAAGCACCAAAACAGCTCAACTTGCTCATTCTCCTTCTCAAAGCACTCAGCCCACAGAGCCCAGGATTACGACGAGCTCACCTTGGAGGAAACTGCAGAATGTTCAGATTCCATCCTCTTGTTATTAACATGTTTGACAACCGATATATGTCAAATGTGTCCGACCCCAAAGCAAGTGCAGACACCTCGGGATTTCCAAAGATGAAGATGTTGTCAATTTTCCGCAGCCTTAAAAAGATGCAAGTTTAAAAAGTTTACACTATTATTCTTTATTGAATTTATATACCGCCCTATACCCAGAGGTCTCAGGGCGGTTCACAGAACAAAATCAAAATATTCCTATTGCCTTTTGATACTGATGGGGGGGAATGATGCATACACCCTAATTACATTTAATTCTGATAATATTGTTCAGATTTTTATTATTGTCAAAGGCTGGCTTCCCTACCTCTAAATTCAGGGAAACCCTCCATCTCTCCCTAAAAGAGCACAGAAAGCGGTTACTGATCAGTGTCACCCTTCTTCCCCTCCAGAACAGCTGCAAGGAGCAGTTTGGTTTCAAGTTGGCTCATTTCACACAAACAGAAGGTTGACAAATACGCTGCTGTTAAAAGAAAATGTAAGCAAACACTTCCAAACTCCTTGCAGCCATGCTGTGTGGAGGAGGAGAGGGCAGCATGTGAGCTTTAGGCTTGCATAGGCCTGTACATATCACACTAAACAATGGTTTGTCTCAGTGGTGGGGAACCTGTGGCTCATGGTCAGGGATGATGGGAGTTGTAGTTCAACAACATCTGGAAGGCCATAGCTTCCCCATCCCGTCTAGCATGACATCTTAATGAGGCCAATGTTTTCTTAAGTTTTCATAGAGTAAGTCTGTTCGCCTCTCTTCTTCAAGGAGCTGCCACCACCTGCTATCCCAAGGATGGGGGGCTCTTTTAGCTTCATGGGCCATGTCCTTATCAGGATCAGTCTCATGGGCCAAATTTGGCAGGTGGACAAATTTAAACAACATTATGATGTCATGATTGGCAGATGGGTGGCCCCGACCAAATCTCAAAATCTCTATTTGAAGCATCTGGCTTTGTCCCCTTTAAACCCTGCACGTACTCTGCTTCGAGGAAGCGCGCAGCTGCAATTATCTTCCTGGTGTATTCCACGTATCCGTCTTCTCCTATGTGCATCATGGTTGCCCAGCAAGCTGCGATGAGGCCACCTGGCCTGGAACCAGACATGGTAGGGGAGGCGTAGATACCTCCTGGCCAGTCAGGGGCAATGAAGAACTGATACTGCCGATATCTCTCGCTGCTGTACAGGATCACGGAGGAGCCCTTTGGCGCATAGCCGTACTGCAGAGGAAGAGATGGGAGTCCAAGTTGCAAAGCAATAAGCAGCAAGCATTTAATACAAATCCCCACACACAAGAATCTGATGGAGACTGAATTCCACAGACAGGGAATTGCAGGTAGAACCGGCAACTTAATGATTCCACACTGGCTTCAGTGATTTTTAAAATGTTAAGTGTGGATTTTCTTTTTTCTTATAAAGCATTGCAGCTGCTGAAAGTCTATGGGCAGGTGAGAGCTCTGCCAGATGAGGCCAAAGACCCACCTGCACCGGGATCTCACTCTCTCCAAGGCCAACCAGATGCCTATGGGAAGCCTGCAAGCTATTTAGAGTGTCTCGTTCAAAGACTGGACGTAACAAGGGGACAGGTGTCAACTTGCTAAAAAGACAGAGGATCACATCTGAACCCAGTTCCAAACATTCTGAAGATTAATGTATTAATGCATTTAGTCTTCTATTCAATTCCACTCCTTTCTTGCAAAGGTAAATTCTCCTGCAGTGTACACATCTGCCATCATGCTTATATACCCTGAACCTAAACAAGTTTACTCAGAAGTGCAGTGAGATTTATTTGCAAGGACTTATGTTTAGGATTAAGAGACGTGGGTGGCGCCTTTAAGTTTGGATTGCAGTTTAGGGCAAATGACCAGTGGCAATGATCACAAAAGTCTTTCCGTACAAATGAACCAGAAGCAGAATTAAAGGAAGCATGCCTGATCCAGTTTGGAGAGTGGACAATCGACTCAAGCTAGATTTCCTCCATTAAACCTGCTTAAACTCACCTTGTGGGTATCTGCAGAAATGCTGGTGACACCTTTCACTCGGAAATCAAAACCCCCCTTCAGAGGGTACCCTGCCTTCTCCATGAAGACAATGAGAAAGCCTCCCAGGCAAGCGTCCACGTGGAAGGGAATCTTGTATTTCAATGCAAGCTGTGCCAAAGGGGGAAATCAACTTAGTTTCTCCAGCTAAACCAAAAGCAACGAGATGGAAACTTCCTGCCAAGTGTGAACCTCAAAAGTATCAAACCTATTTACATTGTTTGAAAAGACGATTGAGCATTCTTCCCCAAAAAGATGCAAAATTCACCATTCTACAAGCAAGGAGGCCCTGACCAGTGGCTTCAGATTCTGGTAGTGTCTACCAAAAGTCCTTCTATTTGTAATTTCCAAACTGTTATCCTCCCTTTGATCCTCATGAAGTCAAGGAACGGGGAGATCTGTATCAATACAAGGTTGCTTCAAATCCAAAACTGATCCCAAGGAATGGACCTTGTGAGGGACGTGTTTTGATCATGTCTTCTTTTGCTGGCAAAGTCAAGGTCGCTCCGACTTCCAACTAAATGCTTGAACAGCTCATGCTGGGTATTCGCACTACAGGATACTTAAGCAGTATGAAATGTAGGGCACAGCCTTATACCAAGTCAGATCTAGCTCTATATAGACTGGCAGAGGTTCTCCAGAATTTGATGCAAAAATCATTGCCGTTCCTACCTAGATGCCAGGAGGCTGAAGCAGGGATATTTGGCATGCAAAACATGTTCACCACCACTGAGCTGAAGCCCCTCTCTTAAGGTACAGCCTGACTCCCACCCCAATGCCCAGGGCAGGATTTGGAGCATAAATTGGCTACATAAATTTGCACGTACAATGTAAATGTATGCTTCTAACCAAGAGCCACAGCTGACACACATGCCAGAACACACAGCGCTCTCTCTCCTAGGCTGAGCCCACACAGGTATCTGCTCAGCAAGTCATAAATTTTGCTAGAGCGGGTGACACTTGGTGAAAACTTCCATTGCAGCAAGGAGGAGGGAGCAGTTGAAATGCCTAAGCCAGGGGCCAGTAAAGTTTTTGTGGCTTCGGCCGTTTCACGGTCCCGCAGACGCCACAGTGGGCCGGAGTGCGCGTGCATGCATGTGCAAACGCTATTTCCAGTGCTCCTTCCAGAGCGGAGGAGGTGTGCACAGCTTCCCATTGGCTGCAGGGGCTTCCTGCAGCCAATGGGAAGCCGGCCAGCGTCACGGAAGGCGGTCCCTCTTGGGAAACTGTGTACGTGCAGCTACTCACACAGAGTCAGTTAAGGTTTGGCAGACAGCCAGAAGATCATGTGAAGGAGTACGTCTGCCTGGTGATAACAGAGACATGGAGACAGCTCCCTGATTTGTCAAGCTATCTCAAGGGAGTGATAATTAATGGCCTACTAACTGGAATGTGTTAGTTCAGAGTTTGGAGTTCAGAGTTCTGTGTGCCAGTGTAGGAGTTGTGAGTCGTGTCAGAGAGAGCTAGCAAAAGATCTGTGTTCTGTTCCTGTAAATAGTCCACTGTATATAATAAACACCTAACTACAAGTTCCTGGTTCCTTCTTCGTCTATCCTGTCTGCAGCCAAGTCGCCAATTGCTTCCGTGGATTCTGCGTTTACTCTGCTAGGTCTGGCTAAGGTCCTGCAACTAGTCAGAAAGTTGCGAAACACCAACAGGTTTTGCCAACAGTCCCACTCTGCTCAGCGGGAGTGGGGGTCCCTGAGTGGGCGGTGGGGGTCCATGGGCCGCTTAAACGACCCCCATGGGCTGCTTGTGGCCTGCAGGCCTTAGGTTGCCGATCCCTGGCCTAAGACCACAGAAGGTATGGTAATAGAACCGTTTGCTATCTTCCAAAGATGTGGAGCTGCACTCAGTTACATCAGGATATTGCAGTCACTTTGCAAGTGATGCGAGTTTGTATTTATGGACACATGATGCCCTGCAGGAGGCCAGATCCGTACATGCAGCTGGGTTTTCCATTCATCAGCTATGGATCAGGGGGCTGGAGGGATAAACTTTGTGTGTTGAAAACAACTCTTCCCTCCCCCCCCCCACAGGAAGCAATGTATATCTCAGGTTGAAGTGGCACAAAGGTAATTACCTCTGCGACCTCCTCAATTGGGTCCATGACTCCATGAGGAAACTGCGGTGCTGAGCAGACCAGCATGGCTGTATTCTTGGAAATGGCTCTCTTCATTGCCTGAAAAAAATCAAGAGGAAACGATCAGGCAGTCAAGATGCTCTATTAGATACCAGTCTTCAGAATGGCACATCAGGCCTGCAACTATGATTGGGATACAGGGCCTTTTGATGAACCCTGTCCTAGGAAGCCCAACGATGTTCAATACTTTACAGAGTCACTATTGATAAGAGGTCTGAGAATATCTGAGCAATACCTTAACATCCACTTGCATCGTCTTGGTCAATGGAATGTGCACAATCTTCATCCCAAAATAATGAGCTGCTTTATCAAATGCTGCATGGACACTCACTGGAACCAGCCTGGGGAAGACAGATATAGCAAGATATCTCAGAAAACGTTTGTAGTTGCCTGTGATTTGTATCTTTCCTGTTTCATCCCCTCCTTGTCTGCACAAAAATAAACTGATATATACCTGAAAACCTGGGAGATGTGGGGGACTTAAAGAAATACATGGATCGCATGGACCTCTGATAAGTTGTTTTTGCTATTAAAAAAACAGCAACCACACAAGACCACAGTTTGGAAAACTGCACAAGTTATTCTGTATGTCCAGTGGGGCATTTGGCTTGTTGCAAACAACAGTCACCACCCTCTGCATGGCAGGCAGCTTTTGAAATGGAAGGGCTCGGGGTCGTGGATTCAAGCCTTACATTGGGCAAAAGATTCCCGCATTGCAGGGGGAGCTGGACTAGATGATCCTCGTGGTCCCTTCCAACTTTGTGATCCTATTATTCTGCCTCCACTGAGAGTTTATTCTTCCATGAACAACAACCGAACTCCAAAGTGCTCCTAGATAAGCAAAAGTCTTTGGGGGGGTGCATTTAGAAGAGATTTCAAAGTTGTGCTTTTTGAATTCTTGCCATTCTGCAGTGAATTCAGAGTTTAATTCAGAGTACGACTATCGGCCATAGGGGATGGGACTGATGGGAGTTGGGAGTCCGAAAAACATCTGCAGGGAACCATGTTTGGTTACCCCTCCCGTTTAGTTTTTGATTCCATTTTCTTCGGTATAAAGTATTTGTCAGTACGCCTTTCAACTGATGTCAGCGACTGGGCTCAATAACTGGTTCTGCCCTGATGGGGCTAGGCAACTGGAGCACTTTCAGAGACCTTCCAGTCCTGGAAAGCAGGTCCCAGTGCACTGGACCCACAACTGTGCATTGTGAGCACCAGACTCAGCAGAGTATAAATAACGCAGAAGCTAGCTGTGAAGCATAACTCCTTTTATTTCTAATAGCTACTAAAAACTAAAGAACTACTGGCTTGCATGAGTGTTACATCTCCCAGTCAGCCATCTAGTCACTACATAGATAAGACTGTCTCCACACACAGGCAGGCAGTCAGGAGCGGAAGAGTAGAAGAGCAGTTTCCGCCCCCTCCTTTCTCAAAACATCAGATCAGGAGATTCTTGCAATGGGAGGGGGTGAAAATATCAACAGTATTGGCCCAGCATATGAAAAGCTAAAGTAGTGACCGGTCTAAAAAGATGCTTAATGAAAATAACCTCCTATATTAAGGGTGTGATTAGTTACTTTGTGGGGGGGGGATAATGGGCTACATACATTTCTGGATGCTTGATTCCTTTCTCGTAAGCCAAATTCCTGTAAGCTTTACAGACCATCAGGATGCTCTCAGTCCCACCAGAGGTCATCTGTTAAGAAGGAATTAAAAACAGCAGACACACTTAAATGACCACATACAAATGGAAGTACCGTCTTATACTGGAAAGTGAATTTTAGTCCCTAGTTATTAAAAACCTTGAAAGAGTGTGAAGTGCACACACACACACACACACAAATATAGACACCCACGCACGCATGCACGCACGCACATACACACATCAGAGGAGAGGATGTAAGTGCCACAGCAACACCAAAATCAAGCCAAGGAGATGCAACGCCCTGTCCTAACAACGGAAGAATTCCACACACACAAATTGCACTAACAGAACAAAGGGACTATCAGCATGTTAACTACAAAAGCTCCTGGCAGCAGGTCTTTTCCAACTACAGGGATATATATATTCATTCATATATATATATATATATATATATATATATATATATATAGAATACATATATATATATATATATATATATTCAACAATGAAACCCTTTCCAGTAAAGAGGAACGGATGACAGCAGTTGTGGCAAGGACTTTTCTGCATCCAGACTTGTTGGTACACATAAACCCAAAGAGACATTGAAGTAATCTGAGAAAGGGAGACAGATGAATGAGAAATCTGCTTAAGAGACTCGGCTGTTGTTGTTGTTGTTGGCCTGGTGTTATGGGATCCAGCGTCCAAGCCACTCTTTCTTAACTTCTTTGTGCAAAAGTGTCTCCAAACATTCCAGCTACTGTGCATATCAGAAAAGAGCAGAGTTGCGGTATTTTGAAGATTATGACCACTCTTCATGGGACAATCCAAAATTTATAAGCAGTAGAAATGTAAATGAGAGTCTAGTCCATTACTGAGTGAGGTTGTGAGCACAATTGCAGAACTGCCACATTCAGACCCCTGCTTAAAGCTTTGATGTCAACTTTAGCCTATATAACACTGTCTTGGTTACCTTCCAGTGTAGACTATTATCTCCTTAAGACCGTATGAATCACTGTCACATGACATTTATTCTGGTTTTTGCAATATATTGGGCAGCTGGCCAATGCCAGGTGACTCAGCAACAGCTGACAGCCTTTTCAAGCATGTATAGCTGGCTGACTTCCTCTAATACAAGGGGGAAGCTCAGAACGTGACGAGCAAAAAATGAAGCAGACAACGTCTGGGAATATCTTTCTAATTCTGTCTGCAAAAAAAAAGAAAGCTGAATGCATTATCTCAAGAATCTGACTATTTTAAGGGAAAAGGAGAGATGTCTTATCACATATATTTATATATATACACACACTCTCTCTCGAAGGAAGTTTAGAGGGTATAACTCTTCCTTGCTAATCTGTCAGTTCCACTACATATAACATTGGCATTCCACAGCAAAACAACAGCCTATTATGATTATTTTTAAGCACCTCTAGAGTACATGGCATATGAATAAACAAGAACCATTTCTATGAAAGGAGAGGGAGAAAAAGCCTCATGCAGCAAATCTCAAATTCACTGCTTATGGCACTTGGGCAACAGCGGGTATATTTACACTACAAACCAGTTTAATATTAATATTCCTCTCCCAGGAATCCTGGGATGTGTAGTTCTGTGTGGGAATTCTCAACATCCTCAACAGACTACACGTCCCAAGATTCTTCAGGGGAGGTTATTACAGTTGAACTACCCACAACTATGCCTCAGCTGTGGAAACTTCATGAGAACACAATGCCAGTACTGAAGGTCAATGTAATAGATTTAGTGCATTTACTATAGGGAAAGGCGAATGATATGTTTTTTAAAAAAATAAATGACAAATAATAAAGGCACATATATTGTGGGCGTATGAAAAAAAGGGTGTGTGCCAGAAGTAATAACTCAAACTATAAAAAATTACTTGCAAGATGAAACCACAAAGTCCAACTGAACGAGTACAAATTTAAATCAGCTCTCTGCCATAGAATTGTAGAATTGGAAAGGACCCTGAGGATCATCTAGTCCAACGCCCAGAAATGCAGGAATATGCAGCTGCCCCATCCAGGGATCGAACCTGCAACCTTAGCATTATCAGCACCACTATCTAACCAACTGAGCTATCCACCTATGGCTTATCTGTGAAACCTGTAATTCCCTACTAATTCTCAGAATCACCGTAACCCCCTTGGAATATATAGCTCACAATTTGTCAATGTAAGAGCCCTCATCCTTTTGATTCCTCTCCCTTTAAAAAAACACAAGCCAAGAAAGCAAACTGTCATTGCACAAGTCAATACGTCACTCCCGACCCTATCCCTCTAACAAAGAAAGAACAGATGATGCACTGTTGTTTTTAGCAGAAGCCGGACAGCTGTGAAAACACCAACAAGGAATTGTATGCTGCTCAGCAAGATTCTTATCCCAGTGCTGTTGTTCTTCCCAAGTGGGATTTGGGTAAAGCACTGGCGAATTTCAGCATGGCATGTGTCTGGGGAGAAAAGGCTGGGCTTATTTGCAAGTGAGGGAAGCATGGGGTGTCATCTCCCCGCCCCAAAAAAACCACACACACACCAAAGATAGCATTTCCTATACAATAAACTCCTCTTTTATTCTGTCCTGTTCTGAGTAGGGAAATTACTTGACAGGAAATCTTCATACTAACCTTCCCCAACCTGGTGCCCCTCCATATGTTGTACTACAACTCCCATCAGCACCTGCCAGCACAGCCACTGATGGAAGCTATAGCACATACATCAACATTTGGGAGGCAGAGGAGCGAGGGAGAGAAAGAAGTTCTGCTTCCAGTGCATATCTAGTTATTAAACCCCCCCAGAACAGCTGGGCAAAAAAATTGGCCTTACTCATTTTTCCTTTTCACTTTGTTTCTTGACAAGATTATTCTGAATGTTGCCAGTTTGAGCAGGTAAGAGCACATTTAAGATGTGCATTTCTGAACTCTGCAGAAGACAGAAAGGGTGCGTGAGAGACCAAGAGGAATATCATTTGGTTCTGGGATTAAAGATCATGGATAGTTTCCTGGTAATAGTGGGAATGGTTTGGCAAGCACAAGAGGCAATGTCAAGTTTGTTACAATGGTAGAGCAGTACAACAGAAGCATGTATTCCTCTTAGTTTGGTTGGAAACCCACAAGACGGCAGCACATCTATGCCCACAGACACAGCAAAACTGGAGCGACACATAGCCTGAACCTCTGGTAAAAACAAAATGCCGCCACTGGCAATTAATTCTTTATGGGTAAGAACAGTGGGACTGCTCTTATGACTTGGCAGGCTTTCAGTTTTCACCAGAGGTTCAGACTGTGCGTTGTCCCTAATCTTTTTCTCACTGTTGCAATATATTTTGCATTTGAAAGTCACGTGGAAAATTGGCTCCATTACAGGCTGGAAGTGCCAATAAGGCCTACGTGCATGGCCTTTGAAAATAAATCAGAGGTGGCAGGTCATATGTTGCAAGGGAGGAGACTAAAAATGAAAGCTCCCCATTTCTCAATGTAAAATATGCCCAGGCGCAGTAGATGTGGCAAAGTCACCCTGGAATTCCTTGGGTCAGGCAATAAGAATATTGCTACAGTTCTTCACCACATTTAGTTTCTTTGTTTAGCATAACAGCTCAAGAACCTTCTTTGAAGAGTAGTAACAGGTAGAAGACGCTTGGGCTCAGTGGCTTTTGATGAGTGGCGGGTGCTAGCAGATTGCAAAGGCAGCAGAGATTTGCAAGTTTTAATTTCAGGAAATTAATTACAAAGGGTTGGGATCATATTGCATCTCTCCCTGTTCCTCCTGCTCTTGCACTGACACACTTCTGCAAACATTCCATGCCTCTTACAAACATTTCATGGCAAAATCTCTGGCATGTCTTATCTCTTTAGATTAACAACTAGAGTAAGTGTGTCAGTGAAGGACACAGAAGTATGGGAGCTTGCAGCTGGCTTGCAGCGGCAGGGGGAGATCTAAGGGTAAGTTGTTTGGTTTTGCGGGGGTTGGCTGAGGTAGGTTTCTATGATGCACCTCCCAAGGGGAGGAATCATAAAAAGGTTGTTATGTAAACTTGCTGTGAAGTGAAACTCCGTGGGCTTAAAAAAATTCTGAAGCAACTACAAAGGATGTAGCAAAGAAGGAGCTCCACAGCATGCATGTATTAGGAGGACCCGAGTCAAAAGGTAAAAGGTAAAGGACCCCTAGACAATTAAGTCCAGTCAAAAGTGTTAGAATTCCTGCTCCATGATTGCAGTCATGGGATTGCTGTCTATCACATGACGGTGCACGTTTTGACTCCACAAAGTGGGAAATGACGGAGACAGGATGTTTGTGTTACTGTGTTCCGTGACGTGGGACTATTGTCCTTTGTTCTTTCTCTTTGCTGTTTGATGCTAGAGAGAGAGGGAGCCATGCTGCGGTGTTCCATGTGTGTTTATATGTAAATAAAGTAGATTAGCCAAAATGCTGAGTTGCTGAGGTCTGTTACACAAGCTGTGAAGACTCTGCAGATCCCTAAGTGTGTCGATGTCTTTTGGCATCGGTCGCTGTGATGTTCTGGCTGAAGAAAGCTTTTGAAGCTCCCAAACGATCAACCAGGAGGGAGAGAACATGCCAGTTGGGCATGTGTCTCTGCCAGAGTCCTACTCAAGTGTAGGATGAGCTCCTGACAAAAGGCGACTATGGGGTTGCAGCGCTCATCTCACTTTCAGATCGAGGGAGCAGGTGTTTGTCCACAGACAGTTTTCCAGGTCATGTGGCCAGTATGACTAAACCGCTTCTGGCGCAACGGAACTTCGTGACAGAAACCAGAGCACACGGAAATGGCCTAATTATGTTTTCATTAATCAGGCATCATTATTAAGCCTCAGGATAAACATTTGCTGTGCCCAAGCACTGAGGTAGGGCCTTGAAACTCAACAATTCTATACTGCAAGAAAATAGATCAAGAAAAACATTTTTTAAAAGATTAGGAAATGGAAGTATCCGTGCTCTACTCTCAAGTAAAAAACAAAACAAAAAACGGACACTCAGAATTCCAAAAACACATTTTAGCTTCCAGAAATTTACAGCAAGAATAGAGGAGGAAGATATATTGACAGGCATGGCAATAATCAATTAACAAAGACTGTACCACTTTTTAAAAAAGAATTGTTAATTGTACGTAAGCCTTTTTCTCTCTATAGTGCAGAAGGACCCATTTTATGTTGCCGAAAGTCAAACAGAATTAACTAAGCAAATAAAGGCTGCACTGGTGAATCCAGCAAATTAAGTCTGCACGGATTCAGTTAAATGGTATTTAGGCTCTTTTGAAAGTGTGGTGTCAGTACGTTTGTGCAAAATGGAACTGTGGCTCCTAAGACCTAATGGGGCTTCGTGATTAAGAGAATGAGCTGTGATGATCCCACCAAGCTGCCGCATCACACACACACCTGTAACAAGAAGAAGGCTACTAGCCCGTCTTACAGGGTAGTTGTAAGCATTCATTGAGAATGTATGTGAAGACCTTTAACCCTTGAGAGGAAATGTGAAGTAAATGCTAACCACCAACAAATATGCAGCTATTCAAGCAACTATTCATATCATTGAAGAATTGTTTCTTATGCCACACAGCCTCCTCAAAACACCATGTCGTATTTTCTGCTCCAAGTGAGTTCTATTAACCTCTAGCCATACACCTCTAAGTCCTTTGAACTGTTAACCTCCTTCCTAAGTTTCACTGTCTGTGGGCAGCTCCTTCCCTACAGGATTGCAAGGCGATGCTAACCCTGCAAGACGAGTTTGCAAGAAATTAATTTTAATAAGGTCTCCGAGCACACGAAAGTACAACCCTCGCTTCCTTACATAACTGCCTGGGAGCCTGCTGCTTCTTTAGCAACAATGCCTTACCCAGTCTAGGTCACGGCTGGTGACTGGGCACCGAGAGCAGTGGTTTCAGTGTGCCGCTGCTTAGTTGGAAGCACTCTGCCTCAACTGGTGGGCAAGACTGCACAACAACAGTCTCCGGTTCAGCCCCACAGACATAACAGGACCAGCCCTCCTCACAAATAAGCCTCTTTCAGAGAAGTCACTTGGCAATTTTCATCTGCTGTTAGACAAGAGCAGCTGCCTCAGTACTTAAAACTGGAATTTTATCCTTGATCTCCCATTCAGGTCCTGTATACCTGAAGAAGTGTCTCCACCCCCTGAGGTCCAGCGCCGAGGGCCTTCTGGCGGTTCCCCCACTGCAAGATGTGAGGATACAGGGAACCACGCAGAGGGCCTTTTCGGTAGTGGCGCCTGCCCTGTGGAACACCCTTCAATCAGATGTCAAGGCAATAAGCAACTGTCTTACTTTTAAAAGACATCTGAAGTCAGCCCTGTTTAGGGAAGATTTTAATGTTTAATGCTGGGAAACCCAGCCAGATGGGCGGAGTATAAATATTAAATTATTATTATTATTATTATTATTATTATTATTATTATTCACCCCACACTCACATTCCTCAAAACGTACATGAAGCACAGAAGCACCTGCAAATACAGGCAATGTACAGAAGGTATTTTTGGATCAGCGCAGATGACTGTGAAAGGCAAACTTAGGGCATATCTACATTAATCACTAAGATGTATTGCATTTTATTCATCGTGGCTTCCTCAGTGATTCCTGGGAAATGTGGTATGGTGAGGGTGCTGGTTGCAAGAGACCCTTAGCCTGCTCTATCCCTTGTGAACTACAGTTCCCAGAGTTCCCTGGAGAAAGGGGATAACTATTGCATAAGTCTAAGTCCATAGCACAGATGAGCATCCTAGCAGTAGAACTCTAGAGGCTGGTTTCGTTGTTCATAAGGAACACAGTAGAGGCTAAAGAAGAACAGATTTTTTTATTCTTGGTAGTTTTTCTGATAGCTTTTATTTACATGGAGTTAGAAGATTAACACCATCCAGCATATTGAATGGCAATATTACATCTTGCAAGTTCATGTACGTCCAGGAACTGGAAACGGTATTGTGAACCCATCAAAAGGCAAGCCCTTGACCTAGTACAGATGTGTAGCCAAACAAATGTCCAGTTGGTTTCAAGTCCATCTATGGCATCCATTCTCTCCTCCCCATCACCTCTTGGCATAGGTGAGATACACGGTTTCACAGCTTTGAAAGCCAGGGTTCCCAGATCCTGGCCCACATACAATGCCTCTTGAATTTAACAGACTGACTGTATGCAGAGCTTGACTGTTGTTGGACTACAACACCCATCACCCCTAGCTAGCAGAACCAATGGTCAGGGATGATGGGAGCTGTAGTCCAATAACAGCTGGCAACCCAAGTTGGAGAAACACTGTTTATAGAATGGGACGCTGCATTGCTAGGGTCATAAACCCTAGGCTAACTGCGACACAAAGTTAAAATTAATGGGGTTAAGCATGCCTAAATCTCTGCTGGATTTAGGCCTCTCATTCCATATCTTCATTAGCAACATTGGGGAGGGGGGGTGTTTCCTGCCACCCCACCCCTTATTCTTGCAAACCTTGCAAGTGGCTGCAGGAGAGGGTCACTGAGTCAAACCACAGGGGGTGTTTTTCTAGATCTAAAGTGAAACTGTGACGCTCCCTTGTTCTTTTTGCTATTGAATGCTGCATGTCATTTAACCTTGTTTCATTTACAGTATTGAAATGTGGTTATTTTGTATATTATTTTTGTTTTGCTAGGTTGTTATGAAATTGCTATTGCATTATTTTGTTATGTTATGAAAGTTTTTGCAATGTTTGCTTGAAATGCATCTCTGTTTCTTTGTTGTAAGCAGCTTTAAGAAGTGTGTGTGTGTGTGTGTGTGTGTGGAAAAGCAGTATACAAATAAAGTGAATGAATGAATGAATCTTACTGACCCTAAACTGTTCCAGCAACAAACACCATCCACATTAGATCCAAAGGAACTCCTGCCTATTCACTCACCTTCTTGGCTACAGCATATAGAAGATGCTGCTACTAAACATATGAGTTGCTGAAATACCAACCACAATTTTCACCCAACATATTTATTACATACAACTTGCTCTGATAACACACACACACACACACACACGGGTGGGGTGGAGAACACAATTCTCTTTCAATTTTGACTTTTTCAAAAACTGGACACCCACAATTATTGGTGTTGTCCTCTTTAGAAATGACAAGGCTTTTTACATTTGCAAGCAAGTTCACTGCCTGCACAGCTCAACCATTGACATTATGTAAACTAACTAGCCAAGCAGCGTGCAACTTGGAAAAGAGGTTAATGAATAGGACTGCATAAAACTACCAAGGTATTTGGCAAGCTGTCCACAATTTCTTAATTACCTTTGGTGTCCACTGTGTCACCAGTTTGCCAGCACAGCTGTTAATTGTCAGGATAGCTTATATATGTTCTGCCTACACAGACATATAATTTAGCTACCTGTATTTTAGCTACGTAAAATTTGTTTTCAAACTTTAACAAAATTTAACGGTGTTTCGTTTCTCAACTGTTTTGTGGATTTCAGCTGTGGTTTGTCTACAATTTCATCTGTACACTGCTTAGGCAGCTCTTTCATCAAGCAGGTTATATACATATTCTAATAAATAAAATAACAATTTCATTAGAGTTGGCTAGACCCAAAGCAAATGCAGCTTCCCTTGGAAACAAGGCAAAAAGACACACACTTTTTTCTCTAGTGGATCTTTTAACATTTACACAAATACACTGGCTGAAGCTAGTGGGACTCATGTCGTGTTACTTACTGTTCCACAAGATTTGGGCCCTCCATGGAAAAGCGCACAAGCCATTCTCACGACCTCTGCTTCCATCTTCCTCACGCCCGGAAATATATCTGGATGAAGCGGGTTACTCCATGCAAATTCCTCATAAACCTTCAGGGAGAAAATTGGCTCAGGTGAGATAGCTCCTCCAAAGTAAACCCTGAAAAGGTGATGCTGCACTGTTTTCTTATGTACAGGAGAAAGTCACCTCGCTCCCCATCCACCAAAGGTGACTGGTTTCGGAGAAATCGCAGGAGGACACTGTGGAGTTTTCTCTGCTATAAAGTTAGTCCCAGAATGCTTTGCATACTCTCACCAATCTCATCATGCAAACACCACAAAAGCTTTGAATACGAGTTACGTCTCACGTGATGGTAGCTGTGTGAAGTGCCGTGTGGAGCTATGCTCGGTGGCCTCAACGTCACAGACACTACCTGTTCCATGCATCCGCCAACATCCACACCTTGGCTGCAAAGTCTGAAGCAGGGACCCCTAGGCTAAATCATGTGAGAAGCCAAATGCACACACAGAGGAGGCTTCCCACCCAAGGCGTGGAGAGGGGTAGGACAAGGCGGCAAAATGCAGCAGAGGAGCAGAACCAATCAGAGGCAGGGCCAGGAAGACCACGTGACCTGGGCTTCAAGCTCAAAGGGGGCCTCAAAGGTAGGCCCTTGCTATTTTTTTTGGAATTGTGGGTAAGTTTCACCACTTGCTCCTGAGCACATCAGACCAAAACGTGACAAACATGCTCATCTTAGAGCTGCAAATGGAAGCAAAAAAAATATGTGATTTGACAAGAGACTGTTTTGTTTTGTTTTGCTACCTGATACAGATTTTATCAAATTTCGGAGTTTAAAATGTTCACAAATATTAAGACAAATATATCCGTTCCGATGGCACATGGCTTGACTACAGTGAACTCAGATCGGCCGATTATATAAACAAAGCGCTACCACTCAGTGGCTGTTGTTGGATCGAGTGCATGTTGAAAGGTGGAGAACTGTAATATTTTCGTGCCTCCGTCTTCTTTTGGTGCCTTGTTTTATTTTCAGGTGTCGCCATCCATTCCTATCGTGGCTGGGGATTCTGGGGAAACCCAGAAGCAGCGCAGGGTCCCTCTGGACCTCTGAGGGGGGCCTGCAGAGGAGTAAGGGAGCAAGCACAGCCCTGCTCTTCTCCTGCAATTCTAATCACAATGGGCTCAGGTGCCTCTACAGAGCTAGCATGACATTTCTTCCTTCTTATTTTCTGTGACGGAAGGAAAACAAGTTTAAAAAGAGATACAGAGGACTGTTTGGGAGTCAAGAAGACTATTAAACACCTTTCTTTTTCAACAAGCCTTTTAAGCGGAGATTTTGTATCCCGGCCTGAAGCTTGAAAATTTTTTTATGCGTGCTCTCATTGCAGAATCGCGTCAGGTGTGTTTCACAGGAAGCGATTCATGATAAAATGATTTAAGTAAACTCATTGTAAACTGACTGTGGGAGAGGCAGGGAGAGTCTACCAAACTCTTCCACCTTTTCCATACAATTCCTGTCTCCATTGGGCATGGGGGAGAGGATAGGTTTAACTGAATTAATGCTTAGAAGTCACAGCATGTCGTAGCTAAACCACATCTTACAATTATGAGCAAGACACATTAATACATTTGAAATGATTCACAGGGCATAAATTCAGGGGAATTTCTGCTTCCAATTCCAATGTGTGTGATCCCTAACCAGTACACCTACTTCACTGGCCTGCCTGAACCTCATTTACTCACAAGTGGGGTGGGGGGGTTTTCCCCTGTCACAATTTGTTTTCCACTTCACATTCCTTCCTGTTCCTTCAAAATAGAATGCCTCATTACAGGGAGAATTAGTTATCCTTATTATTTAATTTGTATACTGCCCTTCACCCGAAGAGAGCACAGGGCAGTTCACAACATAAAAAATACAAAATGAGAAGTTGCTTCATTTAAAATAAGTCATTAAAAAAATAAAAAATTGCACACATGCATTCAGTGTAGTGTAGTGGTCAAGAGCGGTAGATTCGTAATCTGGGGAACCAGGTTTGTGTCCCTGCTCCTCCACATGCAGCTGCTGGGTGACCTTGGGCTAGTCACACTTCTCTGAAGTCTCTCAGCCCCACTCACCTCACCGGGTGTTTGTTGTGGGGGAGGAAGGGAAAGGAGAATGTTAGCCGCTTGTTACCTCCTTCAGGTAGTGATAAAGCTGGATATCAAATCCAAACTCTTCTTCTTCTTCTTCAACAAACCGAAGGATAAACATATAGCTATTACCACACTGAATTACCTTCACAAGCAGATCCGTGAGTTTCTGATCCCCATTGTACACTGTCCCAGACACTTTCCCGTCTTCCCAGTTTACTTCACCTGAAAGCACGGAGACAAGAAACCGCCCGTCATATTTAAAAGCACTTTGCCGATCAAAATTGCAGTTGATTGACTGTTCACACAACGGTCTATGGAGACAACATTAAAACTACAGTCTAGCACAGAGCTGGGGAACCTTTACTCTGCATGCAGAATTAGGCCCAGCAGGTCTCCCGTTCTGACCCACAAGGCTGTTTTTTTTTTCTAAGTCACACCCACCTGCCGCTCGCCTGACCTCATATCAGACTTTGGGCAGGTAAAAACAAGGCAATGCGGGGTTTTAAGACACCCTTTGTCAGAGACAACTATCAGCAGATAGGCATGGGTGTTTTTAAGCATTTGCAAACAGCCTGACTCTTAAACTATTGTTAAAAAGCAATGATTAACCATGGAACTGTAAAGTTATTATTTGCTGATTTTACTGTTTACTATTGGATTCTAATGGATTATTGACTATTGATTTACTTGATATATATGACCAGGAAAGCTGTTTGTAGACAAACGCTGGCTCCCTCGGCCTGAAGCGAGATGAGCACCACACCCCTTAGTCACCTTTGACTGGACTTAACTGTCCAGGGGTCCTTTACCTTTCACCTATATGTGTTGGAAGCCACTCAGAGTGGCTGGGGCAACCCAACCAGATGAGCGGGGTATAACTCACAATATTATTATTATTAATATCCTTATTATTACTACTATTACTATTATAACAGCAGGTGGCAGGAATTCATGCTCCAGAATGGGACCCAAACTTATAATAATCTCTTTCTGGAAGAGAGAAATGTCCAACACTTGTGAAAAATACATGGCAAGGAGAAATCATGAAAATCAGGTTTTACACCCCTCCAAACAGGAGCTCTCCAAACTTTCTAAGTCAAATTAGTATTTTCTCATATTCATGCAACTAACAACATTACTTCGTTTTTATGAGACAGTGGCAGGGTTTTTATTTTGTTCTCTTCTCCAAGAACTATGCTTCCATCATTAATTGAGAATGAAGGCTGAGTATTTGTAATACACAGCCATTTGCTGCTGCTTATTAATTAACATTGGCACTGGAGCAGAGCAGAGCAGATGCTGAAACTGATTGACACGTGCCAGTATGCATTCAGACTCATACCCATAGAGCTGTATTCTTTCATCTTCTTCAGCACATCTGGCTGGCTCAAGCCTTTTGCCGGCAGGATTTTGACATAACCCGTTTTTTCTTTCAAGAAACTTAAGGTGCTGGCCATATCTTCCATAGTCTTATTCATCTGTTTCTTTATCTATTAGGATAGACAAACACACATGCAAATATAATATGAACAGATTCTAATCATGGGGATAATTTAATTGCAAATTCCTTGCAAAAAAATAGTTCAAGCCTTGAGTTCAATTTTAAACAAGCTGACCTCTTTTCACAGGTATGCTTTTAATTCCCTCCCCCCCCCCCCGAGCATCAAATGATAAAGAGCAATAAATATGTTTCCTCCTAGCAAATTAAATAGGTAAGTAGCTCAATGCTTAAAAACTTACAATAGTACCAATAAAGGGCAATTTGCGTAAATTTCTGAAGAACCACTTTTTAGATCGTGATGTTAAACCTAGAAAGAAAACATTAAAAAAATATATTATTATTCAGCCCCAAAATTTCCAAATGTAATTTTTTTTATTTGCCAGGGTAGAGAAGAATCCCTGCTTCTTGAGTACAGAAGGCTTCCTGCTTCAGAAAGCTGCCTTCTACCCCTCTTGCATGCTTACCTGCACTGCCCTCTAGCCATCAAAGTTCCCAGCAATTTGTTGCCAAGACCTTTGCACTGCCCCTACTGATCCCAAGCACATCCGTGTGCACATCTTTGGGAATTGCAAAACCCTGCATGTACACAGGAGAAGGCTGGCATGCACGAAATTTCTGAGCTGCGAAGCTTCCCCAGATGCTCTTAGACCAGAACGGGCAAGGATATAAATGAAATGCATATCTGCTTTGCGAAGCTGGAAATGCTCTGAAGCCTTTTGAATTCCTGTCTGTGCATAGCAATGGGGGTGGGGGGACAAACTCAATCCAAAAGCTTATGGATGGAATGAACACAGAAAGCAGCACGGATCACATTTGGACATGTGCTGTAGGAAAAAACACTAATACCAACAAGGGGGTGTGGAACCTAATGAAGGCCAAAAACTAGGCTTTTGTGTTAAACTAAGAACCAACTTGTTGCCTGTGTTATCAAACATGTCTGTATTTAAAATGCTACCTTTCCTTTCTCCATCAAGGACACATGTGCTCACACACACACATGGATATCAAGACCTATCACACCCTACAACAGAGAGTATAACATTTCTTCAATACCATAACCCTGAACTGCAGAGGTGATGGCTAATTTATGAATTTGTTGCATTTGAGTACGTAACTTGTGCACACACTCTCTCTCTCTTGCCATGAACCCTATCAACATATAACTTTATTTGGTGGACCTATTCTACAATACCCAACTTTGAACATTTTCGAGCCAGCTGTTCAAAACGAAACCACAGTTTAGCCTTTTATTTCTAGAAGCATTTATATATGGCCCGGTCACGTTAAGTATCAAGGCAGTGGGCATCATAACAAAATATAACAATAAAAACAATAAAACAATAAAACAATGTGGGAGTCCCAAGGGCTATATAGGGAAGAAGCCCCTGCGTCTGTGGTCCCAATCCCTGGAATAAAGCATTACAGAAATGGACCTGAGTGAGCCTCAAGCTCACACACTCCCATCTCTCCTGGCTGAGCCACAGGAAATTTGAAAGCTTTCATTTCTGTTTTAGATCAGCTACAGCTTGCTCATACATCTAAACCTGAGCACACTGTGGTTATCCTTAACTCTGATTATGTACACAAGCCAACTCCAAACCAGGCTGGCTTGTTTCCACTAATATTAAGGTTAAACACACTTTAGGATTTGGACAACACACCAAACTGTGGTTAGTCTTAAAGAGAAATGGAAACTTCTGCTCTCCTCCTTGAAGCTGCACTGGAGGAGAAGCCAAGCTCTCATAAATTATAGTTTAGTCTTAGGGCCAAACACGTGGAAATAAAAGAAGGTGAAGAGTTAGTTGGGACTTTCTAACCTCACCTCTTTGCTACCACGAAGGTCAGGGGCTTTTAAAAATGAAATCATGCTACGCAAATGGAGTGGACCCCCCAATTCCTCACATCGGAGACGCACACAGCACTTACTTTCTTGTTGGAAGAGGAACCTGTATAGCCAAACAACCAGGAGGGTAGCCCCAATTGTGGATGTTACCAGTTGCCAGGGCTCAGCCCCAGCACACTTTGCATTCACGGCATTTCTTGTTTCGTTTAAATATTGCAGAAGGATTTCTTTGTAAGGAACAATTGCATCCTAGAAAAGAAGAGAAAGCACCCATGAGGCAGAGGGCAAGGGCAAGGCCAAAGCAGAATGCACAAATGTGGCTATAAAGTGAGGTTGATTTATTTGCTATGAGTGTTTTAGCCCCACCTTCCGATTCAAAGAAATGCCCAAGGCAGTTTTACCATGGAAGCAAAAGTAACGCCAACAATAAAATACAAAAAATTAAATCGAGAAGAAAAGAGGCAGCAAATAAACACATCAATTAGCATGTCAGAGAGGTGGTACAGTGGTACCTCGGGTTAAGAACTTAAATCGTTCTGGAGGTCCGTTCTTAACCTGAAACGGTTCTTAACATGAGGTACCACTACGATTTCTGTTCTCATCCTGAAGCAAAGTTCTTAACCCGAGGTACTATTTCTGGGTTAGCAGAGTCTGTAACCTGAAGTGTCTGTAACCCGAGGTACCACTGTATTTAAAAACCGGGGAGGCAGCAAATTGAGTTACCAAGATCCAAAGGAAGAAGGATAATTTCATAACACTTTGGTTCAATTTTATCTTGTTTGTAGGTAAAGAGGGCTTTATGATTCTGCTTTTGATTTCAGTTACGATTACTGAATCCGGATTACAGCCCTAACAAACTATTATACACCTGTGGTTTCTTTGTGTTTAAAGAAATTGTTATTGTATGCTTTGCAGTTTCTTTTGTGTATAGATAAGAATGGCTGTTTGTTTGGCAATGCAGGATGCCTGCAGGATAGCTCAGTCAGTAGAGCATGAGACTCTTAATCTCAGGGACATGAGTTCGAGCCCCACATCGGGCAAAAAGATTCCCACATTGCCGGGGGTTGGACTAGATGAGCCTCGTGGTCGCTTCCAACTCTACAATACTACAGTGGTGCCCCGCAAGACGAATGCCTCGCAAGACGAAAAACTCACTAGACAAAAGGGTTTAGCGATTTTTGAGTCGTTCTGCAAGACGAATTTCCCTATGGGCTTGCTTCGCAAGACGAAACGTCTTGCGAGTTCGTTTCCTTTTTCTTAAAGCTGCTAAGCCACTAAGCCGTTAATAGCCGCTAAGCCACTAAGCCGCTAATAGCCGTGCTTCGCAAGACGAAAAAACCGCAAGACGAAGAGACTCGCGGAACGGATTAATTTCGTCTTGCGAGGCACCACTGTATTGTTCTAAAGTTCTCAGCTACAATATTTGTGTATTGCGAAAACTAATAAAAATTATTTACCCCAAAAATGGACAGGCAAAATCCTTGCTCAGCGATAAGTGATGTTGCACAGAGGTGGAGAGTCATCAAAGAGGGATGAGGTGGGCTTTTCTCAGCAGGAGGTTCCAAGGTCAAGAAGTGTCCCAATCAAGTGTCCCAACCAAGCACAACTCAGTGTCCCAATCAAGTGTCCCAACCAAGCACAACTCAGATATTGAGGGAGATGCAAAAAAGAGCCTCCATGGGAAATCTTAGGGAGAATTTTGGCTCAAATGGGACGACAGCTCTGAAGGTAACTGTGTCCCAAACCATTTAGCGTAGGGTTGGGGAAACTGTGGTCTTCCAGATGTTGCTGGACTACAACTCCCATCATCCCTGACCGTGGGCTATGTTTGTTGCACAAGAGCACTAAACCAACCTCAATTGTGCCGCCTGACTTTGCTGGCATGTGAATGAATCCTATCTGAAAACAAAAACCCTCTCCATCAGTCCCCGTTAATCCAAAATAAGAACCACCAGCGCACAGGGATAAATCCATGTTTAGTGTCTCCCACTAAAACCGGTGTTTGCTGTTCTTGAGACTGTGTATTTTGTAACTGCTTTCGTCATCAGCCAAGATTTCCTCAGGGTAAGTTCTCCCTGTGTAAGTTTAAAATTACAGCTCAACAGCAACACGGAACATCTTCCATCAAAGTTAGCCTCCCATTCATTTCCACAGGGCTGTCTTGCACCGCGACTTTTGAATGGCATCAATGGACAATGCAGGATCTGCCGTATCAGCTTGAGGTTCCAGAACTTTAGCCCCACAAAGGACAACTCTGGAATGCGTAGCTCCTTAAACACAAGCTTCCTTTATTTTTCCTAACATCTTTTGTTGTAAGTAGAAGGTGGGGGAAGACCTCTGCTGTAGCAAATGCACTGAAGAAAGGAGCCTTTCCAGTCTCAATCTCAATACAGTGGAACCTCGGGTTACATACGCTTCAGGTTACATACGCTTCAGGTTACAGACTCCGCTAACCCAGAAATAGTACCTGGGTTTAAGAACTTTGCTTCAGGATGAGAACAGAAATCGTGCGGCGGTAGCGCAGCGGCAGCGGGAGGCCCCATTAGCTAAAGTGGTGCTTCAGGTTAAGAACGGACCTCCAGAATGAATTAAGTACATAACCAGAGGTACCACTGTACTTGATGAGTGTTGCTTCCTACCATTTCCCCTTTCCCACCTCACTGTGTAACCTTGAGCCCATACCCCTTAAAGAAACCAACCCTTGATATTTCAAATTCACAGTTGCGGTCCTTTGTCAACCATGTCTGTCATATCCAGCTCCCAATCTCTTAAAGCCACGCTGCAGAAAATACAATTTTTTACGGCTGCACTCTGCTCCTCAGACCTGTTCTTCCACATCCAACTTTTGAAACCTTCTTCTGAGCAAGGTCCCTACCAAGGTGTGGTGATTTTGCCTTAATTGAAATGCACAATAGCAGAATGCAGTGAGTAAGCCTGTGGAATCCTGCTTGTGGAATTTGCATAGGCCACTATGGGAAGCAAAATGCCAGGCTGGAGATGCCTCTGGTCTAATTCAAATGAGCTTTTGTTTTGCATTAATTAATTAATTAATTAATTAATTAGAATAGTTTTATTATTTGTACCCCGCTCATCTGACTGGGTTGCCCCATCCACTCTGGGCAGCTTGCAACATATATAAAACATAATAAAACATTACACATTTTAGGGCCATCCACATCATGAATGCAATTAACATTTGCACCCCCAGAAGCGGAGAAGATGGGAAGTTATAGACAAGAAGGATCCCTTGACACCTTAGATGCCTGACACATTTATTGACTAGCAACTTCTGATAGTTGATGCCACAACAATACAGTGGCCCTACAAGGAGCCACAGAACGGTTTTATTCAAAGGGGAAATAATTTGAATTGTGGGAAGAGTACCCAACAATGGATAACTAATATGAGACACATCACGTAGGGGGGGGGGGAAGAGACTCACTACTCTGCCGCACCAAACATTATTGTAACCAGGTGTGCCTGGATAGCTCCATTGGTTAGAGCGTGGTGCTGATAATGCCAAGGTTGCAGGTTCGATCCCTGTATGGGGCAGCTGCCTAGTCCTGCATTGCAGGAGGTTGGACTAGAATGATCCTCAGGGATCATTAATATGATACCATGAGCCATTATACATTCCAGCAGCTGTTCTTCATTCTCTACTCAACACATCCAGTTCCTGATATCACCAGCTGGCAAGATAAGGACCATCCAAAGCTTTGGAGAGCCACCGGTAGTCAGTGTTGACCAGGGTCAGGGAACCTGTAGCCCTCCAGGTGTTGTTGGACTCCAACTCCCATCAGCCCCACCAACACGGCCAATGGCCGGGGAGAATGGGAATTGTATTCCAGTATCTGGAGGCTCACAGGTTCTCCACCTCTGGTGTAGACAATGCTCAGCAAGATGGGACAATGGTCTTGACTTGGCGGACAGCAGGTTCCTATGTTGCTAGCATGCCGAAATACAGAAGTTTCACAACTCCCCTCTTCCCCTGCCTGCCACTTCAATCCCTATGCATTTGTTTACTTGCAGATGCATATTTGACTTACCGTATATACCCGAGTATAAGCCAACTTTTTCAGCACATTTTTTATGCTGAAAAAGCCCCCCTCGGCTTATACTTGAGTGAGGGTCCCTTTCGGGCTGCTCCTTCCTCCTCCTCCACTGCTGCCGCCATCAGCCTCTCGGCAGCCCCCTAGGTAGGCAGGGGGAAGGGAGGGGCTGGGGGGGAGAGAGAAACCCCTTCTGCCGTGTGCGCATGCGCGTGCACACACACACGCACTCCGGCCCACCAGGAGGTTTGTGGTGTGGTGAACCAGCTTATACTCAATAAGTTTTCTCAGTTTATTGTGGTAAAATTAGGTGCCTCGGCTTATACTCAAGTATATACGGTAAGTAATTTCTACTTCCATATCAATGCATATATACATAAGCCTGCTTTATTAGGCAGCAGCAAGTAAGCTGCATGCATTTTTCATTATCCGAAGCCTTTCGAAAGAGGAACAAAGAAAGCCAGCCAAGCAATCCCTTTTTTGTCTTATGCAGAGGTGCTTTTTATCCAAGAGAGGTTCATGTTCCCTTTTTTTTTACAGAGGTTTGAAGTTCACCATGAACTGTTCTATCTGCTCTTTATCAGGATGCTTATATAATACGGATCTGAAGATTAGAACCTGCTAAGCTTGTGTCTTCTACCAGAGTACAAGAGATAACAAGCCTCTACTTTGCAGCTATGCTCCTTCAGGGGACCCCCCTAGCTTTTATTGCTCCTTACACCACTATTACACAACAGAACTGCTGATGGCATGCAGAAAGCGAGGACACACTTCCACCTGTTTCTGGACAACCTCCCAAACCATCTCCCTGGGTATTCCAACTAGCAATCAAAAGTTAATCCTCTTTAACATTTGTATGAAACTGCTGGGATAAGCTACTCAGGGACACAGAACAAGGTGTCTCCATGTATGCTGACAACACTAAACAGCCTCTCTCTATTGTTTTCAGGGCGTTCAGGTGAGGCAAAGCGAGTGTTGAACAAGTATGTGAAATCAGTAATGGTCTGCATGATAAAACGGGGGTCAGAAATGGGTTTGTTTGTATACCCAGAAAGGATCAAAATTGCAATCTGGGGGTACTCTTTGACTCAACTTTGTCACAGAGTCCCTGGTAGCCTCTGGGACAGTAAAGTGCCTTTCATCAGCTTATCAGTGCTGTGGCATCATCTAGATCAGGGGTCAGCAAACTTTTTCAGCAGGGGGCCGGTCCACTGTCCCTCAGACCTTGTGGGGGGCCAGACTATTTGCGGGGGGATGAACAAATTCCTATGCCCCACAAATAACCCAGAGATGCATTTTAAATAAAAGCACACTTTCTACTTATGTAAAAACCCCAGGCAAGCCCCATAAATAACCCAGAGATGCTTTTTACATAAAACGACACATTCTGCTCATGTAAAAACACGCTGTTTCCCGGACTGTCCGCAGGCCTGATTTAGAAGGCGATTGGGCCAGATCCGGCCCCTGGGCCTTAGTCTGCCTACCCATGATCTAAGCAATATTGATGATTACGTACTCTCTTTACTAGTCTTCTAATTTGAGGACATCTTCTGTATCCCCTCATACCACTCCAACTCTCATTAAGAGCAACCTCAACTCCAACAGTTGCCTGTACTTTTGTAACAAAAAAAGAACTTGTCTAACAAGAGGTGTTTCAGTGGTTTGTGGAATTAGCAAGTTGGAAAGAATTAGAAGCAATGCCGTGGTTTAAGAATGCAGATACACCCTGAAGAACAAAGACAGCTTCTGAAGATCCAAAATTCCAGAGGCCATTAAAGTCCCTGCTCTTCAAATGCAGATTCTTCAGAGAAATGCAGTTCTCACCAAAACAGAAAACCTGCAGTCTGGGCTGTGCCATTTTATCACACTGTAAAGTATATTCACACAAGAAAGTTCAAAACAAAGAAAGCTGACCTGTCAGAAGATTTAAGTTAGAACTCTTCACCCTCATATGCTAGCATTCTTTGTGCAGGGAAATATATATGCAGCTCTGTGAGCCTCAACTTGAAGACTAAAGTAACACAGTCCATAAACAGGTTTGCTTTCTTAGTGACAACGAGATCACTGTAGATAAAATTCAGGGCATGGCTGCTTTCTTGCTCAATTCCTATATACCCTAAGGAACCTTACTGCATTTTTGACCTACAGTATGAAAAATCAGCCCAGACTGGTAGGAGTCTGTGATAAAAGAATGTTGCAAACGTATAATTTGTTTTGTTTTTCAATGATATATAGGCAAGCTGAAGACCCGCAATTCTGTGTACATTGCGTGGTGCTCCTTGATCTAAACTGCAAGCTCATATATTCCTGAATAGATGAAGAAGCTATGTAAATTAACAACAAACCGCAGTGGGAAAGCTTTAAGACAGTCTGAAATAAAGACAAACCACATGAAAGATCCATGTATGTAGGCATCAGTGAACACTACAAATGAAAAGAACTGTAAATGAGGACTAATAAGAGAGGAGATCTCAGAAATGTATGTCTAGAATAGGATGGGGGGGAGAGAAAGGACACATGCTTGGAAACAACTCAGTCCTACTGATTTACAAAGCCTATTTGTGTGTTTTATCTCCCTTAGATCACAACTGAGTACTGAAAATATAGTCATTCTGGACCTGATCCCACATGCAGCCAACACAGATGCATGTCTGGATTCACACCACAACACTCATCCATGTCCCAATAAATTGGCTGGATGTGTATTTTGATACAGGTATGTTCTGCTTATCCACTAGTTGTTGCATATCCTTCACTGTGTGGGACTTCAGCTATATCCATGACTAGATGCTTAAAGTGACTTCTTTATCTAGTGTTAAGAAAAATCAGAATAATGAAAAACAACTGTTGCTTGTCCAAGATGTCTCAGTGTTCACTCTTTTTGAGGTTTACCCTGAACCTGAAAGGGAGGGCATTTTGATTTAGGGAAGATCAGTAAAGCGTGTTTTCCATGGGAAAACGGAGTAATCTGCATAGGGTAACATGCACAAGAGAGCAGAGGGTTTGTTGAGTCCATGGGTCCCTTGATCAACTACAGTGGTACCTCTGGATGCGAACGGGAACCGTTCCGGAGCCCCGTTCACAACCTGAGCAGAACGCAACCCGCGTCTGCACGTGCTGCGATTAGCCGCTTCTGTGCATACGCGTGACGTCATTTTGAGCGACTGCGCATGCGCGAGCGGCGAAACCCAGAAGTAACCCTTTCTGGTACTTCCGGGTCGCCGTGGAACGCAATCTGAAAAGATTTAACCTGAAGCGTCTTTAACCCAAGGTATGACTGTACATTCTTTCTGCAGTACCCCTGTGGGGCTCAGGAGCCCAGTTATGTCACCCCTTGCCTGCAGAGTTTTTTCAAACACGTTCCCTTGTGGAGTGCTTCCTCAGCCTCCTCTCCTCCAGGCAGCCACTGCTGCCCCCCTACTCGAAAGAGAGGTGACTCCTCACACTGCCGCACAGGGGCCTGGGACTTTGTCCATTCCCAACAGCAAGGCCTGGCAGGCAGGCAGGCTGAGCTCCCTTGCCTGCTTGCTTGCTTGCTTGCTTGCTTACTCTGAGGCCGCCTCAGCTCCTGGCAACCAGAACCCCATGGCCAAGAGGCACCATTCATCTGGGAAGCTTGTAGCCAGGGCTGCTGCAACAAACAGCTCTGCAAGCCTTTGGGAGACACAAGAAGGCATCAGGAGGGAGGGAAGGAAAGAGGGATAGAGGCCAGGGTTGCCCGCAGCACCCCTGGCCATCATTCAAGGCACCCCAGTTGAACTGGCTGAACACCACTGCTCTAGAGAGTAATCTAATTTCTCATGTTTATTCTACTTGCCTTTATTAATCAAAGCTAAAAGCACTGAAATGGCCAAGCTTACCTAATATCATAATTTCAATTAGTATCCATTAATTGTCACAAATTTATAAAGGGGGGGTGTCAAATTTTCCACCTCACATCACTGGAGCAAATTCATGCAATTTGCACAGTCTTAAACTTTTAGGCACTATTAAAAACAGATGGTGAGTCTCATGAGCATGGATTGTATCAGGGTGGATTTGATTTAAATCACAATTTAAATTTAAATCACTAGTCAGTAAGACCTGATTTAAATCACTAGTCAGTAAGACTTGATTTAAATCATTTTTTTACAGACTCATTCTTGCTGGTATAATCTTAATATTTACAACCAGATGAAGGTTTCATTTTTGGAATAATAAATTTTCAGAGTAGTTTTTACAGTTATATCAAAAATTACTGATTTGGTTATACTATTAGAAATACATACAGATAATTATGAAATTATTGTGAGATTAAGTTAACTGTTTATATTTGGACAACTTTTCTGCTGTACTTTATTGGAAGGAGAAAAATAATAATTTCCTTAATAACAATTTAAACAATTTATTTAACTAGAACAATAGCATTATAGCATATGTATCTATGTTTGTTAACTGATGCGGTTAAACAATTTTTTAAAAAACAACTTAGGCTGAGTTTTAGCACACATGAAAAACTTAAAACAAATCCTTATTTCCTGATGAACAGCCTTTGGACTATAATGTAACTTAAACAGAAAACTATCTTTAGAAAGATTTTTCCTCCAAAAGCATTTTATTTTAAATATCCGATTTAAATTTAAAAAATAAAAATCCGATTTCTTTTATTATTTTTTTTTTTAATCATTGATTTTTATCCACCCTGGATTGTATGCAACAGTTGGACATGCAGGGATGTGACAGGATGCAACTGCCACATCTGCAGTGTGGAATAATGTGATCACGCCTCTGCTCGACCATCCTTCGCCACAACATGTCAGGCTGCATTTTAAAAAGAAGGATTTCGACATATGACAAGGCCTGGATCATTTTTACCACATGCCCAAACTCAGCCCATATTCGAGAACTGCTTCACATATGGTCAGGGTCCTACACAGGTATCACCTCTGGACAAGAAAACCTGTGTACACGGTCACATGTACCAAATGCATGCAACTATTTCCCCCTGCGTACATGCAGCGGGAAGTTACAACTGGCAACATAAAACACCCAGCAGGACTTAGGATCAATGTTGTGTTTGTTTTTTAAAAATTCATCTATTCAAAAGTTACAGTACAGCTTTGTCCACTGCCATAATATCACATAATGATCAATGTTAATTCTCTATATTCACCTATGGACAACCTTTGGGCCTACAGGTGAGAGAAAAGACATTGCCACGCCCACTTTTAGTTCTGGCCCCACCCGCCATGAGCTCTGCCCACTGCCAGCATGTGAACCCTGACCAATGGCCCCCTAGGCTCTTTTGGGGGGGCTGCCTAATCCTGATGGATGCAATCCTCTTTGGGCACTCAGTCATCTGAGGAAAGAGCAGTGTGTTGTGCACAACAGAAATATATGGGTACACTCTGCAGTGATTTTTCTGGGAGGGGACAAAAGCAGGAATCACCAAAAGCGCAGCTGCCGTGCTACAAGTTCACACAATAGACTTTGCTGTACAACTATGGAGAAAACAACCCCAAAATGAATATGAAAAGCAGCCTTTTTATTTTCTACCAAGTGCCAGGCTGGGCACAATAGCTGGTTTTCTGCCCATGCAAAAAGACCAGTTTCAACCATCAAGCCCTTAGCCTTTTCAGGGTAATAATCTCTGCCTTTCAGCCAAGCTTTTAGAATGGAGCAGGGAAACCAGTGTGGGCTAACTCAAGATATTCCCCAGAAAGACTCTCTTGAAAAGGATACATTTAAAGTATTCTGTTTTTTAAAGGATTTTTAGGGCAGGCCACTTTTATCTGCCCGCCCCCCCTTCACTTCTTGTTTTGTAAACTCTCTACTGAGAAAGTAATCTCTGTTCCATTCCATTCTCCACTCACTAGCTTTTGTTTTATTACCAAACACAGGCAGGGTGCCCATCTAACCACTTCCCCAGTCTGGGTACTTTCCTATTTACCATTAGGTAAGGGGGAAGCAGATGGAGTGGGGAGAGGGAGGGAGGGAAAGAGAGAGAAAGAGTGTGAGAGAGAGTTGTGGAGAGAAAACAGGAAAGACAAACAGGGAAGTTATCCAGAGATCTAAGAGAGCAAGCAAAGCACAAAAGTATTACGGGGAGCGAGTTCAGCAAGGAAAAGCTAACGCCAGGCTTTGAGATCAATCTGGAAACAGGGAGATGAATAAGACCCATGGAGAAGTCCAGTACTTTGTTTTATAAGGGGAGAGGGTGGGCGGCGGGAGGAGACCAAGGATAGGGGAACCTGTGGCCTTCCACATGCGAGAGGACTACAAATCCCATCATCCATAAACACTGATGGCAAATGCAGCCCACCAAAGGACCACAGGTTCCCCACCCAAGGGGTAGACCGTCCCTCAGACTGATCTGCAAAACATAGTGATGGGGGTGGGGAGGGTAGGTCCTGAGACTGGCTGAGCTTATGAACAGATAAGACTGAAAGACCCCCAAGCAGAAAATCCGTACTGGTTCCCATTCGATTGGGGGGGGGGGTATCCGACGACGTCTCGCTCACTTGCCCCACCATCCCAACCTGACCTTGGAAAAGTTGGTTCCTGGCTTGGCATTAATTATATCCCCCTACCTACCTACCTAGCGCCGCCACCTCGGCGCATTGTTTACAGGAGACGGCCCAAGCGCCTAGTGGTTGGGCTCCTTCTCTCCCGACGCTCCCCTCGGCGCCCCACCACACGGGTCGATCCCCGCGGGCTACGCGTGTGCACACGAGAGGGTGCCCAAGTGCCGTGTCTACTACTCCCGGGAGCGAGAGGGGCTCCGGAGAAGTTTCCCCTGGAGTGGGGGAGCGCGGGGAACCGGGAAAGCGGAGCGAAAGTTTGACGAAACTGGAGCAGGGGACCCGAGAAGTGATGGAGAGGAAGGAGCCGCGCGCGCGCACCACCACCCCCTCGTCCGGCGGGTCCCCCAAATAAGTGAAACAAAACCAGAGAGGAGCTGCGGGGACGACACAAACACTCACCATGATTCTCCACAGCCTCTCCGGGCAGCCTTTGCACGCGCGGGGTCAGCGAGGGACGCTGCTGTTGCTACTGCTGTTGTTTGTGTTGCTCAACTAAATCGGCCTGAGCGTCGGGCGGAGAGCTGGGCTTTGCAAAAAAAGGAGGAGGCGGAGAGCGGCCGCCCGCAGATCCACCCCAGCCTGCCTCTCTTTCTCTGCGCGTGACTGGACAGAGAGCGAGAGGGAGAAGGAGAGGGCGGGCAGGAGGGCAGGAGAGAAAGGAGTCGGAGTCGCCGCCGCCGCCGCCGCCGCCGCCGCCCTCTTTCGCTCCGGCGCGGCTGTGATTGCAAGAAGCGCCACCGCGCGCCTCTCCGGGTGCCGGCCCGGAAGCAGGCCTAGGCGCCCTCGCAGCCTCCGCCTCGAGTAGCTCGCTCGCTCGCCACAGGCCTTGGCAATCACAGCGCCCTCTGCCGCAGACCCGCTGGGTCCAAAGGCCGCGGAGCCGCACGCTCGCTTTGCCCCTCGCCCGGGCGAAAGCGAAGCGGGCAGGGGACGCAGCTGCAAGGGGAGGCTTTGGCGCGCGAGGGGAAGCGCTGGCTAGAGCAGGACGAAGACACATCTCACCGCGGCCTGCTAGAGCCAGGGTGGGGTAGGGGTTAGAGGGGGTCGGAGGGAGACCCGGGTTCAAAGGCTCACTCTGCCACGAAAGCTCACCCGTAGGCCGGTGGCTGCCTCTCTTCTCAGCCTACCCCTCATAGACGTGTCTTGTTTTGAGGATAATTTGGAGAGTAAAGGGAACTATGCTCCCTTGAACTTCTTGGAGGAAAAGTGGGGTCTAAATACAATAAAAGGATAATAAACAAACATGACCAGACAGCAACAGCGCTTGCCCCCACTCGTGAGCATGTTTTCCGATACTGGAGGTTGTGCTTGGCATAACCTTATCCTCCATGATTTGTCAATTTTCTGCTTAGGAAAGTGGGGAGAGGTGATGACCCGAAATGCTAAAGACCACACTGCATGCACCTGACAAAGTGGCCTCTCTGACCCAGGAAGACATGCTCAAATAAACGTGAGAGGGTTTAAGGTGTTAGCAGACACTTTGTGGGTTTGGCTGTTACAGGCTAACATGGCTACTACCATCATGAATGTTGTCTTAAGTACCACAGAGACTCCAAAATTACCACTACAGTACTATCCTTTTGCCCACTTCAGACTAACTACTGTATATAGTGTTTTTCAAATGCACCACCATTTCCCGCATTAAAAAAGGAAAAGAGAGGAAAAATCCACCATCACTCTAATGAAGTAAATACATTTCTGTTCTTTACTTCCAAACTCCCTGGAGTATGCCACTTATTCCTTGCTGTCGACTTCATCCTCTTGCCCTGTTACTAACTAGCTTCCACCCCATGCAACTCCCCAGAAACTGCCCTACCAATGATTATGATCCATTGCAATCCACCTTCCACCCACTGCACCCCACAGAAACTGCCCTATTACCAATCACCTTACGTCCAACTCCTTTTTGTTTTGTAAGGAGTCTCTGCTCCAGAGATACTTTGACTGTCCCCTGCTGGTTCTTTTCCTACCTCTAATTGCTCAGTGATTACTGTCACCACAAGGTGAAACGTTTTGTAGTTTCATCCTTTCCATTAGGAACTCTTAGGATCTGTTCTTAATCCTCTTCTTTCTCTTCTCACTACACCTGGGGGACAACATCAGAGTTTGTGGCTTTCCATACCACCTAGAGCTTTCCACCAAATCTCCATTTGTGTCTGACATTTTGTGTTCAGGTGTTTCATTGACACCTGAAATCCAGCTTGTCTCTGACCAAACTTCTCTTTCCTCCTAAGTTTTTCTCTGTTTTCATCAAAGACATCACAAATCACCCTGTTGATCAAGCGCAAAGCTTTGGATTCATGTCTGAGATTTCTTTTTCTCCCTGTATTCAGTGACGCAAGGAAAAAACTCAATTTCTTGACACCAGCTGTATGCACAAATATTCTCTTGAACTGGAGGTTCTATACAATATTTGTTACTCAGGGGTCAGCAAACCTTCAGTAGGGGGCCGGTCCACTGTCCCTCAGACCTTGTGGGGGGCCGGACTATATTTTGGAAAAAAAATTGAATTCCTATGCCCCACAAATAACCCAGAGATGCATTTTAAATAAAAGGACACATTCTACTCATGTAAAAACACACTGATTCTCGGACCATCCACGGGCCAGATTTAGAAGGCAATTAGGCCGGATCCGGCTCCCGGGCCTTAATTTGCCTACCCATGTGTTACATGCTTACTCTTTGGTTGTTCAGAGGGTCCTCTATTACAAAGACTACATGCTGCAAAATCTTATGAGAAATGTTTTAATGCAATTGACGTTGCAGGAACTATGTTGCCTTTTCCCACTATTCCTATGCAAGAGTGCCTATGGTTTAAGGTTTTCAGTCATTCAGTGTAAATCAATAAGTTTTGCATGTGCAAAACTCCTTTTCTGTTGTAGGAAGCTAACTTGAAAGGAGTCCTACAGAGTTAAGCTTGTCTGTCAGTAATGCTACAGGTACCATAGGGCTAAGTGTAACCATATCTTCCCATTGCTTAGATGAAACAATTCAGAAGCAAGACATAAAACTAGAATTTCTAGTCCTGTGATGTTTATTTGGTTAACTGATCAGAAGATCAGTGTAAAAATTCTTCAGGATCTACAAAGCTGCACCTGATAAACAGGCCAATATATTTTAAATTATTATTATTACAATGAGTAATAAAACCTGCTGATGACATGCACTGCCTTCAAAGAGATGTTCACTGTGTGAGAGAGAGAAATGAATTATTCTAAGCTGATACCTGTTGTAGCACATGAGTACATCATCTAAAAGTTACCTTTTTAAAAAATGCATAAAAGGTAAAGGTGACCCCTGGCCATTAGGTCCAGTTGTGACCGACTCTGGGGTTGCGGCGCTCATCTCGCTTTATTGGCCGATGGAGCCAGCGTACAGCTTCCGGATCATGTGTCCAGCATGACTAAGCCGCTTCTGGCGAACCAGAGCAGCGCACAGAAACGCCGTTTACCTTCCCGCTGGAGCGGTACCTATTTATCTACTTGCACTATGACGTGCTTTCGAACTGCTAGGTTGGCAGGAGCAGGGACTGAGCAACGGGAGCTCACCCCATCACGGGGATTCGAACCGCCGACCTTCTGATCGGCAAGTCCTAGGCTCTGTGGTTTAATCCACAGCACCACCCACGCCCCCCCCAATGCATATTTGTCTGTATTTATGCAGATGGGCAGAACAGTCCTCCTAACTCACATTTAGAGGGAGAGGAAAGGAGATGCCGCTACAGGGCGGCTGCCAAATCCATTGCCCTGCAGTGATGCTGTCAGCGAGATGTGAAATGTTATGAGCAGCTATTTCTTTTACTACCAGAGCTGCTATAAAGTTGTGCCGTTTCTGTGGACATGCTGGGGGAATTAAGAGGTTCTGAATGTGGTGTAACAATGCACATCCCTGACATGCCCCATTTTTACTTGCTCCACCAGCAGGACATCACAAATAGAACATCCTCACTGGAGGAACTTTTCAGAGTCCCGCCAGTGGCGTAAGTGTTGCTCCACAATCAACTTTCAGCCCCGTCAGCAGAGCAACGCTTAATGCCCTTAAGGCTCCTCAGCTGGTTTTAAGCTGTGGTTAGAATTGCACCCTTAAGGGGTCATTTAATTAACTGATTAAAAATCCATGCAAGTAAGTAACTAAGATTTCTTTAACCAGCTGACAGCCCTAATAATTTCAGTTGAGTTGCAGAAGTACCAAACTGAGGCAGCAGACAACTGCCACAGGGACATACACAGAGGGCATATTCTTTCTTGCAAACTTAGGTAAAGGGACCCCTGACCATTAGGTCCAGTCGTGACCGACTCTGGGGATGCGGCGCTCATCTCGCTTTATTGGCCGAGGGAGCCGGCGTACAGCTTCCGGGTCATGTGTCCAGCATGACCAAGCCGCTTCTGGCGAACCAGAGCAGCGCACGGAAACGCCGTTTACCTTCCTGCCAGAGCGGTACCTATTTATCTACTTGCAAACTTACATGGCCTGTATTAGCTTATCTTTCAAGGTTTCCTCCAGGGAATTCTGGGAGCAATAGTTTGGTGTGAGATTGCTAGAGTTCTCAGTTAGACATCTCCATGCCTTCTCTGAGAGCAACAATTCTCAGAGTTCCCTGCAGAGAAAGAATGATTATCAAACTAGTTTTAAGTCTGAATAGGCCTGGGATCCATGTAAAACATTCCAGCCATGACTTCACTGACAACCATGGCGCTGGCCTTCAAACCTGCATGCAGTCAATATAAATAATACCAGTAGTACGTACAGTGGTACCTCTGGTTACGTACTTAATTCGTTCTGGAGGTCCGTCCTTAACCTGAAACTGTTCTTAATCTGAAGCACCACTTTGGCTAATAGGGCCTCAGGCTGCTGCCGCCGCTCGATTTCTGTTCTCATCCTGAAGCAAAGTTCTTAAACAGAGGTACTATTTCTGGGTTAGCGGAGTCTGTAACCTGAAGCGTATGTAACCTGAAGCGTATGTAACCCAAGGTACCACTGTAATGTATCTCAGAGTCTTCTCACTCGCATAAGTAACACTATACCATGCCCTAGGAAGTGATCCAGTGCTGTTTACAAAGACATTACTGATGTCAGCATGGAAGCCTGAAAATGCAAGCGTGTCAAAAGATCTTATCAAGCAGCAGCAGCTTGATGAGATACATGATCTCCAGCTTCTTCTCTTCCACAAGGTGAGTGCCTGTCATAAACAAGTTACATGAACCCCAGTCTCTTGAGCGGTGAGACCTTTCAGGGACTTCAAGCTCACACCCGGGCTATTTCCCCTGGAGTGAAGGTCACTGGAGACCAATGGCATTTCTGTGCGATATGGCTTTATTGGCATATATGTACAGGCTGAGCCTAGCACTGGGTTCATCACAGAGTGCAAGACAAGTATGCGTGAGATTGTTAATGGAAAAGGAATATAAATAAAATAGAAAAATATCTCAATCCTCCTGTCTCGATCATGATGAATCCACGTCTCCTCCCACTGCTGAAACAAAATCGGATTTAAACAAAAAACAAAACTCAAGTGAATTTTCTTAACTGGAATTTGCCTCTGGAGGAAAGAAAACCAGGAGTTGACTATATGGTTAAGGCGGGGGGGGGGGGAGGCGAAAAGAAAACAGAGCAGATGAAAGGGGAGAAGGGGTAGGAGGGACAATCGTTGGCTGTTGTCAAGAAAAAGTGTTACCTAGCAACTTTGACACAGTCGGGGGACAAAGAAGGCAGACTTTTGTTATGTACAGAAGTGAGATTATTTTTGCAGCCTTTGGCCAGACAGTAAGTCAAAAGGACACCCCACTCCCCACATGGATGTGGCAACAGCTTAAATGGTGAGTCGCTCCTTTATAAATATTGAATAAGAAGCACATCTGGGGTTTGTTGTTGTCTTTGTTCAAATGCCATAGCTGCAGGCCAAATTAGCTTATGCAGATCCTTTAAAAAACAATTGCTTTCTGAGAACTCAGCAAGGGGGGCGGGCAGAGAAGAAAGGGAGTGAAAGCAATAAATATACTACCTCCTATATCAAATTTCCATAAGTATCCTGCAACGGCTTCAAAAACAGCTGAGAGACAAGAGCACTTTCTTTCTGCTTCTTACTAGGCATTTAAATTAATTGCATACGGCTGCTGACTATGGACCACCTTGATTTCCAAGCATATGCAGTATATTTTTTCTTGTTCTGTTTGACTAACTGCTATAATTTCTTTTCACGTCTTGTCCCATATTCATCTCGGAGACTGGACATTTTATGTATTTGTTGCATATGTCTGTTGGATGGTGGCTCAATTAGGGGCCCCTCCAGACCTGTTTTATCACAGGTGTATTCTGCAACGCTTTCTTGACACGACAATAGTGCATTAGTTGTGAACTTTTTCTGCTCTTCTCTGTTCTGGGATGCTGCCCCAACACTACCACACTACTGCTGTCTGGAGGGGCTACAGTGCAACAAAAGTGGGCAAAAACAAATGAGAACATGTATGTTTTAAAAGGTGATGGGATTTCAGCAGGAATTTACAGGCTATGCCCTGATGGGAAGTGAAGCAGCTTGAGCACCCCAAAAGTTTTGCAGCTTCAAACACAGTATTCAAAGCAGTATAATGTCTGACTGCCCCAAAAGCACCATGAGCAGAAATCATCATGAGTGTGGAATAAAAAGGAAGTGCCCACAGTTTCAACAGCCCCCCCTTTTTTGCAAAATATTTTTTTTGAGAAAGTTTTCAACATAAAATACAATAAAAACCTATCTAATCTAAAAAAAGAAAAAGAAAGAGAGAAAGAGAAGCGAAAAGAGACAATAAAAAGCAAGAAATAGGAAGGTGAGAGAGAAGAAAAAGAAATAAAAAGTACGGTAGTTGCATCATATCCTTTATCCATATACAGAAAAGTAGACCTTCCTAGCTCTCGCCTGAGAACTTCTGTTTCTTACTCCAGCCTCCCACCCTAGGAGATCCTTTCTCCTCTGTCTCCCACACCAGCCAGTCATGTGACCCTTAACAAAGAAAAGGAAGTACAGTGGTACCTCGGGTTAAGTACTTAATTCTTTCCGGAGGTCCGTTCTTAACCTGAAACTGTTCTTAACCTGAAGCACCACTTTAGCTAATAGGGCCTCCTGCTGCCGCTGCGCCGCCGGAGCACGATTTCTGTTCTCATCCTGAAGCAAAATTCTTAACCCGAGGTAATATTTCTGGGTTAGCGGAGTCTGTAACCTGAAGCGTATGTAACCTGAAGCGTATGTAACCCGAGGTACCACTGTACAAACTTTCCATTATGGGTGAAATTGACTAGATCAGAAGCTGCTTAGGATTCGGTTGAGTCAGTTTCCCTATTCTTTTCACTTCCATAGGACATGAAGAAGCAACTCCAAATGCGAGAACCCTAACCCGTTCCCACAAATTACATTTATACATTGACCAGCCTACTGAAGCTGGATCAAGACCAGTGCCTCCACAGGAGATGGTGGCAAATAAAGATTTGTCAACACAGTCTGAATCAGACTGTGAGTGAAGTAGCTACCTCTTCACTGTGTCCATTCAGTCAACTCCCCTTCCTCCTTGCAAATTCTTCCTCAAAATCCATTCTCTCTTACAAGGACTTTCCTGGTCCACCACAGGCTCACCTGTGCTTTCTACCACTATGTAAGCATCCCTGGATGGTACGGGCCCATCTGCACAACATAAACCCCTCTCCACGGTTGCCTTTTCTGTAAGAGGCGCAGGCAGAGAGTGATGAGAAATAGGACATTGTGTCAGTTCCTGGCATGGCCTTGAGACATTACACTGCATTGCACTAAAACTTTTGCAATGCCACAAAAGGAGACCAGCCTGTTCTCAGCACTAGGTGTACTACATGTGTACAAGCTCATCAGAAGAACTGCTGGATCAGTTCCACATTGTGTTTTCCACAGTGGCCAACCAGATCTTCTAGAAGGTCCATGAACAGAGTGTGAAGGCCAACCACTATGACTCACTCCCAGTAGCTGGTACAAACTACCACACTACTTTTGAATCAGGATGTTGAATGTAGTCATCATGGCTACGAGCCATCGACAGACTTCTCCGTGAATTTCTCGAATTGCTTTTTAAAGCCATCTGAGCTGGCCATCATCAGAACCTGGCAGTAGCGAATAGTATTAATTGTGTCTTATACGGAGAAATCCTGTCTTTTGTCTCTGCTACCTCTACTTTTTTGAATCTGCTATCAACCAATTTCTGTGGCTGACTCCCAGATTCTAGTAGTATGAGAAAAGGGGATATATGTTTCTCCATTTTTCCCATCTATGCATAATTATATAAACCTCTATAACAGCCCCACTTAGTCATATATCTATTTTTCTAAGCCAAAAGGACTCTGGTGTTTTCACCTTGATCATTTGGGTTTCTCTTCTCTGCCTCTTTTCCTACTCTATTACATCCTCTTTGAGATGCTCAACCGGAACTGTACACAGTATTTAGAATGAAAGAAATGTGAAGGCATCTGCCCCATCCTTGCCAAGAATAAAAAACAAAAGCAACTACCTTTGTTGCTGAGACAGTTCGCTGTCATGATAGGATGGTGAAATTTGTTTTTGAACTGAAGGGTGGAGGGAAGTATTTACTTTCAGTAACAACGGCACAATCTAACCAAAGCATCATTGATTTCTATAGAAGAGTAGTAGAGCATGTGCTTAAGTCAGAGGTTTTCAACCTTTTTGAGCCCACGGCTCCCTTGACCAACTACATTCTTTCTGTGGCACTGTGATGCCTGGGACTTGGGCTCAGAACCAGAGGAGTCTTAGTCCGCACTGAATCCTTTGCCTCAGTCGGCATCTGAACCAAGTCTGGGGCTTGATTCTGAAGAGCCCCAGTCTGCAAAGGTTCCCCTGCAACAAGCACCAGCTGAGCCAAGTCAGGGGCCTGAGCCTGCCCTGGCTCCAGATGCAGGGATTACCTTGTTGCCTTCAGCTGGGCAACCACTCACAGCTGCTCTGCTTCCAGTTGGGTCAGGAGAGGCTGAGGCGGCCTCTGGGTCTAGTAACCCACCAATATTTCCGGAGCTGCAGAGACTAAGGTCTGAGAGAAGGAGAGACCCAAGTGCTCGCCTTCGGGCGAGACAGGGAGTTGAGTCACCAGGGGATCAGGACTGGCCGTTACCCCGACAAAGATAAAAGGCTGCCGGACCCCACCCCAGATTGCGGGACCAACATTGCTGTTTGCCAGAACCTGCCTGAGACCCTGTGCCTGACCTAGCCTTATTTCCTGGTGTCCTGCCTTGGCTCTGTCGGACTGACTCCTCGTGGAATCCTTGGATTCAGGGCCGGACCTGGACCACGTTGCTCAGGTTAACCCCCGGGCCCAGCACAGACACCCCTGTGGGGTCAGGGGCCCAGTTATGTCACCCCTTGCCTGCAGAACTGGCAGTCTCTTACCCTTTTCCAAACAACCTCCCTTGTGGAGTGTTTCCTCAGCCTCCTTTCCTTGAGAGTCCTTCAGGCAGCCGCCGCTGCTGCCCCTGGTCTCTGCGCTGCGTCCCCACCCCACCCCCACCAAAGAGAGATGCCTCCTCACACTGCCCCACAGGGGCCTGGGACTTGTCTGCCCATTTCCAACAGCAAAGGCTGGCAGACTGGCTGTCTGGACTTCCTTGCCCACTTCCTTCCTTGCTTGCTTGCTTGCTTGCTTGCTTGCTTAATCCGAGGCCATCTCAGCTCCTGGCAACTGCACCCCCTAGCCAGCCACAGAGGCACCATACACCTGGGGAGCTTATACCCAGGGCTGCTGCAACAAAGAGGTACACAAGCCTTTGGGAGGCAGAGATGCGAGAAGGCATCAGAGGAGGGAGGGAAGGAAAGAAGGACCGAGGCCAATGTTGCCTGTGGCACCCCTGGCCACCACTCAAGGCACTCCAGGGTGACATGGCACACTGGTTGACAACCACTGGCTTAAGTATATTCCATTGAAAGGGGGGTTTCAATGCTCTTCAGATGGATGATTGCATCTGTTTGTAAACCAAAAAGTGTGAGGGTTCAAGCCCACCTGGAAGCTGACTGAGGAATCCTTTCACCCAAAGTCAGAAATAGGAAGAGCAGCTGCAGGGAGTCACTGGTAAGAGGGGACAGACTTCAGAGATAACACTCTTTTCCATTTGGCTGGGAAACGGTGCTGGGTTACACTTGATATGGGAAAGCCAGGTCCCCAAACTGAACAACGGTTTCAACAATAAATTCCAGGCCTGGTGCTGCTCAAATCAAGACCCTAATTGGCAATCACATTTCCATGAGCCTAAATGGTACATGCAATATCTTTCCTTGAGTGAAAAACATATACCAGAGGTGGGGACTACAGTAGCCCAGATGTTGATGGACCCCAACTCCCATCAGTAACATGTAGGGATGATGGGAGTTGTAGTTCAGCCATATCTAAAGGGCCACAGGTTCCCCACTCTTGCTATGTATCATCATACATGTAGAATAGGAATATCCCTGCCCAGGAATGGTAGCAGCGTTTGAATAAACAGGACCTAGCAGGGGCTAGTTAATATTGCAGTGCAAGTTGCATGATCACCATTCACAAATTCTGATTACTATCAATGAAGAAAGATTCCAGCATTCACCTCCAGTAATAGCTGTTGGCTCTGTTCACCTCCGTTGGGCAAACAAAACTTTGAAACCATAACATCTTAATGTAATTAATCAGCTGCTTTCCATATAGCACATGCTGTACACAGGCCTAGATGGAAACATCATCAAAGCCAACTTAGGCAGCGCTGTGGGGCTTCAAGATAGCATCATTAAACTGAGCTGTGTTTCTGAGTTTCTGTTTTCGTTTTGATAAGATGCTTCAATGCTTCTTCACAATTGCATCTCTTTTATTGATGCTGACGGTGCAACGTGTGTGTGTTGAACAGCACACAATCCTTTGAGACAAAGAGCTTGCTGGGTCTTCAGAATATGATCTCAGTGGCACGGCCAAGACTCCAGGTCACCTTTCAAAACTGTCAGAAGGGAGGGTGTCTTTAAATGGCCAGTTCTTTTGTTCTTCAGCAGACCTGTTGCAGACTCTGTTTCTCAAGTTCTCGTTCATCTCATGACTCAGGCTCCCTGTCATAGAGTCTCTGGCATTAAAACCTTTCCTTCACACCTATGCGAGATTGTTCACATCTTCCTTACTTGTGGCAGTCTGTTTAAGAGTGGCTTTTAAGGTTAGTACAACATTTGGGATTATTGACTTCTTTATAGAGAGAAAAATACAAGAACTCGCCGGCGTTCATCTAGACATTGGATTCAATCAAGTTGGTTGGATTCCCTGGAGTGTAAAAGATAACGTGTAACAGTTAGGCCAGATCAGAGCAAAATCAATGTATTTTTAAAGGCATTCACTTCAGTGGGAGGGAATAGAAATGTTTTAAACTGTATTGGCTTCCAGACAATGTGTTTTTATTCAGAATTTATTCAGATTTGCTTGTTTATACAGCATCATGTCAAGCAATTGTTATCCCACGCTTTTTCACTGCTTTTCCATTGCCTTCCTTGCTGTAGAAAGTCAGGTTATTTTTGAACCAGGCTTAATGTATAAGAGCACCAGATCCAAAACCATTTTAATTGCACAAGCTGAATTTGCTGCAATTCTACTTGCAAACTCGCCACAGTCTAGAAGCGCCCTGTCTCACTAGAAATGGGGGTGTTTGCAATTATTTAAAGTTGTTTGTCAAACTATTTTTGCACGCCTTTGTGGATTTGGAACAAGGAGCCTGGGTACTACGTAAGCAGCCAAGGGAACCAAATTTCACTGTTTTCCTAGGAGAGACATCCTTTAGGCATCCGTTGTTCTGCAAGTTGTAAAAAAAATTTTTATAACTTTGCCTCTTCTCTTTTTACTCAGGACCATCTACGAAAGAGGAGATGGGGGATCTGAAGAGTCCATTTGCCAGCCCCTTCACAGGCAAAGACATCACTGTTCTGGCAGGGAAGCTTAAACACATGGCCCTGAATACCCCACTCCGTTTCAGCGCTCAGGCCTTGAGACCCCATTCCAAGAACAGCGCTCGGTTTGGCTGCCTCAGCCATCACTCTTTCTTCTCACGGCACAATCCCCACCCTCACAGAGTCACTCATATTCAAGGTAAACAGGCAGCAGTGCCATCCTGTACAAGTCTGTTCAGAAGTAAAGTTCAGGCATGCTTTTGTTAGGTAATGAAAATCCGAAAGCGCTTAAATAAATAAATAAAAATGTGCAAAAGTTGCAGCACAAAATTGCTGCTTATAGGTGTAAATTACAGTGGCATATTTATGTGCTTTGCATGCAATAGAATGCAAAAAGTACAATGTGTGACAATTCAATTAGCTCTTTAAGGCATGCAACAACTACAAAAATTCCTCCGGTAATTAATACCCTAATGTAGGCTCACCACGCCACAGAAAGAGGCTGTGCATACACCATACATTGAAAGCACATGACCTCCCCCAAATAACACTGGGAATTGTAGTTTGCCAAGGGTGATGGGAACTACAGTTCCCAGGATTCTTTGAGGGGCGTTGGGTGCTTTCAATGTATGGTGTGTACATAGCTGGAGTCTCACCTTTCAGTAAGTTTGAAGGCAGAATTGGAGCCTTCAAAATCCGAAATGGATTCCAGAAGGGAGTTCTAAAGACTCAGAAGGCACACAGGTGAAGAATCTGAGTCTAGGAAATCCTTTCTGAAGCAGAACCAGGTAGCTCCTCCAATCTCTAGCTTAAGCCAGTTTTCTTCTACAGTATAATGTGATTCTTTCCTGTGCAACTTACCCATGGATGCCTTCTTCTGTTGCAGGTTTGAACGGTGCTCCTGTTTGCACAGTTAATGACGAGTGGTGCGAGCAGACCATTCTGCCACCTCACCCAATGATAAAGAGTCAGATTCGTGCTTCTATTTTGGGGGCACCTGGGGCTCAGATACCCATCGGAGACCCACAACCTGTTCCAGTCCCCTGGCTATCGACAGGTTAGTACGCAACAGGAATATTTCCAACGCAAGCGCCACACTCAGACTTGCACAACTTTCCAGGGGTGCACACTGGCAATTTGCAAAACAAGAGTTTTTTTGGGGGGACACCTCCCATTCACTTCAAAATGAGCTTTCCCCCACTATGCAAATAGCCCACAGGGGCCTTGATCTGGATTGGGGCTAATAGTTAAACCTTCTACACACACACATCTATTCCACAAACATGCTAGGATCTCAGTCTGGATCATGTTCCTCATGCTCAAAATTTGTGGGATACACACACACACACACACACACATATAGGTAAAGGTAAAAGACCCCTGGCCAGTTAAGTCCAGTCAAAGGCGACTATGGGGTTGCGGTGCTCATCTCGCTTTCAAGCCAAAGGAGCCAGCATTTGTCCACAGACAGCTTGCCGGGTCTCGTGGCCATCATGACTAAACCACTTCTGGCGCAACGGAACACCATGATGGAAACCAGAGCACGCAGAAATGCTGTGTACCTTCCCGCCACAGCGGTACCTATCTATCTACTTGCACCAGCATGCTTTCAAACTGCTAGGCAGGCAGAAGCTGGGACAGAGCAACAGGAGCTCATCCCGTTGTGTGGATTTGAACCGCCAACCTTCTGATCGGCAAGCCCAAGAGGCTCAGTGGTTTAGACTACAGCACGACCCGCATCCAAATATCTGTGCATAAGGGCACAGATCTGGAGCTGGTGTATTTTGTAGCTTGGTGCTTAGATCTGATACTGATAAGAGTCTCCGGGTGAAGACTTTTTCCTGCCTGTTTGGACAATTACAAGGAAGCCTGCCTCCAAAGGAGAGAGAGCTGTTCGCACAGTCCTGATAGTCGTATGAAACAGGTTTTGGTGTGTGTATGATTTGTTGCCCCGTCTTACGATACCACAGAGAGCACTACTGTCAAAAAGCTCAGCTTAGCTTCCTTCCGAGATCCACTTCACCACCTGCAATCTATCCTAATCAACAAGGGTTGTCAATGCTATTATATCACAGACTGTGCCATTAAATATCATCATGATGAATATGCCTCCTGAGGACACGGTGATTAATAGCACCCGCATTAAAGCAGAAATGGGGGGGGTGCCTGTTTCTTGAGCTGCCTTGCGTGATCTCAGCAGGCTGTAATGTGGTTCTCAGCTATTTCTGAATCTGCATCAAATTATTGCCAGGGGTTTAACAGATTCCACTTGGGTTCACATCCATACCAATATATACAAAGCATTCTTATACCACTGTCTTATACCATTTTCAACAGCCATGCCGTTTGTTAAGGGTGCTGGGAATTGTAGCCCTGTGAGGTCAGCACCCTTAAACAGCACCCTTAAATAAACTTCCAAGGTTTATTTGGGGAAATCCATGGCAATTACAGTGGTAAAAGAGTGCTTCGTCTGTATGGCGTGAATGTGGCCTCGTTTCCGATCTGTTCCCGAATGTTCATCAAGTTGCTGCTGAATGTTCAACAGCATTTGAAACAATGATCTTCAGTCGTAACCCAAAGGCCAGGATGCCTCTGTCAAAACTAGCATATAAGAAATAATAGAATGAGCATGCTAGTTTTGAATGCACAAGGGGTTTTCGTGTAGTGGAACGTTCAGTCCGCCTTCTGAAGTGGTACAGTCCAACTGCCTGCTATTAATATATCACACAAGACTGCCAGTCATGTGTTTTGCCTATAAGACTGTTCCACACATTACGCACAGAGGCAAGCTCAGGGAGGGAAGCTGCAGCCGATCCTGGCTCCCACATGACCGCATCCCAGCCGCTTTTGTTTTTATTTCGAATTTGCCATCTTCCTCATTCCTCCCCTCTCTCAAGCAGGTTCTTTGTCCAATGCCTGGCGAGAAGAATTGAGGGAACTTGCTGCAAGAGTCAGAGCCGCCTCGTCCACTGAGAAAAAGGAGGCAGTGAGTAGGAAAGGGTGGCGCATTGTGATCCCATACCTTGGGGCTGATTTGCTAAGGAAGGGGGTGAGCCCAACACTGGGAATGAAAGTAACCAAGTACAGTGGATGGGAGCAAAAACAGTCCAGCACAATTATTTGTCCAGATAATGAGGAAAAATAGCACTGCTGTTTTCCATTTTGTAACCCTGCTGAGACTTGGGCCGTCTTCTTTAGTGATTCTTTCAGAAGATGACAACTCCTCATTTTGTTCATATCAGAATAAATTACTTCTCATTCAAAGAATACCCAAAGACGAGTTAGTGGGATGCTTAACATACAGGGAGGGGGTGATAAGCCCATGGTACAGTGGATTGGTGTGTCTGACTGTTAACCAGAAGGTTGGTGGTTTGAGCCCACCCAGGGATGGCAGTGGGCAGGATTCCTGCAGTGCAGGGGATTGGATGAGATGGTCCTCGAGGTCCCTTCCAACTTTACAATTCTATGATTTTATGATATAGTTACATGATGGACTTCTGTTGAAATGAATAAGCATGCATAACACTCCCCTTCAGGGGGCAAGGAACCTGCAACTTCTAGATGTTATTGGACTCTCATCATCTCTGTTGGCTAGAACTGATGGGAGCTGGAGCCATCATCTGGAAGGGAACAGGTTCCCAAACTCAGCTCCACCATGGGCTGGGCTGAGACTGAAACTCCAAGAAGCTAAGAAGAGCCTGCTGGATCAGGCCAATGGCCCTTCTAATCTAACTCCCATAGTGACCAACCAGGTGCCCATGGAAAACCCATGAGATCTAAGCAACCTCCAGATTTAGGGATGTCAATACTCTAATCCATCTTACTTCTCTGAACTCGGAGGCTAAGGTCCAATATCAGAGGGCAGGGCACTGTGGAAAGACTGGGGTGGTTCCTAGGCAAAGAATGGCATGCAGTTGCTAGCCTTCCCATTGTTGAAACATTGGCTCCAACTGACTTTCTGGAGCAGCTGCCTGGGCCAATTCTCAATTAAATATTTGTGGCCGGTTACACAAGGCCAACCAACTACACGCCACTACCACCACCTCTAGTTTTGTAAGGGTTGGTGCTGAAACTCTACCGGAGGTCAGAATTATGGAGCAGCAGAAGACTAGCACAACCAAAATTTGAGCTTATCCTCAAATACAGACAATACTGGGAGCAGCTTGTTCCAACCTAACCTGGATGATGGCTCAAAAATGAAGTGCTGCCCTTTCTGGGAGGAGTTTTGTTCACCCAGCTCAGATTCACTGAGTGCTACAAACCACTCATATTTAGAAACACAAGATTCAAGGCTCTGTCTTTCCATATCAATCGTTTAAAGCCGCAGCTCAGTGGTTCATTCACACACACACACACACACACACATAGATATAGATATATACAGAAAAGTTGGGTGTCTCCCCCTCTCTCTGCCGAGCAGTAGCAAAAGTCCATAAGGTTCCAGGCACTCGCCCAGGGTTTGGGCTCCTTTGGAGAACTGAAAGCAGCGGAGACCATTGTAGCTTTAAGAAATATGATCCCCCCCACACACACACCTATTTAGTCTGCATGGATGGAGTCCAGATTTTATAGCATGGTCATCTCAAGAGGGTCAGTGCAGCACTCAGTCCAAGGCATCTCTCCTAATTATACCTTCCTAAAAACTAAGCCTCCTCTATTCAGTTTCGTTCTTTTGATGCTTTGAAGTACTCATGATTAGGTTTCACCTAACAAAGGAGTTCCCCTGCCTTCATCAACACTTGTTGATTGACTAGGATTAAAGATTGGTAAGCACTTAGAACATTTACCTCTTTCCATGCTAATTGCTGATGCTCAGAAGTAGGTACACACATTCCAATACACATGGATCTTGATTATATTCTCGACATTGGACACAGTCTTTACAAATAACCTCTGATTAAACCTCTTGCATAACCCCTTTCTAATGCACATTGAGACAGTCTTGCAACATATCCCAGTTATAACATACAAGTTCTAATTACATTCTTTTCATTCAACCTAAACATTTAGCACCACAGATCTATCTAGATCCATCCATCCATCCAACTATACACGCACACACTCTCACATGTACACATCAATCAATCAATCAATCAACCAACCACTCAATCGTGTTTAACTTTAAGTCATTACAAATCTTTCACACACATATACACTGTTGGCCACCAGTAGATGGCTCACAAGCCTCAGCTATAAATAAGGATGGCTTATTTTGATTTCAACATCTAGTACTTTCCCCATGTCATATTTTGGAGTCTTACGTAAATTTTCTTGATACTGAAAGGCCACACCTTTAAATCACTATTACAACATTTAACAGTTGTGGCTTCCCCTAAGGAATCCTGGGGGACCCCTATTCCCCTCTCAGACTGATTTAACAGTGCATCTCTCTTTCCAGGAGACTCTGGGAACTATAGTTCTGTAAGTGGAATAGAAGTCTCTTAAGGACTTTCAGCACCCTTAACAATCTACAGTTCCCAGGATTCTTTGGGGGAATCAGTGACTGTTAAAGTGGTATGAGGGCACTTTAAATGGGTCCAAAATGCATTCGCAATGGTTTCTTAAGAAATGTGTTTCCTTTACTGGAGCAAAAATAGGCTCCTGAGTTTATGTCTAAGTTAAAGGTTCCTTATCAGATCCATAATCAGAGAATTAATTTGCTGTAATATATGCTAATAGTGAATATGGAGCAGACTGCAAACTCAACTCAGCAAGATCAGAGCATGCTCAGTAGACATGGAATGCCGATTGACAGATGAGAGCAGGTGGGAAAGGAGAACCTGGGCAGGAGGGGAGGGGAATGGAATGGAATGGCGTATCCTGAAAGAGGGTATGGCTAGCTTACTACAACTCTGGACAGGAGCACTCTACATTGCAATATTTTGTGTCTGACTTGTTCTTCCATGTCCAGTTCCTCTACTGTAGCTTGTTGTTGTATTTTAAGGCAGAAAAGTCTCGGAGGGAGACGCAATACTCAGAAGAAACAGGACGTCTCATCCCACCTCCCTCTCGAGCTACAGCTTGCCATTCGTCCCGCCGTTTGCACAGGAACAATGCCAGGAATAAAGGCAAGGATGCGACCCTGCTCTTCCGGGACCAAGAACTTATAGTAAGCCATGCATGGGGGGGGAAAGGGGGCAAACAGACCCTTCTTTTCTTTTCTTTTAACCTGTACCACAAACCAATTACAACTATTTTCCTGGAAATTAATTGATGGAGTAATAAGAAAAGTTTCTGCTCAAAGCTGATTATAAATTAAATTTGATAATTGATGGAATAATAAGAACAGTTTCTGCTCAGAATGGATTAGAAATTAAATCTGATAAAGCAGATAATTATCACACAGAATTGTTATGTTTCATTTGCTTTGGGGAAAAAGTTAGGAAAGCAGCAAAGTGCCTGGAGATGTTTATCTTTTTATATACCATTTGGTTGTAAGAAATCTAAGTGGATTACAAAACTATCAAGTAAAACATTAATAAAAAAAACCAGTTAAAAACAGGTATTTAAAAACATTCAAAAGATGATTAAAATGAACAGTAACCAAAAAAGAGATAAGTACATGTAGTTTGCCTAAACAACAATGTTTTAAACAAGTTCTGAAAAGAGTACAGCAAAGGAACCTGCCTGGTGTCAATAGGTGAGGGGGTCCAAAGTGTAGATGCTGCTGAACTAAAGGATTGATTTCTTACAATTGTGGAACGAGTATTATATGGCATCAGTAACAGCGCCAGTTTCACAAATTCAAGCAGCTGCATGTGCTTATATGGATTAAGGTGATACTTCAGGTAAACTGGTCCCAAGCTGTTAAGGGCCAATAGTAACACACTGAACTTGGCCCAGCCCAGCGGCAAATGGGCAACTAGTGCAGAACTCTTTGAAAAGAATAAAACCTGGTTCTAAATAGCTACTGTCTGAATGCCCAAGTAGAGTGAGTGCCCAAACAGACCGGAGATTCATATGACACAACTGTTGCTAGGCTGTGTAACTCAGGCCTGCTGCATGCTAACCTGCCTGTTTAAGATCTTATTCTCAACCCCCACCCCCCAGAGAGTTCATGTCTCTCCTCTTGAATACACAAATCGATTTTGTCTGGTAGAACTGGGGAAAACTGGCCTTAGTCAACTTTTCCATAGCCCATCTCCCAACTTCCAAAAGATGTTGAGGCATCTCCCTGATGGACCTGACTGACTAGTTATTGGCAGGCCACAACCACCTGTCAACCAAGGCCCTCCTGGATCAGAAACTCTTTCAAAGATTACTGTTGCCAGTCCCTCAGCATTACTGCTACCTTATACCTTATATTGGTATTAGGGTCCTGGGCATACTTCTGGCCAGACTCAAAAGGGATATTTCCCCTTAACATGCCTAGATCCACTTGGCTCATGCTGCATGTGTGCAGGGTTTGACAGAGAAAAGCAAGCTATACCTTGGGCTCTGGGCTAGCTCTGTCCCCTCATAAGTGTTGGACTCTGAGAAAGCACACCTGTCTACAGATTGAGGGGTCCTAAGGGGAGTGTGGTGGCAACGGGGAAGATCTCACACTGCCCATGGCATTAGGTTACTCTCCAACACCAAGTAAAAATTCCCAGGACCTTTCCTGGAATTCCTAAGCATTCTAGCGTTGCCATATTTTGAAGAGCAAAAAAGAGGAGACTATGACGGCCATTCAAAGCAAATAAATGCAATGTGACTCAAATTATACCCCTGAAAAACAGGGAAGCGGGTGGCGCTGTGGGTTAAACCACAGAGCCTAGGACTTGCCAATCAGAAGGTTGGTGGTTCGAATCCCTGCAACGGGGTGAGCTCCCATTGCTCGGTCCCAGCTCCTGCCCACCTAGCAGTTTGAAAGCATGTCAAAGTGCAAGTAGATAAATAGGTGCCTTCCGGCGGGAAGGTGAACGGCGTTTCTGTGCGCTGCTCTGGTTCGCCAGAAGCGGCTTAGTCATGCTGGCCAAATGACCGGGAAGCTGTACGCCAGCTCCCTCGGCCAATAAAGCAAGATTAGCGCTGCAACCCCAGAGTTGGCCACGACTGGACCTAATGGTCAGGGGTCCCTTTACCTTTACCTTATACCCCTGAAAAAGAGGGTGTGTCTTGGAAAAAGAGGACACAAGGCAACCCTAATTACCCTAAGATAGGTCTCCATACCTTGCTGCCTGCAAGCTACTAGGTATAAATGGAAGCCCACCAAGGGTTTGACCAGCGTCCTCATTCTGACCCCTGCCTGGGACTGCAGGAAGAGGCGTGGGGAGATTGCACCATAGGAACAACGAATGGTAAGGTAGGGCAAAGTTCTCACCAGCATAAAAATTACCGAGATAAGCCTGTGTGTATACCCTCTTGACCCTGTTGTTTCAATGTCACTCCGACCCCGGTTGTGCTGACACTTTCCCACTGTACTCTTCTGCCAACAGATTTTGGAGCTGCTCTGTCAGATCCTGCAGACAGATTCCTTGACTGCGATCCAGCAATGGCTGCTCATGGCTGCGCAGAGGGGTAAGGTGTATGCAGAGCCTGCAAGGAGCAAAAGCCTTTGGAAATTTGGATTAACTCTACTTTGTTATCAGCTATCTCCCCCTATTAACACCTGTTGCAGCTCAGTGGGTTGTTGTCTAATGCATCGAAACACTCAGGGCACGCAGCACGTTTGCAACGCCACCTCGAAGCATAGGCCTTTCCACACATTACAACACAGCAGCACCCGGATGCAGAATGTGCAGCCGACAAGTCAGTGCTGATTTTCTGGTCATTGTTTCCAGCTATGTCTCATTTGCATATAGCCCAGCCAATGTGGTCCGTGAGTTGGTACCCTGCATTACCGCAATGCGCTCTGTGTGGTGCCACCCTTAGAACTGGCCTGGGAGCTGCAGCTAGTGCAGAATTTAGCAGCTCAGCTGTTGAGTGGGCTGGGTCCAGTGGCAGAGCAAGCCGATGGGGCAGCCTGGGGATGGGGCCAGCCACCCACAGGGGCGGGGCCAGCTGGAGCAGGATGCTCCACAGAGCCTAAGAGGAGTCTGCCTGCCTCCTCCCACTCAGCTGCCCTACAGCAGCTGTGGGCGGACTGTTTGGGGCAGCATGGAGCCTGCGGGCACTTAAGCCACTGCATCACTCCCAGGAGGGACGCGTGGCTCAGGCATGCTGCAGGCCCCGCGATGAGTGCCACCTGGCAGTTTGTCACACACACACCCTCAGTGGCGACACCCAGGGCAGGGCAGCCTGCCCTCACCGCCCTCCCCTTCCTCCACCCCTGGCTGGGCCATCGAAACCGCACACATCACCTCTGCTGAAATATCTGCCCTGGCTGCCAATATGCCAGCAGGCCAAATACTTTACTTGCTGGACCACCTCACTCCATATAGCCTTGCCAGACCACTAGATCATTAGGAACAACACTTTTGCCAGTGGTGCATGGTGGAACTACCAGGAATAGGTCCTTAATAGTGGCAATGCCAAAAGCATGGAACTCCCAACTGATATTAAGCAAACACCTCACTATTAAGCATCGGACACTTAAAGCTTTTTTATTCATTCAGGTATTGTGACTCAGCTGTGTTCAATCTGCATATTATGAACAGTTTTCTTTGTTTTATTAAGTTTATGTTGTTTTATTAGTGTCTTAGGCACCTCACCCTTTTTGTGACTTAGCAGTATATGAACCTGCATGATGAATAAACATAATAAATTAGATTCCTAGATATGCACCTAAATTAGCAACATAGGAATAATTCCTAAGTGTGGTTCAGGCATGTTAACACCTGTACAACGCCTTCCTCTAAGGAAGTCCCCAAGTGACTTTACAGCCAAAGTGAAAATGCAATAATAAAATCACATAAACGTTATTAAGCACAGTCCTATCACCAGGGTTGCCCAAATGCCTGGGGAAACAAGTATGTCTTTGCCGGATGCTGAAATGATGACAAAGTTTGTGCTAGTCAGGCCTCCCTGAGGAGAGCACTCCATCAACAAGAGGCTACTACAAAGAAGGCCTGTTCTCTCATCACCAACCCTCAGAATTTCCAAAACTTGGGTCTCCAGCTGTGAATAAAGACTGGGCCCTATTTGTATCTCATATGCATAAAATGTTTCTTGGATAATATTTTCACAATGCGCCCTTTATTTGCATCAGTGTGTCCCAAGCGTGTGTCTCTAGCTGCTTTTGGACTACAGTTCCCATCATTGCATACCACTGGTCCTGCTAGTTAGGGAAGATGGGAGTTGTAGTCCAAAAACAGCTGGAGACCCAAGTTTGGGAAACCCTGCTCTATCTAGATCCCCCTCAAATATCTCAAGGTCTGGGCAGGTTCATTTGGTTATTTACAAACTGATAGTTTTATATGGGAATGATAACTTGTGGGCTAATTCTTATTTATATGTGAAATTGCATGCAGAAAAAAAAAGAAGGGCAGCTGGAACAAACCTATTTATTTTACCTTAAAACTGTGCAGGTGAGATCTTTTGATTCCTAAACATGTCCTCTCCTCTCCCTGCAGAAAAGGACCTTGTCATGGGATTGTTGCAGACGGCCACTGCCAATTTACATCTTGATCCTCAGGAGCTGACCACAAGCATGGAAAGTGATGGAAAGCATCCATCACAGTTGCCCCCAGATACTTCAGGATTTGCCCCCAAACAACGCAGCCTTGGGAGAAATCATGTGTCCAGGTGCCCTCTTTGCAAGTCCTTTGAATGTTTGCTAAAATGAATTTCTGTTGCATATTACAGAAAATAACTAGACACGTTATGGGGGAAAGTACTTCTTGACACAGCACAGACTTAAATCATGGAATTTGTGCCCACAAGAGGTAGTGGTAGCAAGCAACATGGATGGTTTTAAAAGAAGTCTAGACAAATTCATGCAGGGTAAAGCTATCAATGGCTACTAGCTGCCCAGAGTGGCTGGGACAAGTGGCTAGGATGGACTACAATTAATACATTCTCATTATTGTTATCACCTTCTACTTCCAGTAGAGCGTCAAACCCACTGGTTATATGTTATATAAACACAGGGCTGAATTTAGGTTTGATGAGGCCCTAAGCTACTGAAGGTCATGGGGCCCTTTATATGTCCAGCTTTCCTTTGTCAACAACCAATTGTCACTGTTTTTTGTGTTGAATATATGCTATACGGTAATTTATGGGCCTAATAGGTATCTAAAGCCATCTGCACAAACCAAAATATGTATTTTATCAAAGTAATGGTTGAACTGAAATACAATTAAGAAGAAGTATATTAATAGTGAAATTGGGGGAGGGGGGCAAGAGAGTGGGGCCCTAAGCTATAGCTTGTTTAGCTCATATGTAAATGTGGCACTGCATGAACATTAGGGACACAGCCAGCGGACTGCTAAAGTCTCCCCAGCATCATTCCTGCTGGAAAGAAACCATTTAAAGGGCTATGCAAATGCTGAAAATGAACAGATTGTCCAAGATGATCGCAAAATGACAAAAGTAGTTTTCATGCCAGAAATGTTGGTCAAGGTGCGTAGCTTCTCTTATAATCATGTTGGCCCTGGTTTATTTTGTTGCAGGCTGTCTGTTATGAGACAAAAACAAGAACCTATCCCAGAAGAAGAAAAGCCAGGTAAAAACAAAAACAAAAAAAAAACCCTGTAGAAAATGCTGTGTTTTCATTGGAAAATGCAAAGCATTAAGTAGGTGTCCCTGCGGCAACCAGTGGAAATGTCCTGCGTAGGGATCTTAAGCAGGAAATTAGCTGCTGGATGTGCTTCAGGTGGGTTGAGACTCAGACTCGAGACTCAGAATAAGCCAAGGGCAGTGCCCGATTACACAGCTCAGCTTCCAACATGTTCCCATCAAACTATTTCATATGAGGCCATCTGCGCAGGGTATGCTTGCTCCTTAGGCTCAGTGAACTACCCTAAGGTGGAGGAGCAGGACTGCATATGTATTGTGTAAGCACTTAATGTGGAATTATGCTTCATCCCTGCTTTGTGCATGCTGAACCACACAGAGAGCCAACATTGTGCCCTCCTGACATATAATTACAGCAGGACTTATATAATTACAAAATGGATGGCACAATCATTTCCTGTATTTCTAAAGAAGGAAGGTGTTCTCACCTGGGGCCTATGTGAAGTCAAGCCTTTGGTGAGCTGCATCCAGAAAAGCGAAAGATGCTGGCACTTCCTCAAAAAGCTTCAGGTTTATCAAAGTGATCTTTGACTTAAGCAAGGTTTTTCTGTTTGCGTTTTCTGTCGTGGCAGTGGGCCCAGTCCAAATCAGCAACGCTCCTAGACATAGGACATGACTTGATATTTCGTAACCAGCAACTGGAGAAAGAAAATTAGCCATGTATGCTTCCCATGGGACTTGATAGATATTTGTAATTAACATTCCTTACTGGTGAATGTGACCTGTTTTTAAATAACAGGCTCCCTGATCCTTCATTGAAACGGATTGATACTTTACTGTTCTGTGGCTAACAAAATTTAACAAAATTTCTCCTGCAGATTACTTTTCATGAGCGCTTCCCAGCATTTTGGTCTCAAGTTTAGGTTTTAGTCCGTTCCGGCCTTACTCTTAGACAGTTTGAGGGGACTCCTTCATACTTCATATATATTTTTGAATACCATTAAAGGGGTGAAAAATTCTCTATTACTATTTCCCCATCCCCACACACAACTGAGTGGGCCTTTTTGATCTTTGACCTCAGGCACCAAGTTAACTTGGATTATCTTTCCACTTTATATTTGTATAACCCTATTGAATTGTCTGCTGATTCTGGCTTACTTCGGTGGATGCAAGCAATCAGCCATCATTCATACCTATGCTACCTAGTTGCCCAAAGGAGGTTTGGAAGTCTGGTGGTATGCCTTTATAGTGTTTAGGGGAGCAAATCTGGGCAGGGGGTTTACAAAAATGTGGCCATAATCTCTGGTTCTCATTGTTAAGTTGTAGGTGAACATATCAGACGACACAGCGATTCTTCAAACAGCTCTTGTTTATTCACAGGCCAGAACAGAACTGAACTGAAGGGTTCAGTCAGCCTGCTTATATAGAGCTCCAGTACATCGTAACTGTAACAACTTTTCTAAAACTATCCAATCACTGAACGTCACTTTCGATCCCTTATTTGCACAACTATCTACAGTATCCCCCTGCTGGCCCAGGGTGAGAACTTCAGTACATAACACTCATATCCACTGGAAACACATTAACCAATCCATCTCATTTGTGCTTTCCATTTTCAGTGCACATTGGCTCTGCAGAGGTTCTCCAGTTTCACCCCTCTGCAGATGAAAAGCAAAACCAATCAGACCAAACCAATTAGAAAGAAACCTTCCTCCTGATGTGACTACTCTTGCTGCTCCAGCTTGTAGTGTTACCGCTCCTGCTACTCACCCAATGGCAACAATGCTGCAAGAAAAAGGGCTTCTTTAGAAAAACCCGGCATCTCAGAACGTGCCTCTTGGATTGAGGCACTGCAGTCTTCAAGGGGGATGACATTTTGAGATATTGTTCAATGAGACTCTGCACAATTCTGAAACCGTTGGAAAGACCCATTCCGCTGTGTCCTCCTGTGTCCCAGCTTGGTATTCAGCATGATTCAAGAGAGGAACTCCAAGAAGTTGCAGAATGATGAACATGGAAGGTGCACCTTTAATGGCATGGTGCCTATTGTAGGACGATTCTGAACTTTGAGACAAGGACTCAGAGCCTTTCATTCCTTCTTTGATAGCTGGTAGTATGTCAATTAATTATTTCCTCTCTTGGAACTATTTGCATTCCATCCCCACTTCTGTTTGCTTGCTTGCTTTTTAATGACCATAGTAGGAGTGCAATTAAGATGTTACAAAATTCTGCAGCTTTGTTTTTAAAAAATAAAAAGCTAGTAGTTTGAGGCTGTTGCTTAGTGCTCTGAATTGTCCTGGGTGTGGAGGAGCTGAAACTTTTCCTAAAGAGCTAGGCTCTAGTTACCTGTTTGGGCTGTGAAACCGACTAGAGTGAAGGGGAGAGGACAGGGAGAAAGATTCCTCCTGCTCAGGAATTTGCTGATGAAAGTCATGTATATTACGTGAAACAAGGATTTAATCATACGGAATTGTTTTGTTGTTGCTGCTGTTGGGTTTCTAAAGGCAGCCTGTAGAATTCTCTTTAACAATAAATCTACAATGAGCAAAAACATTCAACATGTGTCCCTGCCTGCCTCCAGAAGCCGTTCGGTTCTTGAGGCGAAACAAGGATGCAAAGTGCATGCGGTTTGCACATTCCTCTGCGATGGAAAGCCTGTTCTGCAAAGGGACTGTTCCTCCAGTGTCAGGGAAACACCTAAACTTTCTGTGCCGCCATGTGATCCCTATCAGTGATGCCAAATTTCATCCAAGCAAAGACAGTATCGGGTCTGCCTTTCATTCACTATGAATGATTTCCTCCCAAACAATTCAATTCAGCGTGAGGGAAGCCTTCATACAAGCTAGAATGGATCTTGTCTGGCTGTGTTTGCGCATGCATATGCATGTGTGTGCTCGTTCCCCCAGAAGCGCATTCACAAAGCCAAGCTTCTTCCTCCCTCCCAGCCTGCCCTTGAAGTAACTTGATCTTAGAGGCTGGAACACTGAGCCCCTTGAAGTTGGTAAAGAGGAGAGAGAGAGGTGCTGCTTCTTAGTGCTATGCCTGCTTCCTCCAGTTTCCCTCTGGAGGAGGAAGGTGAAGGGGGCCCCTTTGCAGAACTTTCTTACAGATGGGGGCTGGTGGGTAGGGAATAGAAAGACTGCAAAACAGGAATGCAGATTCCAAAGGCTCCGCTTCAAAAGTCCATTGCAGCATTCATCCTCAGAGCTTTGGTAAATGTTGATCCATCACATTCCAGGCCCTGAGTATCTGTACCTTTTGCTGCTGCTGATTAATCATTTGCCTTCCTGGTGATGTGTAATTTGGGGATAGGAAGCAAGTCAGGGCTGGCCGCAATATATTGTGAATCTCGGCTCGAGGGGTCTTTCCCCACCCCCTTTTTGGATTCGCTGCCCATCCATGCATTTTGATTTGCGCACACAATCTGCACCATGAACTCGCCGGCAGCTTCAAGATACTGCTGGCTGCTTCTCTTTTTCTTTCCCTCTGCAGCAAAAGGTAAGAGAGACAAGGCACTGGAAAGCTCAGGGGGAGGGCATGAAATCTGAAAAATATCTCACTGAGGTGAGTCCTGGTTAACTTATTTACTCGTTGGGATTCTCAAGCTCAAAGGAGGGAAGCTGTGAAAAGGATCCCCTTCTCAGTCCCATTCATGTACAATTTATTGGCATGGCAACTATCAACCAGTGGATCCTGAGGGGCAGCTCTTTGTGACTCAGATTCAGGCTCCCGGATCCCAGAGCCTTGCCTGCAAATTTCCCTGAGCACCTGTTGTTTTCCACATGTTCGTGGGAAATATAAAATTAAGTGGCACGGAAAGTATTTAAACGTGACTTAGCTTTCATAGCTACCAAACGGTCAGTGGAAAGCTGATTATGCTCCCCCCCCACACACAACCCATAGCTGTCAACCTTTCCCTTTTATTGTGAGGAATCCTATTCAGAATAAGGGAATTTCCCTTAAAAAAAGGGAAACGTTGACAGCTATGCCCCAACCCCATCCTTGGATCTGCTATGGACTTTTTGCAGAATTAAGGATGCCAAATCAAAATGGGTTATGAAATGTAACTACTTGGTTGCTATGAGCATTCAAATGGTGTGTTATATAAAACAACAATCATTTTAATAACACAACATATTGGACCATCCTAGCGTTTGACAAGAAGGATCTTTAAACCCTACAATTTACGGTGGCTTAAATTGGAGAGAATCCGTATTAAGACGATTCAGATGTGGCACACCTCAACCAAAATTAAATACATTTTTAAAGCTATTGGCAACAGGGGGATTGAAAATGATCAACTCTAACTGGACTGGGCTGATTTCCCCCCACCCCCATTAAGCTCTATGGCTGAAATTCTAAATATATTTTATGGAAGTCTCATCCTATTCAAATCATTGGAACTTACTTACCCGGTGTGGATCAGGAATAACAAATGTCCATTAATATCTGTAATAGTGTCTAAGAGCATCTTCCTGCAGACATGGTAATATCTCAGCAATGATTGTTACCTCTTCTATTTAAAATAGGGGTGGGGAACCTGTGACCCTCTAGAGCCTGCTTGACTACAATTGCCATTATCTTTAACCATTGGCCATGCTGGCTGGGGCTGATAGGAGTTGGAGTCCATAAAAACAGGGGGCCACAGGCTCCCCACACTCTATAGGAGTGAGCATAATAATTGCACTGCCCCTCCAGAATATTATGATACTAATCAAAGCCTATGACAGATAATCACACAGAACTATGCTGATCTAGCTGTTCCATTTTCTGCCATCCAGCGTGACTTTCTCCTACCTCTGTCCAGCTGTTCATGGCATGAGAAGGAATTACAGTGCACATGATAAGAGCTTGATATTCCATCCTTGGGGTGACATAGGACCAAGCCACATTGCCTTAGCAAAGGGGGGTTGTGAGGTTGGTGGGGAAACTCAACTGGTCAGTATTCTTGGCGTCCAGCACCTCCAACAAATTCATCCCTTCCTTCTCACATGGACCAGCTGAGACTCAGCATCTTATTTAAAAGTGTTCAAGTGACTTCAGTGTAGGACTCTTTTATAGAGAACCTGGAGGCACCATCTTTCAAGTCAGGAATCCTATACCAGTACCGCTACTCACTGGGTGGCCAGCTAAGATATCTGTCAAGGCCATCTTTGCAAGGAAGCAAGCTGCAGGCTGAAGCTCTGGTTGATGTGCATCTCGTGTGGAGAAATCCCAGCAATGCCGGGGAGCACCTTCTCCAAGTCCAAGTTGGTGACGTCTTCATCCTACAATGGGTTTTAAACGATTGAGAGGGGAAACACTGGTTTTCCATTACTAACCAAAGCCGGAGATTTCATTAAGCATGTTCAGATTGTATGTTTCTCCTGCTACTGCTGGGCTTCTATTCGGCACTAGAACTGACATTGCTTACTTAGAATGTTCACCTAGTCTGACCAATAACTCAGGTTGATCTGGAAATGATCATCCTCAGCTAACAACCCTCCCCGTTCCCTGCCAACACTATCTGCACAGACGTCGAGCAAAGAACGTTGCATATTATTTTATACACTGCAAGCACATAGTTGAACTATGGGATTCTTTGCCAGAAGGGGAGCTCATTTCCACTAACTTAGATGGCTTTAGAAAGGGATTGGACAAATAATTAGCATTGTTATTAAAAGGGGAGTAGAGAAATGCAGGTCTTTTTCCTCAGGCTAGACCTGAGTACATAGAATAACCAATGGATACTTCTCTTGGAGACCTGTTCTGTTTATAGACACTTAGCCCCACTGCTTTCAGCTGGGAGAAGAGAGGGACATCACTGTGTGGTGCATTTACAAATAACTTGTGGGATGGGAAAGCAAGAGAGAGAATGAGAAGGGGTGCCATCTTGTCCCCTTCAGACCACCTGGCCCAAAGGTGTAACTCTGAAGGACTGGGGAGGTGGGCAAAAGTCTTAATTTTCTTCTGCTCGTTTTGGGATCTTAGATGCATGGCCTACAACTCCATCATGATCCGGAACAAAGTAAGAGTCAGACGGATAACAACAATCAACCTGCCCAAGTTTCACTGAACACTACAGAACTGGAGCAGCCCGTTTTCCTGCATTGGAAAAATGGGAAGGTATGTTAATATGAGGCAGACCTTTTGAGGTAAAGGCTTGCTCACTTTTCTCTCCAATTTCAGCTTCATGCAAGGTAGCCAGCATCGCCAACAAGGAAGTTTATACTTTTCATTGTCATTAGAAAGCAATTAGTGGCAGACAATTGTCAACGTTTGCCTAAGAGGAAGCTCCCTTCAGAAACCACAAGCACAGCTTTCTATGGACTAGTGGCAGTGCCCAAGTAGTATCAGGTAGTATGCCAGGTATTAATACCACTAATAATGCAATTGTGCAAGCCAAGGAGGAGATGGGAGTGACTGTACTACCCAGCCTGCTTCAGCCAGATATATTTCACAATAAATATAGGATAGAACTAATATTGCGTAAGGACACAACAGAAGCCTATGCTTTCATATTCCGGTGTACATTTTAAAATGTTCCAGTTCTCAAATAACTTTTTATCTATTTGTCTACCTTTTCTGAATCTTACCGAATTTCTGTGTTCCGGGGTACAGTGTCCCATACCTATGCATAATGTAACGATTTTATGCGTAGTGTTGCTTGTTGAGACTCATGGAATTGGAAGGCACCTCAAACATAATTTAAACCCTCTGCCAATGCCAGGTGCAGAGGTGATGCAAGCTTATTTTGTAAAAGGGTAATAAAATATAACATGAAATGTAAACCTATTTTTCTTTCCCACAAAAAGAAAATTAAAAGTATAGGATAGGGCTAATGGTGACTACAACACATTGATATTGACTAGAGGCTTGTAAAGGATGGTGCTCTTTTAATGCCGTAAATTAAGTTAATAGAACATCTCAGCTTCACCCTTACTGTACATACAACTAGAATGTTCAGCAGCGTGAACAACACTTTCTGGAAGACATGCAGCTGGCTAGATCTGCTTTTGCAGATATTGAATAATTGGCCTTATCACCCAGCCCATTATAAATGTACTGTATTGGCTTTAAAGCCATGTATCCTTGGCTCGACAACCACCACGCTGATGGGAAGGAGAGAGAAACCAGATTATAAGGTTTGAAGCCAACGACACACATGAAACCATGAGATGCACAAGGCCATGATGTCTTTTTCAAATGACACAGGTTCACATTAAACCAACCACACTATGGGAAGGTTCACACCTGCATTTAATGGAACTAGAGCTGAGCCAAAAATGGTCAGACTGCATTTTTCTAAAAGCATTTGAGACTCTCTCTCTCTCTCTCTCTCTCTCTCTCTCACACACACACACACACACACACACACACACACACTCATTCACATCCACAACACAGAAAAAGAATGGTACTCTGGAGAATTTTCTTCAAACACTTTTCACTATTTTCTTTTGGGCATGAAGCTAGGTCACTAACCTTTCTTCACAATCCCTTGGAATGATACTAGGTTCAGGGAGTTCAAAATGGTGACTAAGTTGCCACTGCTGAAACTTGAAGTGGGAAACACCGGGGTTGGGGAGGGGGTAGATAGGAAAAAATAAGTTGTTCTACTGCCACTGCAGGTAGAAAACCTCCCTCTTGAGAAACCACTGGAGAATTTCTCCTCACCCTGGAGAAATTTGGTGGAGTACTTAGCCCACCTACTCACAAATTTCAAGAGGTCGTCTCCACACAGCTCTGACTTAAATGCTTGATAATTAGCAGCTGAAGTGTGTGGATTGAGTTTGCTGGAAAAGCATTCTGTTTTGAGGAGGTGCGTAAGTTCTATCCGTGGTGTTGGACCTGGGATGGCCTGTTCACCTCTGAGAGTCACAATTCATCCTTCTGTTGTCTGAAACGTTGTCTGGGATACTCCAAAGGTTCCCGTCATTGCTTTGAGTTTGGGGCAAGTTTCATGGAACCAGATTTTCCTACCATTCTTATGGGTGCCAAAAGAAGCAGCAGCAGCAGATTTTCCTACCTCATGCTGCTGTTACTCATTATCAAACTACTGATAGCCCACGAGGAAGAGAAATGATGACCATTTAGTTCATGCACCTCTTTCTGCTATCCTTGGTCACTTTTTTCCTCAGATTCCCTCTCACCATGGCCTTGCTTTCACTTTGCAGGTTGAAGGCATCTATGAAGACCAAGCTGGAAGTCCCTTAACTTTGGAGCTGAAGAGAGGCCTGGTCAGCCTTCTCCAGTTTCAGACCCACCCTGGGACAGTGACTGAGGTAAAACAAGGCTCTTTCTTTCTTTCTTTCTTTCTTTCTTTCTTTCTTTCTTTCTTGCCACTGCAGCAGCAAATATCCTTTTACTCTTATATAGTGTAGTACCTAGCACCTTTTACGTCTTCTAAAAAGTGCTCTCACCCGCCACAAAATAAGGCCAATGATTAAGGAAGCGCCATGAGGGTTTATTTCATTGTGCCTCAACTTCATAATCGGCCAGTTCTGCTCATGTAGCCACTCCACTTTTTACGTTTGCAAAAAATCAAACACCAAGTGCTTTCAGCATCAATAAAGAGCGTTTGTGCATCTTGTGTAAGAATCATGGAATTTGGAAAACATTCTCCTTGCCCTTTTGCAATGGTGGATGGGAGCTGGAGGGCCACAGATCCCCCACCATTGTTACAGATGAGTCAACCCACCAGAATCCCATTTATTGCATTGTCTGGATGGAGTCTGCAGCATAGTCAGAAAACATCTGATCCAGCCAACTCCATCACTGGAATAGTAAAAAAGACATTTGAACCAAACACAGGACTAATTTAGCATCCACTATTCTACTCCTAATTTTCCCATTTATGTTGTTCAGGATGACATTTCTGGGAGCTGCCCAGTGACCTACACAGTCTCCAAGGATTCTGTTCTGAAGACAAAAGACCTACATGGCTGCAAAAGAACAAAGTTTGGATTCAGCTCTGTTAACAAGGCAAGTTTGATAATTGCATCTCTATCCATTTTCCAGCTTTCTCTAACCACTTTCAAAATACCAGTCTATCCTGCGCCTGAAAATTAGTGGGTTTTGATTTCAAAGTCCATGTAGAACTACTTTTCTTAGGCTGATTCACTGTGCAATATTTGATGACTGCCATACATAGAGTGCACATTAAGTTCTCTCTCTCCCTCCCACATGTTTGACATTTTATCAGGTTTTTATATGTGTTGGAAGCCACCCAGAGTGGCTGGAGCAACTCATCCAGATGGGCGGGGTATTATTATTATTATTATTATTATTATTATTATTATTATTTGCACTGAGGCAGCAACATTATTTTCCCATAGGCAACCACTTACTGGGGTCTGACTTCTCTTTGGAGGAAAACCATTGGAGGCTAATGACACTTTATAATATTTAATAGCAAATGGTTGATTTTAGTTATCTAGTTACCTGAAGAGGTGGAGCCAGGGTCTAGTGAGGAAATATTCATCTTCTTTTTACAGATGTTTGGAGTCCTGTGGCAACCTGTAAGTAAAAGTCTTTATTCCATGGAAGGACAGCTCCTCAAGTCCGCATTGTCCGAAGAAAGTCATACAATCTCTCTAAACCTGAAGTCTTCCGTTGGAGTCGATATCACCTCCAGGTTGGTTCTGCGCTGCTACATTCAGTTGGCCTGGCACACTGGGGGTGGCAAATGGTGCCTTCTTTGGTCAGAATTAGAAAATGGAGTCCTGTGGAATCTTGATTTCCTTGGAGTTGAGGCCAGAGTATGAGGAGAAACCTATAAGCCCCAAACAAGTGGCAACAACGTAGTATTAATGGCCTCCTCACCATTTATATCCCATGTTTCCTTCAAGGATCTTAAGGTGAGCATACACAGTTCCCCCTCCCTGTTTTATCCTCACAAACTTGTGAGGGAGGTGAGGCTGGGAGACTGATTGTCCCAAGACCGCCCAATGTTATTCAAGGCTGAGTGGGACTTCAACCCTACTCTTTCAGGCCCTGGTCCAGCACCCTAACAGCACTGTCTCTCCCATTTGCACAACCTGCAAAAAACACCAAGGAGTTCACCTGAATTCATATCTGTTTCATTCAACCACAGTAGACCACTGTGTGTCTGGTGGAGCTGCTAGGAGGTCATGGGAGTGTGGCCAATGAGTGTTAATGAGGACGTGCCCAAGTTGTTCTGGTTTTCTCCTCTTGCAAGGATACTGTGGACACTTGAGTGTTGCATTTTTACCAATACTTTGCACCTAACTAAACTTAAAAGTGCCTTACTTTGGTTCAGAAGGGGTCCCCGCTGTCATAATTTCAAATGTGAGTCCATGCCACACAGTAAGTTATGTTTGTGATACTTAAAGATGGAGGCCCTTATCAACAAGTGTCTTTTCACTCCCCAGGCAACACCTTGAACTTGTGACTCAAGTGCCTGGATCAAAAGAATTACCTGGGGAAAGTCCTCAGGAAGCCCTGGCGGCTGTGCTGAGGAAACCGCAACCCATTAACATAGTGAGCGACCCTGTCAAGAGGACCAACACCCAGTACCCATCTGTGAGTGGAACAGAAAACTTGCTTTTGTCTAGATTTACCCATTTTCTATTTAAACTTCAGTGTAGAGGAGGCCCGATCAGGAATTATTTAGAGCTTTGAGACCTCATCCCTTGGTTTCTTGGTTCACAAGGTGTGAAAATAGCACATAGCTTGTGGAGACTGTTTGTCAGGAAGGAGTTCTGCAAATTTCCGTTTTTGGAATCTATATCAGCTTACACTGCTGATATATATTGTTATGAAGGAGGATGTTTGTGTGTTTTAATTTCTTTCTTTCTCTCTCTCTCTCTCTCCTCCTCTCTCCCTTTTAGCTCAAAACCTACTTGAAAACACTGGCTAAAAAGAAACGCAGACTGGACCTCTCTGAGGCATCAACCACTTGGCATTTTTGCAAAGTTGTCCAGATGTTGCGTGATGCCAAGAAGAAAGACATCCTGCTGTTGTTGAAGAAAGCACCAGAAGAGATGGCGTAAGGAAAGAGATGGCAGTGCAAATGAAGAATTACTCTTTCTCAAGAGTAATTATTTGTGGAAATTATTTGTGTATTTATTTTAAAAATGAATTTTTTACTCAGAACCTTCTAAAGGGATGAGTCAGGGTGGTGTGCAACAATTAAAATCAGATGACCTGTTTGCTAAGCACCTTTCCTGATTTGTTTGCACACACTTTGTGGGGAGATTCAAGGACACCTGCTATTCGTTGAGCATTTGTTCTGATCAGTTTGCAGGAGGAATTTTGTGGTACATTTCTCTATCCAAGCAATGGATACAAAAAAATGCATTTTATTAGGGTAAAGTGTGCATAAAAGTGAATATAGTAACGAAAGTAATATACAATTGCATTATATTAGAGAAAATGGCTTTGCAGAAAAATAAATTGTTGGGCAAAACTGCATGCAAGAACATTTATGTTAGGAGACATTTGAATGAAAGTGATTGTTTTTTCAATTAAAAAGCCCAGAAAATTCACAAACAAACCAACAACAACAACAACAAACTGATGTGAAAATATGGAGAATGGAGAATATGGAGAAAATATGGAGCACTGAAGAATGGAAGGATGAGAAACTGAGTAAAACAAAAATTGACAGATTTGCCCATCCCTTGCTGTCACACAGTGTGTGGCGCTGATATTAAATTTTGGGTCACCTGATGTCACATGCCCATCTAATTTATATCACGTATCTATAATTTGCACCTGTCTTGTTAATCCTGGGTTCTCTGCAGGTCTCTTCCTTTTCTTCCAGCACACCTGATCCTTTCTCTCCACCCCTTCCCACCTTTTAGGTCCTTCTACGTTGAAGCTGCAGTGGCTGCCCATTCTACAGCTTCCTTGATGGCCCTGTCCGAATTTCTCAGTTTCGGGAGCAAAAAGAACGCCGCCTTGCTGGAGAAGTTTTTCTACGCTGCAGCCTTCTCCCCTCGCCCTTCAAAGGAGCTCTTGCGTCTGGTGGTAGTAAGTAGAAGGCACTGTGGCTTATTTCTCTGGGCCTTTTCTTGCGCTTTACTTCACCCCTTTTATTTATGAATGGATGTCCCTGTGACGTAGGATGGACAGAGATTTAGATCTGGGCGTAGTTTGACCTACCTACCTCACAGGGCTTTTGTGAAATTAAAGGGGGCAGACTGCTCCCTTTTTTTGCTGCCCTGAGGAAGGAAGGAATTTGAAAATGTGAAATGCATGAATGTGACATTCTGGAAACCTAGAATTCACTAGTGATTTTCTTGGGCTTGTTCACACACCTGTGCACTGTACTTGAGTGCTCAGCTCATGACAACTCTCAGGTGAATGTTTAAGCTGGCTCCATTGAAACAAGTGATGTTTGAGTCGATATCCATTGGTAGCAAATATTGGCAGTGATTCATCAGTGGTGGCTTCTTCATATTTGCAGGTTAACACTCAAGCTAGGGGTGGGGGCATCTCTGTTCCAGGAGCTGAATACAAGACTCTCTATCTAGCCCATAGGACTTTCCCCAGACCACACCCCCTCTCCCTAAGCCACACCCCCTCACGCCTCCTGCTTTGCACCCTCCTTAAGTGATTATGCCTAGCTGAAAGGCATCCTTGAACTTAGATAAGGACTCTTGCTTGTCTGGATGGAGGATACAGAGAGATGTGTGTGTGTGTAGAAACTGGTGCACAAAAGAAAACAATCATATTTGTTGCTCTACCTACTTTTGCTTCTGGCCTTGCCAACCAACGCTTCTCACGCACATGTGAAAACCTGCATGGAAGTCCGTGTTCGCATAGGTATTTTTGAACACGTTTTCTCACAAAATATGCATCTCAAGCCATCTTCCGATACATTTTTTCTTAAAGCGGCAGCTCAAAAGGCTTGTACAGTGCCAAGGAAGGCTGTGTTCTGATCCTCCCAGCACTCCCAAGAGGTGTGGATCAGGTCATTCCCGACTGGAATTTGCAAAAACAAATAAATCAAATCAAATTTCTCAGGCAACTCTATGCTATGACCGGTCTTCATTCCTCTTCCAGGATAAGCTGAATGGAAAGAAACTAGAAGCAGCCACCTGGGAAACGGGGAATATTGTAATCGGCAGCCTGATTGGCAAGCTGTGCCAAATGAAACTGTGTGGTCTTCAAGTGAGTTGACGCCCGTCCAGTGCCGTGTTCTACTCCCACCCACCCACACCTAGGAAAGCTCAGGTTGCGGATGTTGTCGATTTAGTGCCCACCTCCCTTTTTCTTGTGTCTCCCATGTCAAACAAACAGGAAGTAAGACTTGAAGTAGACTCCATCGTGCAAAGGCTCAAGAACACCAAAAAGGACTCTGAGAGGGTGATTTATCTGTTGTCCCTGAAAAGTGCTCTGCTCCCAGAATCCATCCCCATCTTCCTGCATTATGCAGAAGAGGGCTCTGCCACGGTCTCAGCCACAGCCCTGAACGCACTACAGAGGTATTCTGCACAGCACATCTCAAGCACGGTATGGCACAGTCTCCGTTACTTAAAGAGCATTTCCCAAAAATATATCTTCTTTTTTTTCTATGTAAGCTTTCATCAGTGAAACATTCTAGGTCCTCTTGTGCCAAGAAGGGCTGGGTTTATAATTTGTCCACTGCCTGATATCCAACAGAAAATAATTTCACCAATCCTCTGTGGTTTTTGGAAGTTCCTCCACTTCTGCTTGGAAGGTCATATTCCTCCTTCTTCTCCATCTCCCCCTACTGGTGGGACCTGGAGATATTCTGAGGCTGGACTTTGAGACAGACTCCCCTTATTTAGTGAGAGTCAAGGGTCACTTCCATACCATACATTGCGAGCACTCTTATAATACTTTAGCAGTCATGGTTTCCCCCAAAGAATCCTGGGAACTGTAGTTTGTTATGGCTAGGAGACCCCTTAAAGGTAAAGGTAAAGGGACCCCTGACCGTTAGGTCCAGTCGCGGACGACTCTGGGGTTGCGGCGCTCATCTCGCTTTATTGGCCGAGGGAGCCGGCGTACAGCTTCCGGGTCATGTGGCCAGCATGACTAAGCCGCTTCTGGCGAACCAGAGCAGCACACGGAAACGCCGTTTACCTTCCTGCCAGAGCGGTACCTATTTATCTACTTGCACTTTGACAGGCTTTCGAACTGCTAGGTTGGCAAGAGCTGGGACTGAGCAACGGGAGCTCACCCCATCACGGGGATTCAAACCACCAACCTTCTGATTGGCAAGCCCTAGGCTCTGTGGTTTAACCCACAGCGCCACCTGTGAGGAGACCCCTTACAGGCCTACAATTCCCATGATTCTATGGGTGAAGCCATGACTGTTAAAGTGGTATAAGAATGCTCTCAATGTATGGGTGTGAAGGTGACCACAATTGGTATAAACATATCACCCTTTCAAAAAAAAAAAAGTGCATATGGAATAATCCTCTTGTGACTGTACCACTTCACAATGCAATTAAGGAATTACATGACTAAGAGCATGGGGGAGACCCCTACACATAGAAAACTAGCATGTCAGGGATAAAATTGTAGCTTGGGAAGGTATTTGGTTTCATGAATGACCTCTGTACAAACCTAGTTGGTGAATGTCATGCTAAAAACAAACAGACTGTGTTCAATTTCTGCGTTGCCAGGTTAAAATGGCAATGAAACGCATATTCCATGAAGTGCACAGACGCTATCCAAAAATTTCAAGGCTGGCTGCTGCAGAAATCCTGTTGAACAATGATCCCTTGCCAGAGGACTTCACCAATATCCTGTTGGCCATCAGAGAACTTGAACCAGAAATGTCAAGATTTCTGCTGTCAAAAATCCAAAGCATCGTACACTCTGGTCATCATCCAACCAGGTAAAAATATCCTTATATGATAATATTCAGTTTGGGCTTGGGGAGAGATCAGAACAACCCCACTTTCAAACTGGCTTTTAGGAACATGGCAGACATAGGCATTCACAGGGTGTGGGGCAAGGGGAGGCAGCACCATCCCAATGAATCATAATCCCCAGATTCTCAGCTTTCATTTTTAGGAAAGTATAAGGGTAGGACTCAGTGTAGCACTAAGTGAATGTTTCTGTCAGTGAAAGGATTTCTGCTTCTCCCCCTCTTCTTCCCCAGTGTACCTCATAAATATATTTTAGGGGTTCCCCTAACAATCTGGAGCAAGTTGGGAGAGTGTGGGCGCATGCACGAGAGGAAGTCCCATTGCACAAGCAGAAATCCTTGTGCTGACAGGATGCGGTCGTTTCTAGCATTTGTAGCACCTGAACTACAAGGCAAAATGTACTAGCACTGTTCTTTTTTTTTAAGTGAGAAATTAACCTCTCTGCCCACCCCCACCCCCACGTTGTGGGTGTCCATGGTCACAGATTTTCTATATTATTCTAAGGAATGCACTCCTCCTTCTCTGGATTTACCATATATTTCACAAATGAATTTAACCTCTTCCAAAATGGCAGCCAGGTTCCCCAAAACAAGTTTACTCTCCTTTGCAGATATAGTCCATATCACACACACCTTCCTGGTTTTGTTTTGTTTCCCCCACAGGAAGGTTGCTAAAGAGGTTCTTAATGACCCGCAGATAAATAATTACTACTTCCTCTCCTCTGAAGCTGGCAGCTCCATCTCCTTCTCAGGACCAGTGACAGGTAACTTTTCCCCCTCATGCACTAGGCAGCCATATTTTCCTGCATATTCTGGGGCGCCACTGAAGGAGGGGCCAGACCACATGTTCAGGCAGTTACTTCCCATGTTGCCACACTTTTATTAAAACCTTTGGAAAGCTGTTTGCTCTCTTCATGCAATATCCCTTGACCGTGATGTGAAGCTATGTGTCTCTTTCTCGGATCTCCCTTTCAGCAACCAATGACACTCTCTCTACCATTGGCCTGGATCTCCTGTTCTCAGACATTGGCATTCTGAGGAAGAGCACCACCAGTTTCAATATCCTAAGCCATGGCTACCAGCTCCAAGCAGCTCAGGTATGGTGCTTCCTATTGCGCCATTGTGGACTTGGCTACATTAGTAAAGAAAAAACGTTTTATATGCGTTATGACACTGCGACACCATGTGGCACTGTGAAGTCCCATCTTTCGCCAATGTGGCTTCCCACTTTGAAGTTTACAACGCGTTTTCATGAAATGCTTTCTACATGTCTACATCCAGCCCGTATTTCATTGTTCTGTTGTTGCTCGAGACGGTTCTGAATGTTTTTTAGGTCTCTCCCTTGCCTTATGGGCAATGTGTAATTGTCGTCCAAGCGTACCCTTTAATTTTCAACGGATTTCTCCCTCTCCCAATTTTTATTAGCGTTATTCGTCAATTTATACAAAAAGATGCGACCCAATTTGCTTAGGCAGTGGCCCCCATGCCAAAGGAGGAGGAGTTTCAGTGGCCAATAATGCTCTAGAAACCAAGGCAGGTGCTTGGTATTTTCCTCACACCAGCCCAAATCCTGAAGATAGCTGCTGAGTGATAATTGGCTCAATGTCATAGTAGGAGACCTGCTTTAGGATGAGGGGCCGAGGCCTTGCTGTGTGGTGTATAGAAACATCGTGACTCTTTTCCTCCCTTTATTTAGGAAAAGGGAGCTCTCTTGTTGGGAACTAGGGCAGGGTGGGGAGTACACATCTTTAAATATCTGAAAGACCAACTCTTTCCCTAAGATAAGCGGGGGGAGGGGACCCTCTTGGTGGTTCCACCACCCTTAGAGGTTTAGGTGGGTGGTGGTCCAGGAGAGGGTATTCTCTGTGACAGCCCCTAAATTGTGGAACTGCCTCTCCATGGAGGAACAACTGGCAACTTAACCATACAGACTTTGGGGAATGCTGAAGATGCTCCTGGCCTTTGACACCTGAGACGTGCATTTTCAGGGCCCGTCCTTTTTCAAGTGTGATATTCTTCACCCTAAGGTTTCAGGGCATACAATAAGTAATAAATCAAAATAATAGTAGTAGCAGCGTTAATAACAATAACAACAACAACAACAACAACAACGAAAGAGGAGTATGTTCTGAAGTGGTGGTCTAGTGCTGCAGAAAAAGGAGTAGTCCTGAACATCACACAGACTTTCCCATCTCATGTATCCTAGGTGGCCATAGAAGCAAAAGGATATGAGGGCATCCTGGGAGGCAGCGCAGCCGACGGAGAAGACGAATTAATGGCCGGCATGTCTGCTGCTCTGCTTGATGTCCAGTTACGGCCAATCACTTTCTTTGAAGGATACACAGATCTGATGTCGAAGTTCTTCACGAGCTCAGGAGAACCCACAAATGTGGTCAAAGGGAACGTATTGCTGATGGACCATCTACAGGTACCAGCCCCTGCATACCCATGTACACTGATGGCATAGAAGGAATTGTCATGGTGGGACCAGCCCCCCCCCCTACTCACACCCACACACACCACGCTGCATTTGTTTAAGCCATGTTGGAACCAAAGCACCAAGAACAGGTCCTCCCATGACAGTTGGTGCCTTCAGGTAGAACACCAAACGTTCCCAGTGCCTGCAGTTTGATATATTAGCCTAAGGACATCCACCCTTCAACTGACAACATTGTACATCTGCATTAGCTTTCCAGTCACCCATGTGCATCAAGAGTACTGCTTATGGGAAGAGGTGAAGAGCTGCACCCATAAGAACATCCCATTGCTCCTGGTGCCACCACCTTTGGAGGCTAGCTTGGTGAGCTACAGGAAGCAGGACTTCTTTGTGTAGGGCTATTTAGCGGGGCTCCTTGATCAAGGGCTCTTATTCAGTCCAGTCTTTGACCATTTGCCATGTTGGTTGAGGCTGATGGAAGCAGCAGCCCAACCCCTGCTGGAGAGCACTACATTTAAATCCCTGATTTAGAGAAAGATGGGCTAGGAATGTGATTGCAGTTATTACTGTTTTGAAGCAATGAGCACCAATTGTCCCCTGCAGACTAGCTGGAGGGGGGGGGACACCTGTACAGACAAGATGTACCTTACTCAATAGTAAGCCCCATTGATAAGCCCATGATAAGCGCTTGAACAATCCAGTAAGTGAATGTTACTGTGCTGCATAGGCAATCCCACTTCAGTCTGGTTTGCAAACTGTGATCACTCTCCGAGGAGGACTTGGGTTAGATGTTTCAGCTGACATCAATGTGAATTTGTGGGAGCAGGAGTTCAAATCAGGCGTCGAAACCAGGTACGTGTGAGTAAGAAGTGGATTCATCTCTTAAGTATGATAGACCCTTACCCAATACTCTGTCAAACACTGGAAAATTCGTAGTGTTATCCCAACTCAATAAAGCCCATAAAATGACTATTTGATTGTCCAGCATTGCTCTCTGCATTTCAATCTCCATCCCCGCATGCAAATTGCTGGACATGCTTTCTATGCTGGGACAAAGGTACAATTCGGAGTCTGCATTGCCCCTTATATCAACCATGCTAAACATGCACTGTTTCAGACCCATCCCAGTTTACTTTCATGTCCAAAATGGCACCTCTGGTCTTCAAGCCAAAGCAGCCAGATATGTGTGTCCTTTGTTTACTGGGGCCAAGCAGTTGCATCAATGCTACTCAAGAGTCATAGCACTTCAGATGATGACTCTTGCTAAGAAGTAGCAGACATCAACTGTTTCATTGTGGGGGGTACACCTGAAATAACTGATCAGAGACGGCAGGACTTGGTGCAAATCAAGGTTAAAACCAGCTTTCCATTGCCAACAATAGTTAGCCAACTTCCTTGAAAAACAGTGCTCATTTTCCCTCTCCAATTACAGGGGCGCACTGACCATTGATTTCCAAGCAGAACTGGATGCGCCATTTTTTCAAGCCACAGTCAAAACCCAAACAGAAGTCGAAATGGCCACAAACTTCAATACAGCTGGAAGTGTTTCTACCATGCCCGTGCTCATGTGTCTGCAGCTTACAGAAGAAGAAGTCGCTTACAGGTGAGCTGTAGATCTCAAGCACCTTCCATAGCTATGGAATCCAAACCAAGGATAATGTCAAATGTTCTCCAATTTTACAACACCTAACTTTCTCCCAAGTCACAATGGCTTCTCCATAAGGGGCACTGGAGCAGGTGGTGTTCTTGACTCCCATATATCCACACAACCAGAGCCCTGTCCAAGAATGCAAAACTCAACGACCTCAACATTAAGGAATCGCTTGCATGGATAACAACCACCATAACAGGTCAAATACAGAGAAAAGTTCAACTCAGCATATCACACTTTTTGTGCTAACCATTATTCAGAGTCCACCTCATAGTCTGAGCTTCCAAACATATAACATACCAACCACAGTTTGGAGCAAGGGACACTTTTCAGTCCAAAGGCTGCATTCCCTTTGGATTACCCTTGAGAGCCACATGGCCAGTCGTGCGTGGGGCCAGAGCAGTTAATGTTGATTAAGGCAGCTTTCTACACACATAAGAGGCATTGTCAGGGTTCAAGGAGACATTCCAACCAGGCAAAAACACTCAAGGGGAAGTGTTGCTGGAGAGAATCCAGAGAAGTCTGGGGGGCTGCATCTAGCCCTCAGCCTGTGGTTTCCCATCCCTGAATTATAAAGTATGAGTTGGGCACAGTAGTGCTCCATGTCTGTTGGCCATCATTGCTGTTGATGGATATTGCCTAGATTCTGTTGGTCAACATTGCTGCTGGTTAATACTGGAGTCTCTACCAAATCCCTGGCCAAAGGCATACCTAGGGTCCCTTGCACCCCCAGTAAATCTGCCCCCCAAATCACTTTACTGTGGTGCAAGAAGGACAGGAAGCTCCTCCCACATTGCATCTCGCTGTGAATGCGGTGTTGTGTCACCACACGCATATCTATCATATCCTCCATAGTCTGATAGGCATCTGTCCTGAACCCCTGGCCTACCTGGCAGCAAGTCAGTTATGTCAAGTCCCAAGGTCAAAGTCCGGGGGCCAATCCACACAAACAGAGTCCAAAGGTCAGGAAACACAGTCCAAGTAAGCCAAGTCTGAAGTCCAGCAGGCAGAATACAATCCAGAGTCAACCCTGGAGGACCAGGAGCCTCCAAGCCAGGGCCCAACCAACATGAGCAGTTGAGCAGACACAACACCTCAGCTCTGCTTCTCTTTTGTACTTTGCCTGCTGATTTCAATATCTGAGCTTGACGAGGCAGGTGACCCTCACCTGTTCCAAGCCTACTCCAGCTGAGGAATCACAACCCTCCTCCCAGAACTAGCAAGCCCCACCTGGCCACCTAGGGAGCTGGGCTGTGGGCCCTTGCCTGCCTCAGCGTCTGGGAGTGTCCCTCCTGCTGCTCGCTACACCTCAGAGCCTGCCGTGTTGAGTCCTGCTACTCTCGTTCCTGTGCATGGACCCCCATCCCCATGCTATCCTCCATCACCCTGCGAGTACTTCCTTCCCCATCTGCTGCTTGCCCTGGTGTGCCCCAGTCCCGGCTACACACCTTGCCAGGGTTCTCTTCCTCCTTCCCATCGTCCTGCCAGTTCATGAGAGTGCCTGTGGCGGGGACTAGTTTCACCAACCCCTAGGTATGCCTCTGTCCCTGGCTACTGCAGCGCTTTGGTTCAACTATGCCATGAGCTTAGCTGCCACTTGGGCTTTGTAAAAATGCAGAAGCAACAGGCCGAGGGAAGCTGGGATAGCCTCTCCTTTTAGAGAGCCAAATATTTATCGCCCTTGTCTTCAGCAACAAGCGATAATGAGTTCCGTACCCACCGTTTGAGCTGAAGCTGGTTCTCTTAAAATAAATCCGCCATCTAGGAAGGTTGCCGGGAGGTTAATGGAAGCCTTGGGCAATGCCAGACTAAGGAGCTTTAAGAGGTGCTGCCCAAATACAAAGAATGCAGGCTTATCTTTTACAGTGTTATGGCGATAAATCCCTTCCTTAGGACCATAACTACCGCATCTTGTGCCAAGATTGATTTCCCACCAGACATAACATCACTGCTCTCTTGTGCTCTCATCGATAAATCTTTCATGGCTGCCTCTTGACATAAATAGACCCAGAGCAGGTTTCGGGTGCTGTGTATGACATCCAGCACAGATGCACTTGGCAATGTTCCCAGGCTTCATCCAAGCTTGTGAGACAGAGCCTTTGCTTGTGTAGAAGAGAATGGTCTTGGCATATCCGTCTAGTTCGGGGACATGAGACAAACTTTGGGACAAACAGGTTTGGAATTGGCACTAGGGAGAAATCAGAACTATGTCACGTCTTCCGCCTCTTCCATGGAGGTCATATGCTCTCAGGTTTTGATATTGTAGAACTCATTTGTAGAACTTCCCCAAGGGCCAAACCTTCAGCCTCTTTGCCTGACATGCTCCTACAAAAGGCAAAGTGCAGATAGGTTCCAATCCTATATACACTAATGGCAAGCTCATTCTCCAATTGCGGATCTTTGGGCAGAGAAGGTAAATGCGATGCCATCCACATTGAGAGGAGAGCTTTCCTAATTCACGCTTTCTAAACAATACAGAAACTGAAACACAGCATCCCATACAAAAAGAAAAAAACTTCAGTGATTTTTGCAAGGCACTTCTTCAGCCAAGTAATATGTACAAATCTGTGTAAAAAAAAATTAGGGAAAATAACATTTACAAGTGCCTTGCCAATTTGAGTGTGAAAGGCAAAATTTCAGACAAATGTGGGTATATTAAAAAAAAAAAAAAGCACTGATGAATTTTCAGGAGGAGTTTTTGCAAAATTGTAGAAATATGTAGATTTGAATCTGGGAAAATGAGAACCTGAAAAGAACCAAAATAGACACTCCTAGCCCTATCCTGGAGTAGCCAAAACAGCATCACTCATGCACAAGAGAGTAAAATCAGCAGGCATGGAGGAACTCCCAAAGTTTGCAGAAATACAACAAATATTTAGGGCAGAAACTTGGGGGGGGGCATAAACTGTTCGGTAAGGAATGAGCAATGCTCAGTAGGAATGGAATATTAACTGGGAGGATAGAATGCAAGGGGAGGGGGAAATGGAATGGAATATCCTGGGAGAGGGCATGCACCTCTTGAACATGTGCTTTCTAGGCACAGGGGAAGTGGAAGTGTCTATGACCCCTTAAGCTGGTTGGCTAGGATCCTGAACAAGAGCACATTTTGTTGCAGGTCCCATATGTTGTAAATTACTGGGAGTTTTTGAGAGTTTTCAAAGATTCTACTTTTCCTAGTATATTTGCAGAGGAGGAAGGGAAACTGGGAAGGGTGTGTGTGTGTGTGTGTGTGTGTGTGTGTCTGTGTCTGTGTCCTGTCTAAAGGCTTAGTGAGGCTGCATTCACCATCTGAGGTGGGAAAAGTACATTTTTAAGAATCCCTCCAAAAACTATTTCGTAAAGATGTTAAGAACCAGCTATTTTTACATACAATGAATGTCTCCCAAAGCAAGTCTTCCGGGAGCGTATAACGTGAAAATAGTTTACCTGAATATGTTTTCTTCAGTACCAGTTGGTTTAGGTAATATTGTGGAAAGGTGGTATTTTCAGGCCATAGGGACATATCTAAAGTTACCGTAGTTGCATGGATGACTTGTCCTAGAGAAATGTGGGGTTTTTTTGTATGTCTGTACATGCACTCATTGAAATCCCAGAAGCCATCCTACAGATACTAAACGCTAGGTCAGATTGATTTCACTGTTTGTTGGTTGTGGTTTTATTTCCTCACAGAGAAATCTTCTCAGTCTCAGAATCCTCTGCAAATCACAGCACCACTGTCCGCAAAGGGAGATGGACCACCATCCCTGGGCGTGAGCTTTCCTTTCACAGATCCAACTCTGAAATGTGCAGGATCCTGCTTGCAGAGACAACGGAACAATAAAAAGCAGCATCCATATGTTGTCACCTTGTACTTGCTGTTCCTCTTTTCCCACGCACATCTTATACCTAGGCCAAAGTTTAAAGTGTGCAAGTTCCTGGTCCCTTTTTTCCACTTATATTCTTATTCTGACAGAAGTTTTGGATGGACCAAAACAGTACATCACAGACAACCAGGTTGCAAATCCTCCACATTTCCAATCTCAACGAATGCTGTTTTGTGCCATATTGAGTTGCTAAGGCGGTAGTTCAAACGCGAGAGTCAAGAAAGGAACTCTCGCCAACATTTTTGATCATTTCACAGCTTCTTTCATATCAGCCCCTTTACATGGGATAGCTCAAGTTTGGCTCACCCTGCTAGCCCATTCTTTGAAATGTTCCCCTTTGTTCTTTTCCAGCTTCTGCTGCAGGGCATTGGGGGAGAAAAGATTGTGCTTTGCTGTTTGCTATCGGATCACCTTTCTGCAACAACTGCTGGTCCTCTGCTTTTGCTTCTGAATAAAAAGGGCTGAATAAGCTTTCAGACAATATGGGAGGGGTGATTCCGAGGTTTTCAGAAGTATAAACAAGAATTAATTAAGGAAGGGGAGAAAATTTCAATTTTTAATGCTGTTCCCACTAGAAAGACACCTCCATATTAGAGCCCTATTTACCGTATTTTTTGCTCTATAAGACGCACCAGACCACAAGACGCACCTAGTTTTTGGAGGAGGAAAACAAGAAAAAAAAAATTCTGAATCTCAGAAGCCAGAACAGCAAGAGGGATCGCTGCACAGTGAAAGCAGCAATCCCTCTTGATGTTTTGGCTTCTGGGATAGCTGCGCAGCCTGCATTCGCTCCATAAGATGCGCACACATTTCCCCTTACTTTTTAGGAGGGAAAAAGTGAGTCTTATAGAGCAAAAAATACGGTAATTGCTAAGGCTGCAGTTGACAACCATTTGAATCACTGGGAGACTTTGCCACTGACTTTGACAGGACCTGGTCTGTATCCCGTTGCATGATCATCAAACAACGTTGTGTCTCAATTCCTAAAGGAGCCTGGCCATTAGATCTTTCCAAACTGCTGACATTGAACTCAGAAATAATAAGTCCAGCAGTGACCTCTAGTGGTTGCAAAGTGTATGCAACTGAACGAGTGCCTATGAACTAAAACAAAAGCCCTTGTACCCAAAGGAAGGATATCAACTTCTTTTAGCAATGAGCAGGGGGAAAATCTCAGTAAACCGTGTGGACATGAAACCCCTGCTCACTCACCAACAATTTTCAATGGAAGCAAAAATGGTGAAGGAGCGAATGCTAATGTTTTTTAAAATAAACCACACAGCTTTAGAGAATGGCTGACTCCTGTCCGCAAAATTCCAGTATCTACTATGATGGAAGCATCATATTAATATCTAACCTGCTACTTAAGTTTTGGTCTTTCTCATGCAACAGTACCTGGCTCCTTTTATTATAAGGATAGGGGAAATATGTTCAAATTCTTGAACTGGCTATACGTTGCCTAATATTTCCCATCCACCAGAGGAAGCAGCCCAAAAGACTCAGTGTGCAGAGGTGTACAATACTGTATTCACTAAGGCCCAGGGTAAAAATGACCTGTGACTGTTTTACCACCATTTAGAGAGGCAGAAAATGTAGACAGAACATGTAGAATGCATGTGCTACTTCTATGAACATTATTGGGGGGGGTGTTAGGCTGAGGCCCGAGTCCCACTGACCTGGGATTAAGCCCCATTAAATTCAGTAGGACGTGCTTCTGAACATGGACTGTGCCATTAGTCAAGTTACAATATAGTTACTGTGACATAAACTTTAGTAGATTAGAGCCCTAGATCAGATGCACGATGTATGATCCTCAGTTACATGCACATTCATTGGCAGATATAACTGGGTATAGAGGGAAGAAACTGAAAAATATGGGGGGTTAGCAAATGGCTGCGAAATGTACCAGGGTAGTGTTTACTGCCCCAACACTTCAGTCATCTGATGAAGTTCTACTCCCAACATGTGATGACACAATTCTGTTCTTCTTTTAAGATGCCACGAGACTGTTTGTTTTCATAAAAAACACTGCTGCCCAGTCAACCCTCACACCGTTGTCCATGGCCGCTTATTCATCACTACAGAGCGGAGTCATGCCTCGCAATCCTGAGCAATGTTTGCTAACTTCTGTTTGCTCAGAGGTCCTACTGAGTTTTGCGGGACCAGTTCCCAGGGACATGTCCTTTGGATTGCGGCCTGAGGGTCAAGGTACATAATTATGCAGCGGATCCATGGATTCATCTCCTTGCTTGACCTTTTCACTGAAATACAGTCACACATGGTGGGTGGTCAGTTTGGTGAGGGGGGCAGCAGTAGAGAGGGAGGGAGGAGCCATTAACTTTCCTTCCTCGTTCCATTTTCCAGATGTGCCTTTACATGCAAACTGAATTAATTTCTCCCCCCAGCTGAGCAGATGCTCAGAAGCACCGTTCTGTAGCCTTTCTGAGCCACTGTTTGACTTGCAGCACCATGTTCCCCAAACCATGCCCATCTGATGTCAGGTATGGGGCAGGTAGAGGCAGCTGCCAATGCACAATTGGGAGTCTTAAACTGAGCTGCCGATGATGCCTTTGCAGGGGAAAACAGGCTTTGGCCCTGCCACCCAGCAGCTGATGAGCAGGAAAGCTGAAGCCTCAGGAACTTTGCAAGACCTACCCAGTGCCCTGAAGCCCCAACTTGAGGACTTCAAAGCACCCAAAAAACTTTGTGTCATTCTGACATCAGCTGATTGACCCACCTGCCACATTTGATATGTTTGGGCCATGATCAGATAAGGTTCTGACCCACAGAATCAAGACGTTCCCCATGCCTGTTCTAAAGGGATTAGGACATAGTCTCCCTCCCGCTGTTTTTAGACTCCCAATCCCACCAGCCCCTTCCAGCATGGCCAATGAGGATGGGAGTTGCAGGTTAGCCACATCTGGAGGGACACAGGTCCCCCAGTTCTGATGTACGTCAGAGATGCTTGGTGGATGGAGAGAGTAATACACCTATATGCATTCTGTGATGAGTTCATCATTGCAGGCTAAGAAGGCCCTGTATTAAGGACAAATTGTGATTATTTGGAGAGCAGTTTCAGGAGCAGTGGCATGTAATATAGGTGATTAAAGCGAGCCGTTCTGTATCATGGGAAACAAAATAGGAAGCCTCCGGTAGACAATTAGTTAAGGTGTTCAAATACATTGAAAAACTAGGCAGCTCTTACAATCTTAGAGGGGAAATGGTTGTCCATCAACACATTAGAGGAAGCTATGCTGTAAGAACTGACCATCACCAAATCATTGCAATGTTCTGACTTCATTATTTATGTGCTTATTCCAGCTTAGCTGCATTTAATTAGAAGTAAAAGTAAAGGTAAAGGTACCCCTGTCCATACGGGCCAGTCGTGTCCGACTCTAGGGTTGTGCGCCCATCTCACTTAAGAGGCCGGGGGCCAGCGCTGTCCGCAGACACTTCCGGGTCACGTGGCCAGCGTGACGAAGCTGCTCTGGTGAGCCAGCACCAGCGCAGCACACGGAAACGCCGTTTACCTTCCCGCTATAAAGCGGTACCTATTTATCTACTTGCACTTAGGGGTGCTTTCAAACTGCTAGGTGGGCAGGAGCTGGGACCGAAAGACGGGAGCTCACCCCGCCACGGGGATTCGAACCGCCGACCATGCGATCGGCAAGCCCTAGGCACTGAGGTTTTACCCACAGCGCCACCCGCGTCCCACCCATTTAATTAGAAGGAAGACAGCAAATCCAGAAGCAGCTTCTGGTGGTGTTTGTTAGATTTGTTTTTGTTTTTTCTTGGTAGGAAAAATCTAGTTGCAGTGACATGATTTGTATAAAATGGCTTTCTAGTATAAAGCAAATGGTGATTTAAAAAACGAAGTACCTTAATTTATTAGAAAAGACTGTCACATCAGTGACAGATGAAGCAAGCCCCTGTGAATGAACTTTCAGCAGGAGACGAGAACATGATAGCTATATTTATCATGCTGCAAAACTGTGATGGGCTTCAGAAAAGCAGCTATCGTATTACCAAAGGTACAGTCCCCTTGCATTTGATCAACACTTTCATATTTCCTTGAATTCAACTGGAGAAATTTAACTTGCTCAACAGACTGGACAGCTGAGCACCCGTCTCTCAGTGGAGGATTTCCAAGTAGAGCTACACAAATCCTATGAGTAAATCAGTGTCTAGAGCAAGGAGGAAAGCTAGCAGTGCCTCTGCTCAGCCTTGAGCCTGTCAACTGGAATTACCTGCTGCATCAAGCCAATGGCCCATCTTGACTGCTGCTCTCAAACACTGTATACATATGTTTCTCACAACAGCCGTTTCTGCACAGTCCCATGAAAACATGCAACGTGGAAAGTATAATTTGAGGGTGTGTTTTTATAAACAATGAACTTCAAAACATGCAAGTCTCTTTCTGCAAATGCAAACATGCAGGTGCTGAATCTGTCCCCTATACTTTCCAGATATTTGCCCTGCTTTCCTTCATCTCCTTTTGCCATGGCTTGATGTGTTTTTGTCTGGATACTAAAATGGTAGGACTTTTGTCTTTTCAGAGTAACATAGGAAACATCTCCCAGACACAAAAAGCAGCATGAGTGATCAATGCGGTTCAGTGGGCACCATCCAAAGCCGTCCTGATCCCTGAGACTACGCTTGTGGCATTTGCAAGGTTCTAGAAAGGACAGATAACATGGTGCAAACACGATTAAAAAGAAAAGAAGAGGGGTTGCCAAAACAAACCCACAAGCAAACCAAAATAATACAAAAAACAACAACCCACCACCACCAAACCAAAATCCCAGAAAAGAGAGACTCAAGTGTGTTGTGTGTAGGGGTGGAATGGGGTGTCCACAGCCTTTCTCCCCAAAAGGCAATTCAATTATTTGCATAACCTTACATCACCTCGATCTTATTTAGCATCCACTATTGGCAAAACACAGCTCGTATCAGACAGTTTCAAAGCTGCCTATTGCTGCTCATGTTGTTGTTCTTGGGTAAAAGTCACTCCAGAGTGGTTGTTTTTAAAAACACACCTGTTACCTAACTTATTCAGAATTCCTGTGGTGGGCATATTTTATTAAAACTGGTGTCACCTCCCATCACAAGCAGAGTTCCAGAACAGCAACCTGCCAATGCAAGAGAACTTCTTCAAACTCAGAAGTGACATAAACTGCATTGTGAGGAACAAAAGTGGCTTTTCAGAGGGAGAAGAGAGAGAGAGAGAGGTGTGGGGAGAGAGAACTAGGAAGCCCACATCATCCTTGCAGTAATAACACTGTTTTAAAACACAAAGCATTTGGTAACATGCTTGGGTATCTGGTTCCCTGGTTTGCTCTGAAAATCTCATTCTGAGGGCAGCACACCGCTGACGACCAGATCGCTGGGGGCAGACAAAGAATGGCTGAAAAGCAATCATTAATTGCTTGCGGGTGTCTAGCTGGCCACTGGCACAAGCAAAGTGCTCGAACAAATGGACATTGGGCCCAGTTAGCAAGGCAATCCTCATGTTCTCGTATTCTCCCTGCTTTTGACTGAGAATTGTCATTGCCATGGTGAACAAAAAGGTCATAAAAATGGTTTTTAAAGACAAGGCATTCATTGCTCATACCCTGTTCAAGGGACACTCCAAGTGAGCTGGGGGATGTGTGTTTCAACACCCCTGTCCCAGGACTCTCAGCACACCTGCTCAGCATTGCAAGGAGGCAGCTGGCTTGCTGGCTCATTAGTCCAAACCACACACACTTTCCTGGGACTGGTGCTCCTCGTGCATGCAAGGTTTTTGCAGCATCTACACGGTGCCATCATCATCATCAACAACAAAAAAGCCAGCCTGCATTTCTCTCCCCACCACCACTTTTAATCTAGATTTGCCCTTGCCAAAGTACAAAACAACAACAATAGCCTGTTGCCAACAACCCGTTTGCGCTACCTGTAAGACCCGTTTGCAGTATTAAGCCCTCCACCTGGAAGCACCCCAGGTCTCCTCCTCTCTCCTGACACAATTTCAGTCCACATAGCGTGCAGTTATGGAGACACATCAGGCTCGCTGTCCACAGTAATTCGGACTAAAACCATGTCCCTTGCAGCACCATTTCAAGGCTCCATCGGATGGCTGGGATAGCAGCAGCAATGAGTGGAAACTGAGGAGGGGAAACAAGGTCCTTGAGCTGGCTTGGCTCTGTCTTGCCTTGTTGGTTGAGAAATCTCTTGTTAGCAACCTTGTCGGAAAAGCCCTCGGAGGCGACCTAACCTGGGCTACAGAAGCACTGTGTGTTTGTGTGTTTGTGTGTGTGTGTGTGTGTGTCCAACCTCAGCTGTCTCAATTTGTTTCCTTCACTGGGTTTTTCTTAAATATATATATATATACATATATATTTCTAAAAAGTGCCACAGAACAATGGCGAAATCACCGCCATTGCTAAAATGAACATGGTTGCATTTGGAAATGGTTACTCCTTCCATTTTGGAAAAGGGGCCCAGATAAAAACAACAACAATGTGCTGGCTTTGCCGCTCCGCTCCTCTGCATGTAAACGGTGTAGAGAGACGTAATGAAACCCCCCAAAAAATAAGAGAGGGGTTTCTGGGGAGGAAAGAAAGCACCACCCCCACTCATGTCACAACAGGGGAGGAGGTCCTGAGAGTGGCAGCTGACTGTTTGGGCCCCACGCTGTCTTTTCTCCACCCTCCTCCATCTTGAGGAGGAGATGGACCTCCTTTCTGCGAAACAACTGAAGGCTTGTCCAAGGCGGCAGGGAGCCATTGGGACAGCGAGCTGCTCCGATGCTCCTCAGGGTCCCACCCTGCTGGAGCCTGCCGAAGAGGAGGAGGAGGAAGAGGAGGAGGTAGTAGCATTGATGTGCCCACTTTCGAAGTGCTATTGTCAGGGCTGCCCTGAGGCTGTGAAGCAGCGTTAACCTGGCAGGTGCCAATGGCTGTGGAGCCAGCAAGAGTAGCCAGGAGGCCACGGGATGCCTCTGTCTCTTTCGGAGAAGTGCCCTTCATCCTTCGCAGCTGGCTCGTGGCAGTGGGATGGGGAGACAGTTGTGGGAGAGGGCCGGGAAGGGCAGCGCCTCCGCGGGTGCCAGTCTCAGAAGCTCCTTGGTCAACGGCGGGAGGCTGGCTGGTGGGGACTTTTTTGCCGCAGGATTCACAGCAGAGCTTGTTATAGCCAGGGATGGAGCAGTAGCGAGCCAGGACTTCCATCTGGCAGAATATGGACTTGTCTCCAAGGCACGGCTCCTCTGCAATGAAGGGAAATTACGGAAAGTTGGCGTGAAAGTGACCGTGACTTCAGACAACCGGACACAAGGGAACAGTGCTACAATGCAGTCTAAGACTATTATCCCAAAAGGCTCATGTGTGTGGTTAAGCCATGTCGACCTAGGCTACAGCACTCTTCTCGCCATATAACAGCATCTGTGGCTGCCCAGATGTGCCTGGGCTCCAGCTCCCATCATCCTTGAAGTTTGGGCCATGCTGGGTGGGTCTTGTTGGGGTTGGGAGTTCAACTTCTGGACCCTGTGCCATAGAAGGAATGCTCCATACCAGTTACACAAACAATACATAGCAGTGATACCAGAAGCGGCATCAAGCAAAGAGAGAAACAGAAATAGGAATAGACAAAAAGAAGGAGGAGAAAGAATCACAGACCCCAGTAGAGAATTTGGGATTGTGGGTGTGTCACACTACCTTTCCTTCTATGGGAAAATCCCAGCCCCTATGATACAAAGACTAAAGAACTGCAAGACTCAAATCATATTTCTGAAGAGAAACAGTGCTGAGGGGAGGGGACTGGGGGGGGGGAGAAACAACCATAGGTGGTGGGGTGTGTCTGAAGATTCAAGATGATACATATATAGAGACAACCACTGTATTATTTACTCTTTACAGGAATCAAGTTGCAGAAAAGCATGTACCCAAACGCCATTAGGCCTATGGATATGTCAGCAACTGCAGAATGTCAGCAGGGGAGCCTAAGAGGAGAAGACAAAGAGAGGAACGTAAAAGTCAGTGAGATGCAAGTGTACAGACAGCTGAAAGAGAAACAGTCAGACAGACAGACAGGCAGGCAGAAGCACCTACACAGGAATTTGTATAAACATCCCAGAGAGTCAACACTAGCGAGAAACACCTGCAGATGAACGCTAGAGGGCAGTGATTCATTTTCAAACAATGATCTCAAGTGTCTGCAATTACTTACCTGTGAGTAAGCCCCAATAAATTCAATGGGACCTGCTTCTGAGTTGAGCTTGCACTGTAAGGCTCTCGAATGAGCATTAATCCAAAATTAATTCTGAACTGGGATCATGCATCTAGGGATCCATATAAAGGGAAGCCTTTCCACTTTATTTGGTGTATTTTAAGGTGCAGAAGATTCTACTGGGCCTCTAAGCTAAATAAGGTTGGCCTCTTCCTCCCAGTGATTGCTTAGAATTATAAGCGCTCTCAGCTTAGGCTATATAGTCACACTGGCAACAACAGCAGCAGATCCACTTGTAGTTAACCTTTTCTGCAAATTATTTATGTTTCACCATGTGTAATGTTACAGCAGGCCTGCACAACGTGAGAACCAAACTGTGGCATGGTGGCCCACCAAGAACTCAGTAAATATGCTTCCAGCTGGAGCTGGTCCAGAAACCTGGCAGATGGGCTGTACTTAGCTTGGTGGGTCCCCAGTTGTGTAGACCTGATCTACAGAGTACAACAGAAATCTGAATTGGGATGCATCGACTTCCATGTAATGGCCCATGGCAGGGGTGGAAAACCTTTCTGGAGCCCAAAGGCCACATTCCCTAATGGGCAGCTGTCCAGGGGCCTGAGGTGGGTGAGGCCAGAGGTCAGAGTGTGTAGACCAATGAAGGTACTCTTTACCTCTGTGCCATAGGCTAGTTTCTACATACTCACCCATCCAATGCAGGCAAGCAAGAGTCATTGGATTTCAAGGCTACGTTCCAGCAAGGCAAAAATACTCTAGAGGTTGTGGAACAAGGCCAGGGAGGGTTTACAGCCTGGGGAAAGTCCCAAAGGCTAGGAGGAGAGACCTGGCGGCAGTGGTGGGGAGACATCTGGCCTCCAGGACTGAGGTTCCTCACCGATGGCCTCTGACTTCAGAATTGCAGAACTAGACAGAGAACATCTAAAGTTTTCATTCTTCTCAATTCCCCAAGGGTAAGGGGAGATCCCAGATGGCGGCTTCCCGTTCTCAAGCACACAACAGCTGCCCAAGAAGGATTCCAGGCAAAGGAAGGTTTCTTTTTCCTTGGATTACGCCCCTACACCAACTTCCCACCCATTAAAGTCACAGGAAGTCAGCTGCTTGACCTGTACAACCTGGCAAAGCCTCAACAACTGTTGTAATATTCTACAAAGCCCATCTTTTCTGAGCAGTATCCAGCGTTTTTTATTTTTTTTAAAGAAATCGAGAGGGGAACAGGTGATGATCCAAACTGCCGAACTCAGAAGCAGAAGGGCACTTACTTGATGATATCTTGGTAACAGGATTTTTGGCGCTCTCCTGAGGCACCCATTGGACCTTAGGAGTCACATGATCCATGGTGCCTGAGTTTGTTGTGACGCTTGGTAGGTTTCCTGGGGGAAGGAAAAGGAAGGCAGGTTAAAGTATCTAGATCACAACAGCGAGTCAAGTTTTTGCTTTGTTTTTCCGGGGCAGGTGGGACACCAGACACTTTCCTATAATAATGGATTCAAATGGTTCGAAGAAAATAAAGTGCACTCTGGCATTCTAGAGACTAACAGGATGCCAGAGTACCTGAGTGAGGGGGTCATTAGCTGTCATGGCTCCTTAGGATTCTACACATATGTGTAATACATGGTGCAAACCACCCTGTGATCTTGGGATGAAAGATGGTATAGAAATTCAATAAATAACAACAACAACAACCAAATGACCCAACCCCTATGTGTAAACAAGCACGATGCCACACACCCATGGGCATCACCATGTTTCGCTTGCGCGTGTGTGTTTTAATGCTGCATCTATTTCATTCACTTTGCATGCATTTTTTCTTTCTTTCTTTCCTTCTGCAACTGCAGCTCTTCTCTTACCTGGGCATGCTGCCATTTTGCAAACCTGGATGGTCTCTGGCTTCTCGCTCTCGCACTGGCCGAGGTGGTTGTCGTTGGACTTGCAGACCACCTGGCGCTGCTGGATGCCTTCTCCGCAGCTGACAGAGCACTGCCACAAGAGGAGGAAGAAGGAGAAAAACACATCTATGAAGGCTAAGGGGAACCGAAGGGCTGGAGCTATTCCAATGCACTACAATGAAAAAAGGGCTGAGCCAGCAAGGAGGATCTGCAGGAAGTACGTGTCACTGGGGCAGGGCAGGTGGTTCCTCTGTCTGGATTCATACACCCAAAACAAATGCGATTTCAGTCACCGCATTGGGATGACCGCAAACACATAATGTCCTCTCCCCTCCAACAAGTGGCTGACTATCAAAGCTGCCGTCGGAGGTTCTGGATGAGGACTGATGAGAAATACAAATAAAATGATTCTTTTGACTGCAGTCAACCTTGAGGGCAAGAGAGAATGTCAATATTTTACATTCTACAACACTTCGCTTAATCCATCTATCTTCACAAACTTGGCTGCTCCCAAACTGTTATAACAAAGAAAGAAAGAAAGAAAGAAAGAAAGAAAAGGACCCCCTCAAAACAACGCCAGTTTGTGTCTTGATACACAGATTTAGAAAAGCACTAAAAAGAATGGGACAACTTCAGTAATTACATCCTTTAGCAGTTTTTGCCAGAGATATTTTCGAACTTCTCTATAGCTGCAAGGTCTATGATGTTCAGGATTCCGACAAGATCTCCCAGGCAGCTCAAAAGTGTCTAAAAAGCTGAATCATAACCACAATTCATTTATTTGCAGGCAGCAAATGTCATTGCTCTGACACCATTCTCAAGCCATGTTTTTCCTCACCCGATAATACCAGTGGCACTGCTCTGTGCTCGCTTTTCTTTTCTTTCTTTCTTTCTTTCTTTCAGAAGCATCCTCCTGGCACAGCTAAGGGTTCTCAAATCCAGCCCAAATAAGAAAAATAATATTGCCATGTAGTCTGAGCTATTTGGCTAGGCTCTTCCTTAACAGCAAACCCAGTAAGACAGGCTCTGTTAAGGAGAGGGCTGTGGTCAAAGGAAGGACAGGTGTCTACTGGTATCTTTAAAAAAATAACTCCTAGCAACAAGTATCATCATTGGGGATCCTGGCTCCCAAGCTTACTGTCACCGAGCGAAGGGAATATGAGACTGTGGATTAAGGTAGGGCAGTGGCTTTCTGGTAGAACACTCTATGCAGAAGGATCCAGGAACAACTAGAAAGACTCCTGTCCAAAACCCTGGAGAGCAGCTGCTCATCAGTGCAGACAACATCAAGCTAGATGGACAACTGTTCTGCCTTGGCATTAGGCAGCTGCTCTGACACATCATAGGGCTGCTGGTCAAATCAAGGTGCTCCGCGATGTACTGCAGAAGTGCAAAGGGTCGATATTTTCCTTGCTTTGCTTAGGGCACTGAAATGCTGGCTGTGGCACAGTAGTCAAGTCCCCTTACCTGAGACCAGGCACCTGTCCTCCACTGGGCAGGACATGGGACGCGACTGCAGGGCCGGCGTGCGTCTGGCTTGTCTCCTGTGCAGTACTTTGTGTGCACGGTCCTGTTTGTGCCATTGTGTAGGTGCTGGGTGCACTGCACCACTCTGACCTGGACTCCCAGCTTGCCGCAGGACTTGCTGCAGGCCCCCCACTCCTCAGCCCCCCAGCTGAAAAGAGAACAGCAAAACCAGACACTCTTAACAGAAAGACTCCTCAGCTCGGTTCCCACTGAACGGGATAAATCTGGGCTGGGCCACTTCAGCCTGCAGGAACAAGCTCACAAAACAAATTCCCTTTGCAGAAAAAACCAAGATATCAAGGGTAGGGAGGAATGTAGCCTAGCGTCCAACCTTGACATGTAAGTTTTCTATAGGAAGGGATGAGGGTAGTTAGCCCAGATGCATATTTACCATCTCAGTGAGAACTAGGCCACCTAGGTTGAAAATATGAAGGCTGTTGAGATTTCAGATTATGGGAGTCTGGCTCTGCACAGATCAAAATCAAAGGCTGAACTACATAGTTGCTCTGATCTTGCAGGGAACTTCTTAAGTTCTCGCACTAAAATAGTATGATCCTTAACCAAAAAACATTGCCAAATAACCACAGAATAAGCATCTGTCAAAAGCAAGAGCACCAGAGTGGGTTTCACATGACTGTTATGCAGTGATAGCCACGTGGTGGCTTTTTTGTTTCAATGTTCATAATAATAACAATTTAATAATTATTTCTTATTTATACCCCGCCCATCCGGCTGGGTTTCCCTAACAACTCTGGGCGGCTCCCAACAGATTAAAAACAGAACAAAAAAATCAAACATTAAAAACTTCCCTAAACAGGGCTGCCTTCAGATGTCTTCTAAAACTCAGATAGTTGTTTATTTCCTTGACATCTGATGGGAGGGCGTTTCACAGGGCGGGTGCATAGCTGTCAAATTTCGGATTTGAAAATAAGGGATCAGCAGCCTCACCTGTCCCGGAGACAGATATCTAACAATCCGGGATAGCAGTGGGAAACAGAAGGAAACAGCACTGAAATAAGAGAATTTCCCGCCAAAAAAGGGAAGGTTGACAGCTATGGGCGGGTGCCACCACTGAGAAGGCCGTCGGCCTGGTTCCCTGCAACCTCACTTCTCACAGCAAGGGAACCGCCAGAAGGCTCTTGGAGGTGGACCTCAGCGTCCAGGCAGAACAATGGGGGTGGAGACACTCCTTCAGGTATACTGGACTGAGGCCGTTTAGGGCTTTAAAGGTCAGCACCAACACTTTGAATTGTGCTTGGAAATGTACTGGGAGCCAACGTAGGTTTTTCAGGACCGGTGTTATATGGTCTCTGCAGCCGCTCCCAGTCACCAGTCTAGCTGCCGCATTCTGGTTAAATAGAGCGATCTCAATGGTTTTCACTCACTTGAGATTTTATTACATACGGCTATTTCACAAGACCACGATACCGTGGTAATATTGAGGTGAGTTCTGCACCTCAAAAATGGTTGTGTGAATTGGCCCCTGGACCTTTAAGACAATGAAAAAAAGACTCACAAAGGCTGAGTGCATTCCTGCATGTTGCATCTCCTACGGATGGGTTTTGGTTTCTTCCCGTTATCGCAGAAGTTCCGGTGCACCATCCGGTTATCGCTCTTCCTCCGGCAACCATACTTGGTATACTGTATTCCTGCAAAACAGCAGAATCAAAACTACAGCTATGAAGGAACCAGCAAGTCTAGGTTGCTCAAGGCACACAGATGTGTGGGCCTCCTCCTGACAGGCACTAATGCTTTTGGGGGGTCCAGGAAATGGTCTGAAGGCACCTGATGTACTCTACTCTTGTCAACTAAGTGGAAAATAGGTCCAGACAATATATGGAGATAGCCTGGGAGTCCTATGTAAAGACACTGAAAAAGAAGGGGAAAAAAATTAAAATATTAACAGATGCAAAGGAAAGAGGTGGATTTGCCCTGCCAGACTTTAAACTTTACTATGAATCAGCAGCCTTTTGCTGGTTGAAAGAATGGCTGCTTCTTGAAAACACTGACATTTTGGATCTAGAAGGTTTTAACAATGTATTTGGATGGCATGCATATCTGTGGTATGATAAGGTCAAAGCACATAAAGCATTTAAAAACCATATTGTCAGGAAAGCATTGTTTAATGTTTGGATAAGATACAAGGACTTATTGGAAAATAAAACCCCAAGATGGCTGTCACCGATGGAAGCGAAAGCTCTGAAAAAGCTCAATATGGAGGCCAAATGGCCAAAATATTGGGAAATTTTGGAACAAGATGGAGATAGACTGAAATTACAGAGTTTTGAGAAATTAAAAAACAAAGTGCGAGACTGGCTTCATTATTATCAGATAATGGAGGCATATAATTTGGACAGAAAAATTGGCTTCCAGGTGGAAAAATCAAAATTGGAAACAGAACTGTTAGAACCCAAAACTAAGAATTTGTCAAGAATGTATAACTTGCTGTTGAAATGGAATACTCAGGATGAAACGGTGAAATCTGCTATGATTAAATGGGCACAAGACGTTGGACATAACATAATGATGGCTGACTGGGAACAGTTATGGACCACAGGTATGAAGTTTACGGCATGTAATGCCTTAAGAGAGAATATTATGAAAATGATATACAGGTGGTACATGACACCAGTCAAGCTTGCAAAAATCTATCATTTGCCCGATAATAAATGTTGGAAATGTAAAGAAACCGAAGGTACATTCTTTCACCTTTGGTGGACGTGCCCAAGGATTAAGGCTTTCTGGGAGATGATTTATAATGAAATGAAAAGGGTATTTAAATATACCTTTCTGAAGAAACCAGAGGCCTTTCTCCTGGGCAAGGTCGGCCAAATGGTGGCAAAGAAGGACAGAACTTTCTTTATGTATGCCACAACAGCAGCAAGAATACTTATTGCAAAGTATTGGAAGACACAAGACCTACCCACTCTGGAAGAATGGCAGATGAAGGTGATGGACTACATGGAATTGGCGGAAATGACTGGCAGAATCCGAGACCAGGGAGAAGAGTCGGAAGAAGATTGGAAGAAATTTAAAGACTATTTACAGAAATATTGCAAAATTAATGAATGTTAGAATGATGTTGGAATGAAGCTAGGTGGTTTAAGCAGTAATGCTATAAAGGTGTATGTAAAAAAGGATTGATAACAGATGAAAATTTAAAGTTATAGTATATTAAGTTAAAGGATCATGAGAAAACAAAGAGGGAAAGAAATTGCTGACTTAACTAATTGAACTGGAATACAAAAAAGGGAGGTATGAGGAGGTCAAGGAAACAAGGATATGAATGTAAGCTATGGAAAGATTGATCTATTATTCTTTTTTTTCTTTTCTTTTTAAGTGTCTTTTATTCTTTTATTCTGTAGTTTGTATTTTGTATTTTTCTTGTATTTTTACTTTTTGTTTTTGTGTAATTCTTTTTTTTCTCTGAAATTTTAATAAATATCATTTAAAAAAGAAAAGAAAAAGTGTCATGATGCAACAAATACGTTAAAAAATAGTGCAAGTGAATCCTGGTGTCACAGTGCCCAGCAGGGACAGATAGGCAACTTCCATGCAGCATAAGAAACTACTTTTGGATGTATGCCACCTGATAAAAATCACTTCTTTCTTTTCCCACCTCTGTCTCTGGCTAACACAGGCTCATTGAGGCAGCTGAAATCCTCCCCCTTCCCCTCCCCATTTTTGTTTCTGCTTTCACACCATGCTCATTTGCATAGTAGGGCACTTCACTGAACAGCCATATTACACAGATAGCACAGCCATACAGAAAACGTGCCCATTGAAAAACGGACTTCAATATACTACAGTATTTGTGTGTATGACTTCTGCTTCCCATTCACATCTTTGAATCACATGAATGAATGAATGAATGAATGAATGGATACTACACAGCTGCTGCCACCATTAGCTCCTTACTGCTCTGAGGAAGCAAAGGTGCAGGAAGCACTCTGCATCACAAACACAGTACAAAACGGACGATGGGTCTTGGTGTAATCGGGAGCTTCGGTCTTTCAGGCTTGGCTTTCACTTCGTAGGACGGCCCACAAAAGACAGCCTACTGTGATTGCTTGGCAACCCCAAGGCAGCACAGTGATTACTTATAAAACACCCTGTCTATGATACAAGGGTCTACAGATCGGAGTACCTTCTCTCAAGTATTTCCATTCGTTTGGACAGATGCAGGCTGCAACCCTCGCCTTGTGCAGGGAATTTCTAGCCTAGCCAGTTTTCCTAGCGCAATCCCTCCTTGTAAGGTGCGGAGCTGATCCCTCACCCTGGACTCAAGCACAACTGAACAAGGTCAGAATCCAACAGCTCCACACATGGGGGACTGCTGTGAGTGGGTGGGCATGGGTGGGGCAATATTTCTGGTGTACTATCTGCTGAGACAAACATAGATAGGGGAGGACCAAGGCAGCTGCTTTGATGTGCTACTCACCTTCCCAGTAAAGAACAACACAGATATCAAACCCTAGTCACCAACACCACTTGGGGTGTGTAGGGTGGATGCCATCAGCTGCTCCCAGAACATATCCCTGGAAATGCAGTTTATGCCTCTCCAATGTTAGCAGGGCAGTCTTGAGCCAGCAAGTTCTGACCTGGCTTTTCAAAACCTGCTTTGTGTATTTAAATGCTATGAACAGAAGCTTGTGTTGATCTGCTCAATATTTATTATTTCACTTCCTTTCAAAAGGGGCACTGAGAAGAACTGTGACCCCCCATCTAAAGTTTGAATTCAAGCTCTCTTAAAAGCAGCTTACTTGCCTCACAAACGCAAGAATATTAATATTGCCAAGGGTTTTCCTTTGGTAACATCAAGAAACTATAGGGCGCAATCCCAGTATATGACTGATGCCAAGATTTAGGAAGTGGGAGCACTTAAATGTGCACCAGGGGATGTCCTGATTTTCCCTGCAGTGCCAGTAACAGTGTGCAAAAAATATTGCTCCTTTTAAAGCGGACTGATTTGGGCTTTGCCTGAAGTGATACTCAACATGCCATTCCTAGACTGGAACCAGAATGTCCACTCTCGTAGACATTCATTTTTAAAGAATTCGTGTTTAACACTAAGCAGTTGAAATAAATACCTAATTGAAACCTGTCGAAATCTTGCGACAAAGAAGGCACTCTTATTTCCCCCAAGGTTTCCAAACACAGCAGCTAACAGCTAGTTTCACACATGCAGGTTCATTATTTGAAAGACTGGCTGCAAAATCAAAAGTGATGAATGAAGTACTATAGAATGAACACCTCAAAAACGCTGTTTTTCAAGAATCGGTTCATGCATGCAGTCCTGGGATAGACATTCATACATGAACCAGACCTCTGCAAGCAAGGAACATTCCATACACTGGAAGTGCCTCCAAGACACTTGAACCAAGAAATGCAGGGCAGGGAAAATACCTCCTCCACAAGCTTTGGAACACTGAGACCAGCTTTTAAGGGCCCACTCATAGGTGTCCATTTCTTCCAGGAGGACATTGTTGTTTCCGATGACAGGAAGGAGATCTTTGTGGATTATGTACTTGTACATCAAGCTACTCTTGGATTCGTCTTCTTGCGGGATGACCTAGGATGCAGGGAAAGGGAAGAAAGAGCAATGTGAGATGAAAAGCCCTCTCCACTTGTTACACAAGTCTTCACAAATGTATAGTTGTGCGTACAGTTCTTCAGTTTTCTGCTGAGCCCACCAGATCCAGGCTCCCAAGGGCTAAAGCCAAACTGAAGTCTTTTATAAGATGCTAAATTTCATAAGGGGAAATATAATAGGGCTATTTTTCCCCTCTGAAACTCCAGCAGAAATTTTTAAAAGGCACAGGTGTGGCCCAGTGAATGGAAAGCGAAGGGGGAAAGGACAGCTGTGTTTCAACCTGAACCTAGCCTCTCTCTCTCATTCTCATGTGCAAAAGAGGAAAATGCCAACTTTCCTATTCTTTCCATGGATTCTACAAACAACACTGGTTGTGTGAAGTGCTCTTCAATTAGTTTATGCATTGAAATAGTTTTGTCTGGTGCAGTTAAGCAAAAGGCTTAAAGGGCAAAAGGAAAAGGGGGGGAGAGACTGCACATGTGTTGTTGAGCATACATATGCATGCATCTAGCTCTCTCCAGGACTCACCAGGACGCTGATGGCTTCATGCAGGGGCCCGCTGGTTTTCAAGCTTTCCTTGCCGTTCTCAATGGCGTACTCCCATTCCAAGCCCATCTCCAGGAAAGTGCTGCTCTTGGCATCTTTGCCCTTGGGATTAAGGATGATGTTGCCAGAGGCTTGGTTCTTAACAGCTGTGGGGGAAAGTAGTGCTCAGGGTCATCTCCGCTCATCAACGTCCTCTTACATGCAGCAGAATTTGGGCATTAGGCAATCAAGAGTGTTCAAGGCTTTTCTTTTCTTGTATGTATGGGGTTTTTTGTGTTAGTGTCAGCTGGGTAGGTTCTCTTTCTGTTCCAGGGCAAGAAGCATGACACTTCGCCCCTTCCCAAGGGGATGAAGTTCCCCTGTAGTGTGCATACTTGATTTATGTTTACGTTTTTACTATATTGTGTTTTAATTATGTTATGGAACCATTTGGAGAAAAGCAGGCTATACAATTCACTAATCAGTAAAATAATTTGGCACGGATGACGTTTTTTGAGATGGTTTAAGATAACTTTTAAAATTGGATCCATTTGCTAAATCACGCTGAGTGCCTAGGGGCTGAAAAGTCTTCCAAGACTCCGTCCTGCACCAAGAAACAAGCCCCAGGGTGCAGAGAAAGGGAGGCAACTGGGGTAATCATGAACCAAGCTTTGTTCCCATTCCAGTGGTGTCCCCTCCAGCTCTACAGGTCTATGATTCTACGACTCTCCCATTTGCTCCTATGGAGGGAGGAGGGGTGCTGTGCTTGGGATACTGACACAATGAAAGCAAAACCTGCTGCTGCACACATATGCATACATACAGACATGCAAAACACCCACACACAAGCCAAAACCTCTTGCAATATAACGACTCTCCTTCTGCACACTTCCTCGTCTATCAGTATGACGGGCATTTTGCTGCAATGTAAAAACAGTACACTTTAAAGCTAGACCTTCTGCAATACATTTGCCTCTCTTCTTGGGCAAAGGTAGAAAATAAAACCCCAATCTATCTCCCCTCCATCTTCTTTATTGTTCATTTTCATTTTGCTTGGCTGGTTTGTAATCAGCTGGCACACTTAAATCATGCCTGGCATTCCAAGTCGTCCTCTGAATTAACAGAGCTTGTAAACAGAAAGGGGGGGAAATACACTCTCTCTTCCCCTTCCTCTCCCCCTATGAGCACGAGAGATTTGGCTTCTAGTCTGGACCTCTCCAAGTTTGTACAGCGCATAGAGGAGCATTGTGTGAGCAGCAATAAAGGATCACAGCCAATTCCACCAGAAGTCTCACAGATTTTACAGACAGCAGGACGTGAGCTGCAGACAGACGCACAAGAGGGAGGGAAACCACTGCTTCACATTATCTACCAATTGATCAATTCCTGCCACCCACACTTCCTTGCATCATAATAATAATAATAATAATAATAATAATAATAATAATAAAGGTTTGATATCACGTTACTAAGCACATTGGTGGAATGCAATTTAAAATGTCTACTGTGATGCTGCAAAGTGTTAGAAAAGCTGTCAGGTTCAGATGGGCTAATAAGGGGCTTAATAGTTGTATAATGAAACAGGGAAGAAAGGTGAAGGACAAGAGAAACGAAGATAAATATGAGGGAATCTGTTTTAGTTTAGTTTCAGACCAGGGTATGGACTAGCCTGCCGTTTACTCCAGATTAAGCACTTATCACGTGCAGTAATTTGTGGAACAGCCCTTCAAAACGCTTATATCTTATGGTGGGTATTATGTCAATTGATCTAGAATAGGCTTACTTTGTAAAGTTTTGCACCTCAATATTTTGAGTTCGGTGAAGAATTGTTTGTTAGGAGATACTCCCACGTAGTCCTTTTCTCAGAGTACGCAACATATACAAACACACAAACCAAGCCTGTGATGCTTATTTACAACACACACACACACACACACACACACACACACACACAAACACACATATATAATGATTAATGAAGCTGGCACAGGACGAGAAAGAGGAAAAACAACTTTATAAATACTAATGTGCATCTGACATGTGGTGTTAGCAATGTGTTGCCTAATACCCAAAGTTAGCTCGCTGGGGATGGGGATGGGGGGTAGTGAGATCCAGCCAAAATTTAAAATCCAACTTATTTCATTGAGAGAGTTAAACATCTTTAGTTTGTTTCCTCCCGTTCAGATGAGCTTTAATGCTGACGGGACTGAACCCTGCAAATGTCTTTAACAAGCTCTTCTTGAGAACTAAACTGTTAAAAAGACCTTTGTATAAAGAGTGTCAGGCAAAATCGACCCTGTCTACCTAAACCCATTTTCGGTTCTTACCAATTGTATGGGTTGCTGGCTCCATCTCTTCAATCTGCACATGCCTGGCGCCGGCTGGAATCTCAAACATTTTCAAAGCACCCACTGAAAATCGTGAAGAAAAGAAACCATTCTTAAAATGGGTAGAGCTACAGTCAGAGATAAGTTCCACAAAACATTCGCTTTTAGACTCTCTGAAGCTGCAGGAAATAACAGGCTTTGAAAAACACACACAAGTATTTTTCTCTTTTGACTTTTGCTACAGCTATGTTTATTTAAGTATGTGTTTGACACCCTAGGGACACCTCCGGCACAAAACCACATTGAAAGTGAATGGAGATGTCCCCCATGGACTGAGTAATCCAATCCAGTTCTGCGGATCTTGAGTACAGGAAGCCAATTATATCATTTTTTTGAATAAGGAAATTTGTACTTGTGTATAAGAAACGCGCACACACCAGAATATGCCCAGATGGAGAGCATAAACAGGAAATTTCAACCCATGTAGCTTTCAAATGACATTGGAGAATATACACAAAATTAGAGAACAAACAGGATGTTCTGCGCATTGCCTGGTCAATATATACAAATGGATGGAATCCCTCGGATGAGTTCATATCCTCAGTCACTCAGAGACTATGGCTACTGGGAAGGCAACATCCAGAAATTCCCTGCTGATCGTGTTCATTGGTGCACACTCTGCATGTCGTCATACAGATAACACTCCATCACCAGTGTTTATCACACTAGATACAGCTCACATTAACTCCAATATAAATAGTTTTCCCCTCCAATAATAGAGGCGGGGAAAGGGCTGCTGCTAATTCTGGCAGCCTATATAGCTTGTAAGGAAAATTTAAAAAGAGAAGTTTGTCTTCGTACTCTCACCTGCCTGCTTTGGGGATTTGACCAAAGTCCCCTTCACCGTCCGGCAGTGGGAATTGTCACCCCCACAAACACCACACTTGTCGTCCTGTTTGAGGGAGCCGATTTCTTTGTCGCACCCAACGTGCTGTCATAAGAAGAAGAAAAACACAAACACAGAGAAAATACATACACAGATAGAGTTTTGCTTCAGATTAGATAGATAGAGTCTATGTATCTCCAGGATCATTAAAACAAAGTTATGACCCCAAGTGTTTTTAGAAAATCTTTGGTGCGGGTGTGTGGGTGTAATGGTATTCAAATTGCTTTGGATCTTGCAACACCACACTCAACCAAAATCTTCCTATTATCCTGGAAGCAATCAGCATTGTCCAGTGTTTTATTCTATATCTAGCAAGCTCAGCTTCGGCGACTGAACAGCGTGCTATAAATACTGAAATAGTAAGCCAGAGGATTTATTGCAATCACCACAATTACAGCCCTGTGTGTGGTGCGAATGAATAGCAGCAACACACAAAAAGCCAGTGCGGTCGTCTGGTGAGGAGTTCTGGGTTTGTGGGAGCAAAGTTCAAGCCACTTGCTCAGTTAGGAACTTGCTGGGTGGCCGCAAGCAAGTACAATCTCTCGTGGATTGTTTCCCCGTCTGCAAAATGGCAAGGCATAGGCCTGCTTTGCAAGGCTGTAGGAATAAAGAAGGATGGATGAGATCCTATGCCTGTGTACTTAGAAGCAAACTCCCTACACATCCACTGGACTACTCTCTAAATGAATGCATTATAAAAGGGTGTGTGCAAAATTCAAATACACACCCAGGGTGGGGATATTCCCTTCCATGCAACCCAAATAACAGTGAGGAAATTTGGCTAAAGACCCAAACAACAAAGACTTGTTAATATCTCTTCAAACAAAAATGGCAACATGAAAGGAATTTTAAACTAAGACTGAGCTGAAATTACTCATGTTTCCTATTTTGTGAGCATCAAAAAAAAAAAAAAACCCTATCACTTTTGGAGAGTTTTCTGCACTTGTCACAAACACATTTGCCTTGTTCTGATGCTTTCCTTGTTGCCCCCTTTTCCATTATTCTCAACCTCACAAAGTCCCCAGTCTCATTTATGTATGATTCTGGTTATAAAACTATCCTATGGGTTATGACTGCCCATGTGATTTGTCAATGCCGTTACGGACACTCAAGACAAAATCACGTGCGTCAACTCAAGTGATGAGATTCAAAGCTGCGTTGGTAAATGAATCTCAGGATTACATGGGCAAAGGAGAAGGAAAATGGCACCTAGAAGCTGGAGAATTGAAAGGATGCTGAAATTGCTGTAAGGTGGGTATTTGTGGGGGACAGTTTGCTTTGGTGCACTAAATGTGCTACTTTGGAAACAAATATGAAAACTACAGGACATCTGGCAAAGCCCTGTTCAATCCCATTCCAGAAAAATCTACCAAAATCTGTGAAAGTTCAACCAACAATAAATAGCTGTCCTCTGCTCTTCCTTTTGACACAAAACGTATAGGAAAACAGATGAACCAGCAAGTTCAATTACGTACCACACACTCTCCCCTCACACAGACACTGTATGGGTCTCTATAGCTGCACCTTGTGCCATCATGAACAACTTGATTCATGAATACCACGTCTCCAGTTTCCTCAGACTGGCAAATCAGCTCACACTTCTGGGCATCTGCAGTAAAACAAACACACAGAGGCATTTGGTACTATGTGTGTGGATTTCAGACAAACGTGAAACAACAATATTTGGAGGGATGATCCAATGTTCTCAGAAGAGATTTATTTTTTATTTTCCTTACCCTCCTAGAAAATGGAGGATTTGCAGAACTTTTCTCTAGATATTCTCCACCATTTCCCCCACATAATGCACCAGAATGAGGCTGGGTGCAGACCTTGTGGAGGATGCAAAATGGCACCCAGGCTACACACGCAGTTGCTGCCGTTGTCACTTGCAACAGTGGCAAAACACACACAACACCCTTTGCTTCAGGGAGTGGAGGGGGATAAAATCTGCTGCCACCACTGTCAATGGTGAGCCCCCCCCCCAAAAAAAAAACTGCTGGAAGGGGTGGTGTGAGCTGGAGTTCAACACCATCTGGATAGCACCACATTAACTACTCTTGAGTTGAAGTCCACCTTGCCTTCTGCTCCTGGAAAGCGTTTTTTCCACCCATCCAAATGGGATTCAAGTGCCCCTTGAAGCCCAACATTCTGTAGTACCATATGTGAACTTTCTTGCTCTGTACTGGTCAAACATCCCTATCCTAAAGGTTTTCCCGTAGGGCATCTAAATCAGGAGGTCACAGAACACATGTGTACCATATTTTAGCCTGTGAAAGAGCTTAGCAGGTTTGGGGTACATGTCATATCCTCCATTTTGAAACAGATTTTAAAAAATGCCCCCACTTAAGACTTTTCTTGATACACTTATAGGAGGACCTTAGCTCTGGCTTAAAGAGTAAAAAGGTAAAGGGACCCCTGACCATTAGGTCCAGTCACGGACGACTCTGGGGTTGAAGCGCTCATCTCGCTTTATTGGCCAAGGGAACCGGCGTACAGCTTCCGGGTCATGTGACCAGTATGACTAAGCTACTTCTGGCGAACCAGAGCAGCACACGGAAACGCTGTTCACCTTCCCGACAGAGCGGTACCTATTTATCTACTTGCACTTTGACATGCTTTCGAACTGCTAGGTTAGCAGGAGAAGGGACAGCTTAAAGAGTACCTCACGCTGAATCATTGTTTAGCATAGCATGCCCAAGCAAGAACAAGCCTTGGGTCCACATGCTGCCCATTGCCTCCTGGCCAAGAGGAAGAATCCAAAAGCTTTTGCCTTGATTTCCCCTTAACCATGAAATGCGCTGCATTGCCCGATGGCGGTGAACAAGCCCAACTATGGTTAACTTCAAAAGCCAACATCAAACTGTGGAGTTGGTGAAACTAACAGCAAAAATAAGAAACCAAAGTGACAGACTATTCACGGAAGAATGGAAGCCCTTTTTGGAACAGCTGAAAGGATATTATAATCAGGTGAAATCGCAAACAGGATTTGAAATATGAGAAATATGAGAAGATTGATAATATATGAAATAGAAGAAAATGTCTTAGGTGAAATGTTTACTAGAATGCAGTATATAAATGGGATGGGATTAAGAACAGCATGGAGGGAAAGGCAGGAAGCCAAAATTTAAAGAGAAACGTATAACAAATTTGAAATCTGGATTATATATGTTAAGATTCTGAAGTTTAATAAAAACTTGACTATGAAAATTGGGGGGGAGGGCAGGAGGCAACATCAAGCTGTGGTTCCTGAAGCTGGCTTGCTGAAGCTAACCGTAGTTTGCAATAACCACAGTTCCAGGTTCAAATGACATGGTAAACTGTAGCCAACTAAAAGCAGAAGCTTTCAAACTGCTCCTTTCAGCCATTTGGGAGGATAGGGAGCACATAAAGCGGAGGCACCTGCACATGAATCACATCTAAAATATTCAGCTAGTGTGGAAACAACAGTGATGATAAGAGTGAGTCGATCTCTCTCCTAGCGTATGAAGTCAGACCAGTTCGGTAAACTCTCGATTCAGGGTGGATCAGCAGTGTCTCAATGCCTTACCATCATGGTGTTCATAGGGAAGCCAAGTGTGCTTGGAGTTCTGGTGGGTGTAATAAGAGTTCCTCTTGGAGCACTGCTGGGCACGGAAATCCTCATAGGGACCACGGCACTCTTCTGTATTGCAGACTTGGTACTCGTACGTGGCACCTGGGCAATGGCGCCCTCCGTAGGCCGGGCTGGAAAACAAGCAAGCTGCTGTTTAGGGAGCCTTGTATTCATGTCACCCCCAAAAAAAACTTAAAGAGAAATCGCATTCACTTCCATGCTTTCTAATCTTAGCGCTTTCTTTTCTTTGCCCCAAAATTTTTGCATCAGAAGCTCAGGCAAACCCAAGGGAGCATCTCCACCCACATTGTTCAGCCCAGACACTGAGGTCCTGAGCTGAGGGCCTTCTGGCAGTTCCCTTGCTATGAGAAGTGAGGTTGCAGGGAACCAGGAAGGGCCTTCTCGGTGGCGGCGACCGCCCTGTGGAACACCCTCCCATCAGATGTCAAGGAAATAAACAACTATCAGACTTTTAGAAGACATTGGAAGGCAGTCCTGTTTAGGGAAGTTTTTAATGTCTGATTCTATTTTTAATATTCTGTTGGGAGCCGCCCAAAGTGGCTGGGGAAACCCAGCCAGATGGGCAGGGTATAAATAATAGATGATGATGATGATGATGATGATGATTGGTAAAACAGAGTGCAGTCCCTGAAAACTGCCAGAATCTCAGTCCAACTAACAATGCATTTAGTTTTAAATATAGAAACATGCATATGAGATAGCTCATATCTGTGGCATAAAATGGTAAACCCAGCAACTGTATCAAGGATACAGAGCACATGTTTCAGTTGTTACTAGATGAATTTATGCTTTATTTTCTTGGAATTCATTTATGACTTGTTCTACTGTTCCTTGCCCTACGATTTCCCACAAACTCTCCTCCTGCCTTTTTTGTTTTTCGGTGACCCAGATGCATTAGAAGGAAGAGAGGCCCCTTCTGTCCCCTGCCAGATGCAATTTCCCCAAACGACGCTCCTAGTGGAAGGGCCAAACTTACGGTGGGTTGTTGCAGTTCCTGCTGCGGGAGCGCACCCCACCCCCACAAGTCCTGGAGCAGGAACCAAATTTGGACCAGGAACTCCAGCTGCCATCCTGGCTGTACGGTTGTTCTGAAGTCTTCCAGATGCAGTGACCCTTGAAACACCACTGGAACAGGAGAAGAAACAGGGGTTACCTGAACACCTGCCTCTTCATTACTGTCCAGTGTTAGTGAGGAGATCAGTTCTACAGCCACGGAAGCACCCGGCTTTACAATAGGGTTCGGAATCTGTTTCTCCCACTCTCATTGGTCAGGCGGACAGTGACGGCTGTGAAGTCACGAAACCTTAAAGTAATAAAGAAAGGTCTCAGGGGGCCTGGGTGGCACAGTGTATTCACGAAAAAAAGCCTGTCACCTCTGCAGTACCAAGCTAATCTCCTGGCACAGATTGCAAACTTGAAACCACACTGAGGTCGGCGTTCCTGTCCTTGCCCTTGATTTTTCCTCATCAGAACTTCGCAGTATTTACACTGGAACAGCTCAAAAGACCGGAATGGGAAGGGGTGGAACGAACCTCCTGTTTTCCATGACTGCACTTGAACACAAAGCGCAAACACCCAATGCTTGTTGCTAAAAATGCAGTGGGCATACACCAGAGCGCTGCTGGTAGTGAGGATTTCCTGATGTGCGGCTCTGAGTATTTAAGGATGCACAGCTAACCATTGTACTCTGCTGTGGAGACCACCAGAGTAAGGCCAGCATAGCCTTGGCAAACACAAGTTACCAAGTGGAGCAATGCAGACCTAAGTAACAGTCGGCGCTGGACCAAGTTCCAGTACTCTTAGACGTATGCATTTATTCTTTATTTAAATTTAGGAGTTTGCTTTTCCACCAAAAGATGCTCAAAGCAGCTTACATCAGAATTAAAGCAAGAATCATGAAACTTATAAAATAGCTTGATTTTTAAAGCCAGCAGTTGACAGCACTGGAAGATAACAGAACCAAATTTAGAAACATATGGGCAGGCAGAACAAATGCTTCTTCGCACTAGGTGTCAAATGACTGCAATGGGACGTGTCCGGGTGGGCTCACCTGGGGAGGGAGTTTCATGATCCAAGAGCCATCACTGTTAAAAGATTGCTTTCTGGTGGCATTTAACTTAATGCCCAATGTTGGTGGACTCAAGAGCATTATCTCTTTTAGAGATCTCAACTAGTCTCTGTGTTGCAGAGGGTGGGGTATTCCCTGAGACAGCAGTAACCAACATGGTGCCCTCCAGATACTGTGAGGCTGCAACTCTCATCAGCCACAGCCAGTATGGCCAATAGTCTGGGATTATGGGAACGGTAGTCCAGCAATATCTGGAGTGCACAACATTGCTCTAGATTATTTCTAAGCTGGTCATAATAGGGCTTTGGCAGCACCAAGAATTTAGCCTGTAAATAAACCAGCAACAACAGTTGCTGGTGCTTCCAGGAGCTAGCTCCTGACACAAGTCTTGTGTCTGGGCTGTCTTTTTCTCGGGAGGAAAGATGACAGAAAGAGCGGCAACACAGTCTGCATGGAAACAACCACATCAGCATAACAGAAGTGAAGTACTTTTCTGCTAAGTTAACATGGGAGTAAATGAGTGGCATGTAGGTACAAACATAATGGTTTTCAAGGTGGAGGATGGAGAGGTGAAAGATTCCTGATCAATGCCTCCATTCACCTTTTTCTATAAGTCCATGGTAAAAAGGTAAAGGTAAAGGACCCCTGACAGTTAAGTCCAGTCGCGAACGACTCTGGGGTTGCAGCGCTCATCTCGCTTTACTGGCCGAGGGAGCCGGCGTACAGCTTCCGGGTCATGTGGCCAGCATGACTAAGCCGCTTCTGGCGAAACAGAGCAGCGCACGGAAACGCCGTTTACCTTCCTGCCAGAGTGGTACCTATTTATCTACTTGCGCTTTGACCTGCTTTCGAACTGCTAGGTTGGCAGGAGCTGGGATCAAACAATGGGCACTCACCCCGTCGTGGGGATTCTAACCGCCGACCTTCCGATCAGCAAGCCCTAGGGTCAGTGGTTTAGACCACAGCACCACTCACATCCCTTCAAGTATATGGTACTTTTGCACTAATCTTAGAAGCTATTCTCCAAGGTGCAGAATGTTACCGACATCTTAGGCTTGGTTGTTGTTTTCAACCACTGCCAATTTAGGGGAAAGGTGTGGACATACACAAAGCATTTTAATGTTCTAGATGAATAAAAGGTCCCTGCGTAATGCTGCCCAAAGAGATACACACAGTCCCTACATATTCCTATAACAAGGCATGGTCTGGGTGCCCGCATGCATTGTGCAAAAGGGTTAGGGCAGGGGTGGAACACACCAGCCTTCTGCCAAGGATGAAACCGTCCAATATCAGATTCAACAGCATGGGTACCTTGCCTGATGCACACTCAGTTCCATCTAAGGGAGGTCCTTTCTTTGTCTTACAGAAGTAGGGGTTGTCAGGATGGCTGCACCACAGTTGTTTGCATGGGTCAAAGGTTCTGAACTGTGAAGAAGGAAAATACAATGCAGACAAAGAAAGGACTCACTTTGTACATTTAATCCAACAGGAAGTGCAAGTAGCTTGTTCCCACCAATACTTCAGCTTATGATCTAGTGAAGATCGTGTATTATTGTATCATAACACCATGAGAACCATCTATTTAAATGAGGAAACTTTGAGATTAGGATGCCGCTTTTTGCACTGCTCCTGCTGAAAATACAGAATTTAAGGCAAGTGAAGTTTTTTTTCCCCCATCACATTATTCTTTTACACAAGGAAAAGCTTCACCTGCTAAATTATGTATGTCAAAGTACTTTCAAAACCACATTAAAAAGGCTGGATTTTCTCTGTTTTTGAAGGAATCCAAGCCTACATGGGTCTAAGACACACACACCCTTTATTTTATCTTATTTCAAATATTTTTATGCCACCCTGCTAGATTTCAGGACAGTTTTCAACAGCACCAGCTGTGCTGACACCATTACCATCAGTGCAGAGACTGCTCCTGCTTCACTCCTTCCTAGCAGAAGGAGCAACAAATGACAATCTCTGGCTTAGCTTTATGTCCAAACAACTTTCAATGAGAATCCAAGGTTTTGTTCTTGGCTTACCAATCGTGGTTTGTTTGGAGGCTAATGCTACTAAGCCAGAGGTTGCAGAGTGTTGCTTCTTCACTTGTTAGGGGAGAAGTGAAGCTGGGGCAAAACATGGTAAACCATGAACTATGATTTATTTATCACAGGGGTGGCCTAACCCTTTATTCACCCAAGGCCAACTTTCCAGGGGCCACACGGCAGCCCAAAAGCAGGTATGTGGGACATCCCTTTCATTTACACAAGAGCAGGATTGGGAAAGTAGCAGCAGACCGCCTACCAACAGGGTTCCTATACTCACAGCTGTGCATGTTTTGTAGCCCACACCAAAGTCAAAGCGGCATTGCTCATCCATGGAGTAATTGATTCCTGGCAGCTCAGGCAACTTAGGCCAGTTGTGCTCAAAAGGGTCGTCCAAGAGGCAGTCGTAAGAACTGCAACGCAAGACAATAAAGAAAGCTCAAAGTTATTAGGTTCCTTGCCACTTTAGCATTTTTCTTCAGATACCCCACAGGTCCTTGTTCTCCTAAACAGCTGGGCATTCTAGACTGGATTTCACCGTCTTAATTCAACACGGAATTATCAATATCTGTTCATTCAGTGTGCATCCCTCCTCACCCATTCATTCTCTCAATAGAAGACAAAAACAAAACTTCAGAATAGCTTAAGAGCCCATGACGACGGCGACAACGACAACAACAACAACAACAACAACGTAGACCTACTGTATGTATCGGTTCAGCTCTTGCTTGCTGCATCGCGACCAGTGGTAACGGTGGAAGGCAGCTTGCACCAGTGGCGCCATAATGCTTCCCATGCTGGTTTCATCGGCACATCGGTTACCTTGGCCATCGTGTTCCATACCTAACCTGTTTAAAAAGTCTGTAAGTGGTGTTCCCAAGCACTAAGGTATATGAAACAGTGAATAATGGAACAGCAGAAGTTTGAGTGCCACTGCTTCAGTTCCTATTTGTTTATTTGCCACATGTACAAAACTGACGTTAAAGCAATCCTAACTATGTTAAAACTGCTCCGACTTACTTACCACTTCCAACCCACCCACCCCCCTTGCTCCCATGGCTAGAAACAGACCTGGTGGGAGCCAGTGTCCCTCATCAAAGTGACCCACACCTTTCTAGGTCACAGAAATTAAATAACAACATGGGAGCACCTCACTCAACACCATGTTTGCAGTAGCACAAATATATGCGCTGAACTGGACTTGTGACCAGAATTTGCAGAAGTCCATAGAGAGACCTTCTGACCATATGGTGGATGATATCTCATGAGTTCTCTCTGTGATTACCCTTACAGGAATGAGTTCCACAAGGGCCTATCAGGTTCCATAGCTGAGTCATCAGCCATCAGTGTCAGTGGCATTAGAAGCTACTGAATGGTCTCCGGGGATCAGGAGTGTACCATTTCCCTTACCTTGCCAGCAATTGGCTGGCCCAGGCCCAGGCTATCTAATGTCCTCTAACGAGGCTGCAGGATGATGAGCACTTCCACAACCTTACCCAAAAAGGGAAGGTTGAAAGACTCGTCGGAGAATCAACACCAAAAGATGCGGGGGATGTTTCTGCCCAGAGCATGGCATTAAAATTTATCATTAAGCCAGCAAACTTTTAAGAGCAGCTGAAACAAAGGGCACCCAGGCATCAATCACTGCAGAGATACCAGTGAGAAACCTGCCCCGACGACTTACACATGTCCAGTCTCATGAGCCACCACAAATGCCGACGAGAAGCCATCTTCGTGATTGAGGGTGCAACTGCGCAGAGGGTGACACATGCCTGTGACAGGAGCATATCCTGGAACAAAGCAGAGGAATAAGGGAGAGGAAACGAACCACGGCAGGGATGGGGGGCATGTAGGATGGGGGGGAATCAAGTACTAGAGCTGTTTCCATCAAATTTCACACCCAGCTCTCTCTGGAGGGAGGTGAGCTTCACTGGGAATGCAAATGAATCATTTTAGGATGTTCCGCCACTCAGATCTCATGAAAGCATATATGCTTGGAAGGTCCTAAAATCAAAAATTGTTGTTTTTTTAAAAATGTTTAACATTTTTATTTTTTACCAACAACCAAAACACAAACAGTGAAAGCCCCCAGGCAGCTGATACATTGGGTATACATAATCAATAATAACATATTCAAATCAACCATATGTACAATTTTATATACGTTAACACTCCTCCATCCACAAGGTTTATTTAAATTTCAACATTTTAATTCCCCCAAATTGTTCAAACCTACGCAAATAATCCAATATCTTCTCAAACCAATCCTCCTCTTTCTCACTAACCTTAAACCCTTTCATTCTGTGTATCTTCACAGTTAGATATTCTAAAATTGTAATATTATTCAGTTTTTTCCTCCATTGGTTCACCCCTAGCTCTTCTGCATTTTTCCAATTACTTGCTATAACCTGTCTGACTGCAGTTACCATCAGTTTTACCCATTTACATTCCTCTTTTGTTTTTAACTCGGTGCTACTTAGACTAATAAAAACCATTAATTTAGATATTCCCACCTTCCTACGCACAATTCCCGATATTTCTATACCAATCTGTTTCCAAAAATTCATTAACTAACGCAAAAATTGTTTTAAATCTCAGCACGCACACATACAGTAATTTACCCACCACCACATACATTCCCGATCGGCATTGTGGCAATGACACAGCAGGGAAAGCATTCAGACAAACTAACAGAAACTAAATGCCAAGGCAAATGCAGCCCACTAAGGATGTGCTGTGGGGGCCTTCCCCATGCTTGACAAGGCCTGTTTCTGCAGCCTGAGGCAGGTAGCAAAAGCAGGGCGTTGGTTGACTCTCCGGTGGGCCACTTTAAATGTATGACCATGAGCTGCCTTTGGTTTGACGAGCCACAGGTTGTGCAGGCTTGCAATGGGGACTATTAGCAAGCAGCAGAGTCAGAGGTAAAGTGATATGCACCTCATAGCCGTACGACGATTCTGTGGATCTTTAGGCTTGTACACCAGCCATCCCTGAAATAGGCTAGTGGGAAATAGGGTCAAACTCTCAATAGATCTGTCATCAAATGCCATAAGGTCCAGTTCCTGGAATTTAGCACCTAGTGACTGGTTAGATCGGAGTGGTGAGGGCTGCGATTCTCCTCCTGGCTGTTGCTGGGCTTCAAACTCCTCTCATAGCCCCAGTCAACATGCCCAGTGATCAGGCCAGCAGCAAATGTAAAGCCACAGGTTCTCTGTCTCTGGCTTAGATGTTTATTGTGCAGTGCATTATTTGTATATGGCATGGCATGCAGTGGTGCTGCTAAGTTTATTTGTTCATTTTTTAAAAAATAGCTATAAAAATTATGTCCTCGATACAGATTTTTCTCCATTTAGATACTTTTGAGATGTTGAATACAGGCATTTAATTCTCTTTCCCACAGCTCTTTATGTGACTGGCTCCATCCCAAACAACAATCTTGCAAATGCCTCAGACAGGTAGATTTGGGAGCTCTGGTGTTTTGTTTTGTTTTGTTTTGTTTTGTTTTGTTTTGTTTTGTTTTGTTTAAGAATAGATCCCACAATCCTGAAATTTGCTGCCCCCTGAGGAAAGTGGTTTGACTCTCATTTAGTGATGTTACAGCTTCTCTCAAGAGGCAACAGCTACATTCACAGAATCTGTGCTTTTTTAAAAAAATATTAATAATCAGTGGCAAGCCATTATCCTCTTATTCTGCACTGGATCACATAGTCAAGAGACAGGAAAAACTCAACAGAAATGCCAGCTGTTCTACAGCACAAAGAGGGTGAAATAAACACTACCAAGGAAGAAGCAGAAACCAAAAAGACTTTGCCACATACCTCAGCTGGCCAAGGGTTTGGAGAGCAGCCAGCAGGGTACAGACTTCATTTCCAGTGAAGTCATCTCGGCTTCTATTGCCAAGGACTGAATTTAACATATCTCTGTGTGTGTGTGTGACACTTTACATTCCTCACTCTTTCCATGGTTTAATGGCAATGCTCCTTGACCAATCAGATTGTGCTTTCAGGTAGCACCGCCATTCACTTTTGTCCTGTTTCTTTCTGGAGGCAGGAGGAGAATTTATACCTTTTTTTCCTGCCCAACCCCGTGTCAAGTGGGCTATTATCCCCATAAATAGATTCAATGCAGAATGGAGACAAAAGGAATAGCACCGGCGCAATGCAGAGCATTGATATGATCCAATTATAACATTTAGCAACGCTGGTCAAGCATGAGACTCTTAAATCTCAGGGTTGTGGAGTTGATGCTCAAGTTGGGCAAAAAGTTTCCTGCATTGCAGGGGCTGGACTAGATGACCCTTGGGGTTCCTTCCAATGCTACAGTTATAATATTCTATGAATCTATGATTTCCACTGCGGCATGCAAAAAACAACAACACAAAACCAACACAAAACACTTCCACAGGGTGGCTGTTATCAAACTACTTTTGCCATAGAAACTTCACATAAACAGCTATGGAAGGGTGGGGGCAGAAATGTCTCTTTCCCATGATTTTTAAAAAAAGCAAACTACCACACACAACCCCGAGCACTACTTTCTGCACAAACAGAGGCCTCAGCATTTTAAAGCAGGCACGCTTGCCAAATGGAACTGGAAAGTCAGGGACCCCTGCCAAAGTCATGAATGGCCACCTTTGTAACTTTGATCTTTCGTTTACAATGCACTGCATAGCTATTGGGTTTAAAGGCCCAGAGCAGCTTCCATTAAAGCAAATGGTTTTAGCAGGATCAACGTTAGACCCCTTTTGAGAAGGCGGGCCACCAGCGTGCGCACTTTAATTACCGTTTCAGTTTTGCTGACTACCTCTCTTGGCTTGTATCCCTGTGCTGAGCCGAAACATTATGGAGTTGCTGCGTCCACCCGTCCACCCCATCCCCAAGTAGCTTGAGACTTGCCCTGACCTCAGTGCGCTGGGCGAGATCTTCTCATGGTGTTCATTCCAGAGATACCCAGCGGAAGCAGAAGAATTAAAATGAATGAATGAGGCACCGGGCTTTATAAGTGCAAATGTGACCATGCTGAAATGTATTTATAAACTAAACAGTTGGGTGGAACTGTACTAAGGGTAATAAAACGAGAGGAAAATATAAGAGGAAAATATAAGTCACACTCTCATTTAAGAATCCCTCACACTCTCCATCACAACAATAGCTGTCATGCTTAGGAAAGCGTTTTATTGAAAACCATGTACATCCCCTGGGCTTTCTCATCTAAAAGCATGTCCTACCATATTGCCCCAAATAGCTCTAACTCCGCCCCCCCTTAGACAGAAGTGAATGAAGCCTGTCAGATTACAGACCAATTAGTCTAGGTTTATTTGCCTTTTTAAGGGACGTGGGTGGTGCTGTGGGTTAAACCACAGAGCCTAGGGCTTGCCGATCAGAAGGTCGGCAGTTCGAATCCCCGCGACAGGGTGAGCTCCTGTTGCTCGGTCCCTGCTCCTGCCAACCTAGCAGTTCGAAAGCACGTCAAAGTGCAAGTAGATCAATAGGTACCGCTCTGGCTGGAAGGTAAACGGCGTTTCCGTGCACTGCTCTGGTTCGCCCGAAGCGGCTTAGTCATACTGGTCACATGACCCAGAAGCTGTACGCCGGCTCCCTCAGCCAATAAAGCGAGATGAGTGCCACAACCCTCGAGTCGGTCACGACTGGACCTAATGGTCGGGGTCCCTTTACCTTTACTATTTGCCTTTTAAGCGGATTGGAGAGGGAGAACTAAAAGGGGTTCATTAGCCTCTCTGCAATTTGGCAGGCAACTATTTTATTATGAAAGCAGAAGTGGCCCTAGCAAAGCAACTTGCAAAATATCCCAAAATCCTGTGTGGGAGATGTACAGGAGGAGTAAGGAGGAATGCTTCAGCTTTGGCTATCCTGCACTGAACACGGGGTTGCACTTCGTGACTTTTAAGGTCCCTTTCAGCCCTATAATTCTATGTGGGTGGTACTGGTTGCCAGTTGGGTACTTCTAATATGGAACAGTAGTTTCAATTTCAGAGGTTTGACATCACAACAACCTTGACACAGAACTCCAAGGTCATTTCCACTGCAAATAAGGATTTGAGACAAAGTGCATCTAAAGGATCATTTTCTAATCACTATTCAGTTATATTTCATGATGACAAAACAAAGACCTGCCTTCATATAAATTTCGAGGGGAAGATGTAACACTGTAGAATTTATTTTTAAAAATATTCGCATTCGTGAATTCCGCTTAAAACACTTGAAAGGCAACCGTTGGTTGTTGGAAATTATTTTGTCGGAATGCTTTTTAAGATCTGAGCATAACTCGATTCATTTTGATTCATTAATTTTATCGTTCTAATGTTTTGGAGTTCGCTCATGCTAAATGTTAATGAACCTGAAGATAAAGACTGCAACGGACACAGTGAACTAATTGCAATTTCCTCTATTTCTTAAAGTCTATTTCTCAAACAACCATCTGAATTGGATCCAACTGAATTTAATAGTCTTCTTGAAGGAACTAAAATAAACCCTTCAATGAGTAAGAACTTCTGTGGAAGAAGTTGTTCCTCCAAAGACAGGAGAGTTAGAAGTCCAAGTTAGGTGATGTTTACTGGACTCAAACGCATTGCAGACAAGGAACAAATGTTGACTTGTCACAGTTGCAGAAACTTTGTTCTTGGGACGGGGAAAGCAGCAACATAGGCTAATACTTAAGATTCTTTTCAAATACCTCACTTCTTTTGCTTACAGCAAAAACACCAGCCAAATATGAACACATATTTTTAGGCCAAGTTTCAGTCGCTTTGCTATTCCAAATTATTTTTCTTCTCCAAAAAAAAAATATCTCAGATTGCACAAGCACAAATACAAAGGCATGGAGTTAAAACAGTCTATAGTTTTACCTTGCCTTACAGGAACCTAGAATTTGGAAATCACACGCTGAACTCTTATCAAACCGAATGATGTGTTTTGTGTGCAAAATCCTTCCCCTTTTCCCTCCACCCTCTAGGGCAGGCATAGACAAAATCGGCCCTCTAGATGTTTTGGGACTACAATTCCCATCATCCCTGACCACTGGTCCTGCTAGCTAGGGATCATGCGAGTTGTAGGCCAAAAACATCTGGAGGGCCGATTTTGCCTATGCCTGCTCTAGGGCATAGCCACATGTTAGAAGGGAGCAAATGAGCTTCCCAACACACCTACCTCTCATCATGCCAATGCAGGGCAGATTGAATTTGTAGAGGAGAAACTGCAAGGGAAGTAATCCCCTTCCTCAACCACCAGTTTCCTCCTTGAAATCCCCCATTAAAAAAAACACTATTCCCCCTCCCACACCTATAAGACAGACTCCAGGACCAGAATGCGGAGCAGACCAACTTGTGGGAGTGGCACTGCCAGAGAAGAACTCTGGAATGGCAGTCACAAAAAATGGATGAAGCATCCCCTCTGGGGCTCCTCCTCTGCAAGCCCCCCCCCCCATTCAATTCCAGGCTCTCCATTCACGTGATTTTGGAAACCTCTTTGCAGATATAGTTTGCTGCTCTGCCCTTCCTTTAAGTGCTCTCTTAAGACTGCAGCTTGAGCTTGTTGTTCTAAATTCTTGAATGTAGTGCAGACGGGTGCAGCTTGTCACCAGCCACGTCATGTAAAATCCAATAGCCAATAGAGGCTCAATAAACCCACTTTTGATCCCTGACCCAGAATACAAAAATTGGGTGGCAAGGGGTTAATCAAGCACCCAGGAGGTCACACTGCATAACTAAGGGGTTGCATTTAGCTCAGTTGGTTAGAGAATGGTGCAAGTGTGAATTAGCGCCACCTCTATGCATGCATGGAAACATGCAGAAACAATTCAAAAGGATGAACTATACATATGTCTGTCTTCCATCTTTCCTCTTAAAATCCCAACTTTCGTAAGCCTTTTTAAAAACTTTAAGGGCAATCAGTAAAGGAAAAGCTCTTCAGAAGGTCATCAGACAATGCTTTTGAACTGGAAGGCTCTCTCCTGTGTCCACCAAACTGCACATACCTGATCGAGATAAATACAGTACCTTGCATACCTGCGGGACCAAAGTCTTGCCTGGTGAGGAACACGGCATGGTCGTGGTATTCTGCGTGTTCTGGGTCCGAGCGCTGCTGAGAATGGGCCCAGCGGCAGACCTGCTCCAGGCTCCGAGACGGGTTCCCTCGCTCTATTAAACTAATCGACTACAGGAAATGAGGAAATGAGAAATTCATTCAGGATGAGTGAGCCTGGCCAGAATTTAAAGTGGGGCTTTATAAAGTCTGTTTCAGAAACTCTAGTTCAAAAATCATACTCTTGAGTCAGAAATATGGCATGAGGCTTGCAGCTGATTAGAAATTTGCCTTCTCATAATGAGTCAGCAGCTCAAAAATAAATGGAAACCTAAAAAGGCATTCTTCTGAGTGACAAAAGCCCGTAAAACAACTCAAAACATGCTGTTCCGTGGAGACAACTCCCTATAACATTTAGGCAGCTATCCTGTGGGCCGAATCCTGGAAGCCACAGCATTATCTCTCAACGTCAGTGCTATAGCTCTCGAAGCTGAGATGGGGAGATAAAAACTATCAGCCCGTGACGACCAAAAAGCAACTGACCATCGTCATTCCAGGGCTGCAGTGCAGAGGGGCAGTAACTGCTTTTTACTCAGGAAAGCCCTCAGCTGCAAATATGATGTGTGTGTGTTTTGAGTTCTTCATGGGTGATGCGTGTGCTGTAGGTGGCCTGTAGGTGTGATGAGTGAACAAGTGAGCAGATGTGTGTGCATGTGCACGAGTGTGCATGTGCACACGCATGAACTCATGTGCAAGTATGCATTGGCCACACCCATATGACCCTCAAAGAGGGGGCTGACCATCTATGCAGCCCTTGGCCTAAAAAGGACTGCCCAACCTTGACTTAGATGGATGAACAGAAAATGAAGGAGATCAGTTAAAAGACTGACAAGCAATCTCCACATTTATCAAGCCTTTCCCTAGCATCTGAGCCCTACGTTTGCTCAGTCTTCTCCTCTACTTTTTATTTTTAAGAATATGGATAACAGCCAACACATTAGATCTCCTATATGTGGCCTGAAGTGATAAGTTCCCCCAAGGCTACATCATGCCAGTTCTCTGAAAGTACAGATTTCCATTAAATCTGTTGTTGTTCTCTCTACTGCCCTCTCTCTACCACCTCCCCAATGCCCACAGTCTCTTATAATCCACCCAGCAGAGCAGGACTAGGGAAACTTTGGCCCTCCAGAAGTTGTTGGACTACATCTCCCATCATCCTTGACCACTGGCCATGCTGGATGAAGCTGATGGGTACTGCAGTCCAATAACACCTGTATGGCCAAAGGTTCAGCACCCATTATTTCTGGCATGAGGGATGTTAACACTTGGCCAATTAGAGAACAGCTAGTACAGAAAAACCATGTAAACTGGTTTGCAAACGTCTTACTTCCTCTGCCTAAAGCACAGGCCTGCACATATATTACATTAGAAAGAAAAGCTACTATTAACTTACCTGTCTGTATCCCACCATGATCATTCTAACCAGCACAATGTTGATGTGGACCCCCAATGATTCATCGTGGTAAATTTCATCTACCTAGGGAGCCAGGGGGAGGGGGAGGGAATACCAAAAAAAAGCCACAGGTTAAAAAGTATGCATCACGTTCTGAGTATGAAGCATGGTTCAACCCTCACCTTGTTCATCCTCAAAGCAGCACAGTGATTATTACTTACAACCTCAGCTCTACTTTTGTAGAAAGTAACCCCCATTTCTACCTGAGGACTTCAAGAGGAGTTGCTGTTTTGACCTGGTTTCCCTTGGTCTGAATCTAGTTGCAAGGAGGGTGACTGGGGCCTTTGTGAGAGAAACTAATAGAACAAATGAAGCAGCAGCAAAGAGGCCACCCTAGGCTGAAAAGATATTAAGCGTGTTTCCCTCTCAGGACACGGTAGCTTGGTATCTTGCTACGCAAAGACACATAAGGCTGCTTTGGCACATAAATACCAATAAAGAAATCACCCTATAATGGGCTCGTGTGGGAAGAAGGGCAGGTTATAAATTTATTTCTACTACTACTCATAATAATAATAATAATGGCTTATCCACCAATGGTGTCACGCAAAGTGGCATCTTGCACAGCAGAAAGGGTAATGTAGACCAGTGTTTCCCAAGCTTAGGTCTCCAGCTGTTTCTGGCCTACAGCTCCCATCACCCCTAGCTAGCAAGACCAGTGATTGAGGATGATGGGAATTGTAGTCCAAAAGCAGCTGGAGACACAAGCTTGGGACACACTGATGCAAATAAAGGGCGCATTGTGAAAATATTATCCAAGAAACATTTTATGCCTATGAGATACAAATAGGGCCCAGTCTTTATTCATTTACTTACACAAACACAAATTTTTGTATCACCTTCCAATAGAAACTTATGTGGTGGTTTACATCTTTCCACTTTTCACACTCACACACATGCAAACAAATTCCTGCCATGGATCCTGGATCAAATGCTGAATAAACACGGAATGACTTGTACGCCGTCTCACCAAAGCTTTTTCCTCTTTCTGCTTCTTTCACTGCCCTCCCTGCCTCTTCTTCCCTGACCTGATACACATTTAGTATGTCTCTATAGGAGTCCTCCATTTGTAAGCAGGAACCTAGCATGCGCTGTGGGAATTGCGAAGGGAGAAAGGTGAGAATAACCTTCCATTAACATCACTGGAAGAGGGAAAACCTGTTATATTAGAGCAGAGATAGTCAAGGCTGTGCCCTCCCCAAAGATTGTTGGATTCCAGCTCTGACCAGACCCATCCAGCATGGTCAATGGTCAGGGCTGATGTCTGGAGGACAACACATTGGCTACTCCCGAGTTGAAAGAGAACTTGCCCCGACTCCCCTTGCATTAAGAATTTGTGCAATAAAGATTAGCCCTCCCTGTGCTAGACTTCATTCCCTTGTTGCCTATCTCAAAACACCCATGAAAATGTTTCTGAAAGATTACAGGAGGCATTGCAGTCTTCTACAGAAAAGGAAGTCGAGATGTAGCAGGAGATAAATATTTAACAAACAAATACATTGGGGGGGAAATATTCTCAGTAGCAACGTGTAAACTTTGCTAATAATTTCCCCTCTTTTCCTGTTCTGCCCCTCAGCTACAGTGCCAGGTGCTGAAGGAACATCTTCTTCTACCATAAAAGACCAATCTTGAATAAACAAAATGTTCAAATAAAGACAGAAGGCTAGATGGTGGTGATGATATCACCCAGTGGAACTGAGAACAGCTGGATTTCCCACTAGGAGTTCATCAGCCATGAAACATCCTGCAAACATTCAGCAGATTCAAACGAATGGCCAAAGAGTGGGTGGAATTCATCCAGCTAAAAGGAAAATGTTCACATCCGGACACATTTGCACCTCACAGAGAAACTGGATGTCTACTAGTCGTTTTGGAGGGAAAAGTTGAAAGGAACATGAATCAGGTTCCCGAACCACTCCTCAACCCCATCATTGGTGGAGCGGATGAGAAAGAGGCTAAATCTTTCCCTCTCTTCTCACACACATGTATGCAAATTATTTCCCTACATCAATTATTACCCTATTGCCCTACTCTTTGCCACACAGAGGGGCACAGATCAGTTGCTCCTACAGTAATGCTGGCTAATCCACCCACCCCATAAAATGTTTCCATGTGAACTCCTCAAACCCCCATCCCCTTTCACCACTACTGGCCTTAAAAATGTTCTGGGGCCTACAACCATGGCAGAGGGGCAAGCAACACACACTGGGCAAATGAAGCCTACACTTCAGTTGCTGAGCACAGATTAGGCCCTCCTTAGACAACACTGAGGTAAAACACATGCCCTGTAGGACCTCCTCCCAGTCTGTTCCCTTAGCTGTCTAAATGCAAACAGACAACAGAGAGTTCTAAACTGGCCCAATTTAGTAGGGTTTTTTTCCTTCCAAGACTACATGATATCATTATTTACTACCATATCATATGTAAAACAGAAATGGGGTTTTCCATTTTTGGGAAAGGAGTCACGATTAATAACCAGCAAGCAAACAAGATGATTTAAATATTTTCCAAGTATCTGAGACAGAGATATTTTCCCTGTACACTATCATAATTTCCCAAACTATGAATAAATATGTGAACTGGACGCATTTTGATGGCTGAAAAAGTATTCACAAAGCGGAAACCCAGAACCACAATCTTCCACACCCCCTCAGTACGTATCAATATAAAAAAATCTAGAATAAAGTTCAGGCTCTAGCAGTCCTCTTGCTGCAAGGTCTTCCAAACCTAGGAAGGGCTCCATTTCCTATGCTACCTTAGCCAAACTCACCCATATCAAAGGAAGTGCCTCTGAGTACATAAATGGTGTAACAACCACTACCTCGGTACAATTCTGTAAGCTGTCCAGAGTGGCTGGGGTATAATAATAATAATAATAATAATAATAATAATGTAAAGGTACCCCTGCCCGTACGGGCCAGTCGTGTCCGACTCTAGGGTTGTGCGCCCATCTCACTTAAGAGGCCGGGGGCCAGCGCTGTCCGGAGACACTTCCAGGTCACGTGGCCAGCGTGACGAAGCTGCTCTGGCGAGCCAGACCATGCGCAGCACACGGAACCGCCGTTTACCTTCCCGCTATAAAGTGGTACCTATTTATCTACTTGCACTTAGGGGTGCTTTCAAACTGCTAGGTGGGCAGGAGCTGGCACCGAAAGACGGGAGCTCACCCCGCCGCAGGGATTCTAACCGCCGACCATGCGATCGGCAAGCCCTAGGCGCTGAGGTTTTACCCACAGCGCCACCCGCGTCCCTTGAATAATAATAATACAGATGCACAAATAATAATACAGATGCACAGATCTAGAGAAGATGATGCATATGCACTCCTTGCTTCCTAGAATGGAAAATGCATGGACAAAAAGGGTGCATGAGTCCCACTGCTGGATCACTGCATCAGAAACTGGGACTGCACACACTGTTCCTGCAAAAACTGTTCCTGGCACTGGACTGGGAACTGTGTGTGCAACTCCGAGCAGATGGCCAGCTGTATCGGCTGAGACAGGACCAATTGTGATTTGGAGGGAGGGACGGAATGTAGACTCTCCATCTCTTCTTCCTCCAAAGGACTAGTAATGACAAAGCTGGCATTAAGCAGCCAACTGCTGTCTGTACCTAGATGCTAACAGGTGCGCCTTAAAGCAGCATGCGGGTAGTTGACAGCTCTGCTGACATCTTTCTGGGTTAGGGTTGGAGGCTACAGCAGAAGATAGGCTGGAAGCAGTTCCTAAGGCATGTGAATCCTTCAGTAGCTACCCTGCAGCAGATTTTTGTCAAACTCCAGTTCCCATCAGCCCCAGCCATATGGCAAATTGTCCGGGAAGAGAAGAGTTGTAGTCTAGCAACATCAGAAGGGCATCGCATTGCCTACCCCTTGCACATAGTTATAGAGAGAGAGTTAAGATACTTAGCAATAGAAAGCGTTAGCACAATGAGTCTGGCTACAATCAGTAATAACTATTAGCAGAAAAAGCATACGAGCAACCTCCTTGCCTTTGAGATACAAATTTATTGTCTGTATGTGGAGCGGGAATGTCACTACCAAATATTTCACTAGCAGTGAGCATGCCAGCTCGTCTCTGAACCAGGCAGAGCTGACCTGAAGTGGCTTCAGCATGACTTTGGCAGCTCACAAACAAAACCTCAAGAAAATGGGTTGGCCTCAGCCCAAGCCAAGGAAAGGGGGAAAGAATGAGGACTGAATGAGAGGGAAGACAGGAGAGAGAGAGTGCAAAACTATGTGCCTTTAAACATTAAGCAAAGCAAACACAAGTCAACTGCCAAGTGGAAGAACTCTGTCTTGCTCAGAATTGTTAAGCAAATTTCTTTCCTCACCTCTCCAAGGGGTTAAGTCATTTGCTGTACATGCACACCATCTGAATTCAGCCTGAAGCGGAGTTGGATGGGCGAAACCAATCTATGCCTATTCTTCTCCCAGTTAATGGGAGAGATAGTTACGCGCAGAGAGAGAGAGATCGCAAAGTGTTCTGGAGTGTGGTCAAGCCAGCTCTAAGTGGAAGAGCAGAGCTGTTTGTGCTGGCAGCAACAAGTTGTACACTTGTTCCTATTCCACCCAGATGAGATTTTTTACTGCTTGGAGGGGAGATTTACCGTAATATATCTGCTGCTATATGTAGACGCAGGTAGCAAGGCAACATCTGCGTGTAACAAAGAACTGCTCCGTTCAAGCTTTTTTAAAACTTTTATTTTTAAAAGGGCCAGACAGCATGGAAACAGATGGCGTGGAAACATCACTCTTGGGGCTTTTGAGACAGTTTGTGCATCCAACGCTTCCAAGCTCCTGACAACGGAAGTGAGGTTTCTCAAAAGCAAGGGAAAGCCCTTTCTCATTCTAATTCTGAGTCACGGTTTCAGCAACATGAGAGAGAAACAAATTGATCTACACACAAAGAGGTGGACAGAGAACCACCAGTGAGTCTCCTAAGATTGTAGTCTGCCAAGGACCAAAAGGAAGTTTCGTTTCGGAGGCAAGGACTGGAACTTGCAGGTGGTCCTCAAGGAATGAAGTCATACCACTGATGGGTCTCTGCATTAGTCAAAATCCTCACATGGCATGTAGGTGTTGGGTAAGCAGGATCGGTGCAATGGACACACGGAAAGAGGGACATTAAGAAGGTCTCTAAGAGACATTCATCAGAAGGACACACCAATGTTATTAACTCCACCATCATCATGGGCACCGTCCATCTGTTCTGAAAATATGTTTCTAATCAGGTTCCACTGAGAAACAACGCTTAACATATAGATTAACTACCTAAATCATGATTACAGATTGCCTTCAAAGCAGGACAAGCTTGGTTTGAACTGGCTTTCTTATTAACCATGTTTAAGTTTCCTCTTGCAAAACAGCAAGTTGGAAGCCAGATATTGCTTGGAACCATGACAAGGGCAAATGGTTAAAACAATGGCATAGAATAAATATGGAGGGTTGTTTTTTGTTTTTGTTTTTTAAAAAATGGTTGAGGGTACTGCCAAATACTACCCCAGATGTGATCTAGCATTATCTGGGGGTTACTGGCCATTTGGGGTCCTGATTTTGACAAGGACTGTCTGGAAACTGCAGTGGGTCCCATCAAGTCCCCCTCTGCACCAGATCCCACCAGGTCTGGGCTGAGCATTGAGCAGGTGAAACAAGGGAGAAAACAGTACCTCTGAAAACAGTGCAACCAAGCATCAAAATGCAAATTACGTTAACTGTTAAAAACATGATAAAACATCAAACAAAAACCTCCCTGAACAGGACTGCCTTCAGATGTCTTCTAAAAGCCAGATAGTTGTTTATTTCCTTGACACCTGGTGGGAGGGCGTTCCACAGGGTGGGCACCACCACCAAGAAGGCCCTCTGCCTGGTTCCCTGATTCCTCAGTTTTCACAGTGAGGGAACCACCAGAAGGCCCCTGGAGCTAGACCTCAGTGTCCGGGCTGAACGATGGGGGTGGAGATGCTCCTTCAAGTATACTGGGCCAAGACCGTTTAGGGCTTTAAAGGTCAGCACCAACACTTTGAATTGTGCTCAGAAACATACTGGGAGCCAATGTAGGTCTTTCAGGATCAGTGTTATATGGTCACCAGTCTAGCTGCTCGGTTTAGGGCCCAATTTTCCTAGAAAGAGTAGCATATGTGGACGTGAGCTTTACCCCTTTCCTTCCCAACTGTGATCCTGGGGGTGGGGTGGGGTGTGGACCTTGATGAAAATTTCCCCTCACTTCAAAACACAGCAGTTGGATTTAGGGGGGAAAGCTAACTGCATTGGCACCAGTGGGGAGCAGGACTTTCATCAGGTTTGTGACTGGAGGGGGAGGAGATAAACCTGCCCTCTTTCTATGGTCCCAATGAAAATTGGAGGGGGTTGCACCTAGGTTAATGTTTTTATTTAAAAAAAACATATCCCACGGTATGGCTTTGAGCCACACAATTTATGTAATGTGTAGCTTAGTCCTGAGCGAATTACATCTGTGCAAAGATATTCAGACCTGTGAAAAGCTTCACGTGTTGTTTCACGGGGGCAATTCATCACTCCAAGGTAAGGGAAAACTTTGCGCTACATAAAGGGGGTAAAGTGGAGGTCACACAAGTAAGGTTGGAGGGGAAGTTGCACTCCAGAGCCAGCAAAACCGTTAATCCCCACTTGCAGTAAGTTGAGAAAGATTTGACTAATGAATCTACTTGGCACAAATCCTTCTAACGAACAGATTAAGCTCACACACAGAGAGAAAAGATATTTAAGCTTTAATAGCAGAATCCAACCAACAAAAATGTCACAAAGCCATCAAGATCTCCAACAACACTCGATAGCTAACCAGGAGAATTTTCTTTCAAATGGGGGGGGGGAATGAGATGCAATTTTTAAAAAAATTACAGTGGTACCTCGGGTTACAGACACTTCAGATTACAGACGCTTCAGGTTACAGACTCCACTAACCCTGAAATGGTACCTCGGGTTAAGAACTTTGCTTCAGGATGAGAACAGAAATCGCGCAGTGGCAGCAGCAGCGGGAGGCCCCATTAGCTAAAGTAGTACCTCAGGTTAAGAACAGTTTCGGGTTAAGAACGGACCTCCAGAACGAATTAAATTCTTAACCCGAGGTGCCACTGTAATAAATTAAAGGCAAATCATTTTGCTAGAACAGGGTAGAATGATGGGGGGAGGAAGAACTTAACTTATGCCACAGGAATAATAAAAAATAATAGCTCTTACGACTGAACAATGACTGACTGGGAAATGCTAAAAAGGTATTATGACTTACTCCCTTATTGAAAACTGTACTTCCCATTTCCTGAAGGTACTTGTAGCCCCGTGCTGCTGGGTCACTTTCAAAGATGGCTTCCATGCCACCAGAATGAAACATTCAGTTGTCAATTAGCCCTGGAAGCAAAGCCACTTGGATTGGCCAGAGTACTGGAATATTATGCAACCTTAAGCTGATTTAATAAAAGGAAGGTTGCCTGGCATACAAGCTACTTAGCTTACTTCATGGCACATTTCCTGACCCCAAGATGCTATTATGGGGGTTCCCATGAAGCATGTTGTGATGTGTCCCTGATGAAGTGAGGCTCCTACTTACAGTAAGTGACCTCTTCATCTCCAATTGACATGCAGTGACCCTTTTCCTTCTCTCTATTCCACTCTTGTATAGGCAATAAAAGTTATGTGCCTTGGGGAAGGATGAAGATAATTTTGGGAGAGTCTTGCAAATTGTTTCAATGAAACAATTAGCTAAATAAACAAAACTTGCAACCCAGCTGCTAAATCCATCGTTCTAATGTCCCTCTGCTTGCTACATAAAAGACACACGCACCAACCAACCCCCCCCCCAATCCAATTCTGTGGTTTTTTTCCTCCCTCTCCCTTTGGCAGCAGCAATTTCATCTCCACTGTAGCAGCCAATATCTGTTCCTTGCCAAACAAGGTCTTGTGCCACACATCACGCAGAGCATTCCCCGTCTGGAAAATATCGCTAGCTTTGGGATTAAGTTGCATTTTAACATAATGCGGTATGCTTTTAATCCAGGAGCTTCTTATTTTACCTAACCCGTCTCCTCTTAAACCAGTTCTAAATTCAGCTCTTTGCTGCTCCCCAGCTACCAGCACTTGCAGTGGGTGAAAATGGTTTGGGTAAAGGCATTTTGTTGCCTAAACAATGCACATTTGGTGTCAGAATGGGGGGGGGTGAGGTGGGAAACACCCCAAAAAGTTTGATGGGAGGCCTGCCTCTTTTTGCTGCCTGCTGTGCCTTTAAAAACATATATTCAACTTGTTTGGGTGGGGGAGAACAGTCTTTCCAGGATGGCCAGCTACCATTCCGTCTCCCACAATGCAGCAGTCAGCACATCTATATCAAAACATAGCAGCCATTGCCTTCTAGGAGGAAAAATGATGCCATCAATCTGTACACCGTGGTTCTCTTTCCTAGACAATCCAGAAAGCTTTAGCAAGGGTTGTGGTGGAAGGGAGATCCATCTCTGAGAAGAATGAATAGCAGAGTGGGGCGGAGATAACGCAAGACAGAAGCACATATATTTTACAGAATGAGGACAGAGAACAAGGAACAGTGCAACAAATGTTTGCAGGGGATTCTGTGATAAGCGATGTGATATTGTTTGATATGAAGGCCCAAGAACAAGGAGTCAGCTGTAACTGATGAACAGAAAACGTAATTGTGCACCCAGCTGTTTAGAAGAAGAAAAATCCAACTCTGGTTTGAGATCTCTTTTCTTCACATATGGTTCAAGAAAAAGTCAAAGTCTTGTTTTTATGGAAAGCAGGCCACAACTGCATTTGAAAGGCATAGGCAAAGTCTGGCCCACCAGGAGTTCGGGACTACAATTCCCATCATCCCTAGCTAACAGGACCAGTGGTCAGGGATGATGGGAATTGTAGTCCCAAACATCTGGAGGGCTGGAGTTTGCCTATGCCTGCTTTACACACATTGCTCCCTTAAGACCCCATAGGAAGATATCCAGTCCATACAATGGACTGAAAGGGATATCTTGGTGTATGTGCAGATGTGTGCAGAGGGGTGGGGCTATGTGTATGTTCTACAGCCTGAACATGATTGCTTCTCTGCAGTGAGGAAACATCTTTTGCAGAGAATCTGAGCTGGGCATGCTAAAATAAACCCACTAATCTGGGGCACAGAATTAATGATAACAGAGGAACAAATGGATGTCTCCAAAGATCCAGTATCACAAAGTTTACAGTGCAGCAGTAGTTTTCAAACAGTCCATCGTGGCACCCTGGGGTGCCTTGAATGATGGTCAGGGGTGCTGCGGGCAACATTGGCCTGGATCCCTCTTTCCTTCCATCCCTCCTCGGATGCCCTCTTGCATCGCTGCCTCCCCAAGGCTTGCTCAGCTGTTTGTTGCAGCAGCCCTGGCTACAAGCTCCCCAGGAGAATGGTGCCTCTGGGGCTGGTCAGAAGTTGCTTCCCAGACCCCTGTGGAGCAGTGGGAGGAGGCACCTGTCTTTGGGGCAGGGGTGGGGCAACTCAGAAACCAGAGGCAGCAGCTACAGCTGTCCAAAGGACTCTCAAGGAGGGGGAGAGAGAGGAGGCTGAGGGAACACTCCACAAGGGAGAGTGTTTGAAAAGGGGTAAGGAGCTGCCAGCTCTACAGGCAAGGGGTGACATAACTGGGGTCCTGAGCCCCACAGGGGTGCCGCAGAAAGAATGTAGTTGGTCAAGGGAGCCGTGGACCGAAAAGATTGAACACCTCTGCAGTACAAGATTGCTGTTTTTAATGTTTCTCATATTTATTTTTTAAAACCAACAGCGACTGCCATTTTAACTAACATCAGCCAAATCAAGCCAACAGCAGCGTAATATATTCTAAGTGCCTGCATGTAACATTCTTCCCATTGCTCTTGGATAGGTCTCTAAGCATCTCCAAAGCCAATGTTTGGGCCACAGTAGATAATCAGGCCACCTCATTAGTGCCAAATGGTAACTGTTACAGTTCTGAACCCAGCTCGTTGTTAGAATATGGTGGGAAGGATTTTCTCCCTCTAATCAGATTAAGGTGGCAGGAACTAGTGAGTCCTCCTCATGAAAAGCCAGCAGGCTCACAGACAGCTGCCTCAAGGGCCTCCCCCACCTTCCAGCCCCACGTAGAGGATCACTGGGGGAAAGAGCTTTGTCCTTTTTAAGTGCCGGGAGCTTAATATTTCTTAACCGTTCTGGCGGTTCCCTCACTGCGAGAAGGAACCAGGGAACCAGGCAGAGGGCCTTCTCGGTAGTGGCGCCCCGCCCTGTGGAATGCCCTCCCATCAGATGTCAAGGAAATAAACAACTATCTGACTTCAGAAGGCAGTCCTGTTTAGGGAAGTTTTTAATGTTTTGTGTTTTATCGTGTTTTTAATATTCTGTTGGGAGCTGCCCAGAGTGGCTGGGGAAACCCAGTCAGATGGGCGGGGTATAAATAAATTATTATTATTATTATTATTATTATTATTATTATTATTAATACCAGCAAGGAGAAGAGTAACCATTGGGACATGGAAGCAACCATCAATGACAAAAGCAGCACTGCAAGGTTGCAGATTAGGAATCTTTTGCACTTTCTATGAACGCAGTGGTTCTCAAACTTTTTCCCCTGGGCCACACTTTCAGAATAAAAATTTGCTCGTGCCACACCTAATCTTTTATCGATAAGGCGTACAAAATTGGAAAACAAAAAGAAACAACTCCTGTCAGTGCTTCATTTGTTAAAACATGAACACAACTACTTTATAATACGATCATGGGACATCCAGAAAGTATACTGTAAAACAATGCAGAGCTACATAAGAACATGAATCATTCCCTCTTGCTCTCATTTCGAGAAGATATCTATCCATATTCTGCAAATAAAATAAAACTTTGGCACTATCCTATACTACATTAGACTGGAATGTTTAAATGTTTCTTCGGTTGTCCTTGAATCTTCCCGCCACACTTGCCACCACTCTCTTTGAGAACCACTCCATAAACACAACAGATGAACAAAAATGTCCAGGGAACATGGGGAATCTACCTTACACCAAGTAAGACCATTGGGTCCAGCCAGCTCAGTACTGTCTACACCAATGGTCAGCGATTTTCCGGGATTTCAGACAAGGGACACTCCCAACGCTACCTGAAGAATATGGTAGGTTCTACCGCTAAAGTGCACCTCTTACTCCACCCCTTGGGCTTTGTAGCCAAAGAATGCAGAACTCCCACAAATTTCTACCCACTCTGTTCCAACACATGCTAAGGCTGTGCATATGAGTTGCTTTCAGGTTTGAGTTAGAATCTAAAAGAACCTGAATGTTCACGTGGCTAGAGAATCTCACTCGTCTTCTGGCTTTCCTTACCTCCTATGCACATTCACCAAATTCATGTCCCATCTAGGGTGCCCATGAATTCAATTTTGAGACTCCACACTTTTTTATAAGGCTGGCTTTTAAAAGCAGTTAACACATATGCACATACTGTCCATGGCCTCACATATTCAGCCATTTGATATTTTGTGTGCTCAGTCTTGTTGCGTATCATTGCATTCATGAAGGCTAGACACTTCCTTTGTGTCATTATTCTTTATAAAAGAACGCTTGGATCTTCAGAATTCTAGAAAGATGAATGAACGAATCAATTTATTACAGTCACAGACCAGAGATAAAATTCTAGGGAGATCCCAAAAACTGAACAAAATGTTTTTTGGGGAAATCTGTGCAATCAGTGTAATGTTTATGCTGCAAACAGCATAAGGCACTTTAAATGGTTTTCATAAAGTTCAATATATCTGAACGTTTACTTGGTTTACATTTCTTACAGTGCAGTCCTGCGCTTGTTTACTCAGGAGCAAGCTCTACTATGTTCAACAGTAGGTGTGTACAGTATTGCAGTCTTAAAACTGCGCTAACAGGAATACACTTTATTTTTAAAGCCAACTTTTTATATTATATCATCACAACAGCTTGAACTTAAATGATTCATTGACAGCCTAAGCTGCTAAAGAAACAAATATTGTTTACAATAATAAGAGGAAAATGAATCCATGGCAACACAGATGTACACGAGTATCCAGTCATCATCCTGTCCTAAATATAGACTTCATTTCCACATAAACAGCTCATGGGCAAAAGACACACTTCATCCCTATGTTGATAGAACTGTTTCAATATAGGGAACTTCCGTTTTCCATTAAGAAAACGCAATTAGGATACATCTTACAAACAACTGAAATAAGCTCAACCCTTTAAAATCTCAGGGCGTTTCCAGTTGAGGAAAACAGCTCAATTCCATTCAAGGCAGCCCTATATAAGAGTATATCCCATGCGGGATTTAGCCCTTGAGGGCTAAAATAATACACAGTGTATTGTATCTCAAACCTGTCAAAAGACTTCTGAGACAGACTTGGTTCTCCCTTAAGACAGCCTTGCTCTCTCTCTCTCCATTAACACTGTGGTCTCTCTACTCACCCAAGCTACCAGTTCATCAAATCCTTTCTTCTTACAATCTGACAAGAGCTTCGCCAAGGCTCTCCCTCTTCAGCCTTGCCTTGAACTAACAGGATTAGTGTTCATTTGTGTGGTCTTGGTCAGGCTGTGATTTATAGCTGCTGGCATGGCTCCCTTTTGTATTCCTTTCTGATGAACTCTGAACACCGCCTTGCTCCCCCGGGTCACCCACCCCACAAAAGCACAAGGGCATTCTGCTCAGCTGTGCATTCCTCTAACCTATTTCCGATTTAAGAAGGAAACAGGCTGCTTCTGAGTAGAGCTAACCTGCGGCGTCCTCCCATCTTCCACTCCACACGTCAAAGTCTCCTTCCTGCAATGGTTTCTTCCTCTGCACACAAGACTTCAGCATTTGCAGGACAATTTAAAGTATCCAAAGCGCACGAAATTTTTCCATCCCACAAGCCTCGTAAAAGACCAAATGATAAGGCCCCCTCCCTGCTGGCAACTAAAAATGCAAAATATCCAACAACACAGCAGCTAAAAGCAGTAATAAAACAAGTCACAAACCATCAGCAGTTGGTTTAACACCCCATTAATTCGGGCTCACTGTTCCAAACACCCATTAAAACAAAGGTTTCCTGCATTCTTTTCACAGCAAAGAATACCTCCTCCAGATAAGGAGGTTCACACCCTGGTTGCCACTCACCAACCTGCCCCTCTGCCAGCTGATCTAACTGTATCAAACAAAGGAAGAAACTTGAAGCTGTGGGAAAGAATACACAGAAGTATTATTGGGGAAGGGCCTTCACTCAGAGATAAGAGCACATACTGTGCATGCAAAACATTCTAGGTTCTATTCCCAAAATCTCCAAATAGAGCTGGGATAGATTACTATGAGAACCCTTCTACCAATCAATATGCACAGTACTGAGATAGATGGGCCAATGACCTGCCTCAGTATAAGGCAGCTGATCTTCCTATGTTCCTGTGCCGTGGATGACTTGAGAGTTAATACAGTGGTACCTCGCAAGACAAATGCCTTGCAAGACAAAAAACTCGCTAGACGAAAGTGTTTTTTGAGCTGCTTCGCAAGACGATTTTCCCTATGGGCTTGCTTCGCAAGACGGAAATATCTTGCAAGTTTGTTTCCTTTTTCTTAACACCGTTAATACAGTTGCGACTTGACTTCGAGGAGCAACTCATAGAACTACGGTGTGGTAGCCTTTTTTGAGGTTTTTAAAGACTTTGGTGATTTTTGAAGCTTTTCCAAAACTTTCCCGACACCGTGCTTCGCAAGACGAAAAAAATCACAAGACGACAAAACTCACGGAACGAATTAATTTCGTCTTGCGAGGCACCACTGTATTTGGAGCAGGGAGACCTCCTAGAAAAGTGTGGGAAGAAGCAACCCCTTGAGGTTAAGATGGTTGTTGGCTGTTAGTGTACTAAAAGAATCTGGTTCTCAGTTGTGTGGCATTTAAAAAATAGAAGGAAGTTGGCTTCCCACTTATTTAGAAAGATTTATAGACTGCTTAACCACAAATATCTCCCAGCGATGTACATAAGGTTGTAGGCAAAAGGCAGCTAAAAACCCACAAGACTTATTGAAAACAAATAGTTCTCTTACTCCCTGGGGAGTTTGCTTGCATCCCCTTAATTTTATTCCACCTCAGCCACATTTTGGGACTATTGTAACAGTATTGAGAAGAGAGCGAGACTTGTCAAATTGCGTGTGGGGTGGGGTGGGGGACTACTGCTTGGGAAGCGGTCTAGGCCAAAACACCTTTTGAAGTGAGAGGCCCCCCGAGTGGCATGGTGGCGCGGTGGGAGTCCAGTCTAAAGAGAAGCCTCTGAAATGTCACCAGCAATGATGGATAACTAGCAGACAAGGCCCTTAAATGGTGGGTGTTGCTCACCAAGTGCCGGGAGACTTGACAAGGGTACGAAAAGAAAGTGTCAGAACTAAAAGAAGGGACAAAGAGGATGGAGAGAAAAAGGGTCTGCCTGGAGGCTGGCGAAGGAAATAATGCTTTAGCAAGCTATTCGTTTTGCATCTTACCCACAGAGGTCATGTTTTCTCCTTTTTACCGATCTTTTCTTCTATCTCATTAAGCTCTCCAATGGGCCTTTTTCCATCTGAAAAGGCAGCTGCCTCTCTTCCACTCCTCCCCGCCCCCCGCCGCCCCCCCCCAAACCCAGCATCCTGAACATTCACAGAGTGAAAAGCGTTCCCTGCTGAGTATAAACCATGAAATGGGGTTGAAAATGAAGCTTTTGATTAAACCTGACAATTTCAAGCTTCTCATGCCGTCCCCTAGAAGCTGGGGGGAAATGACATCATGCATGACACCCAGTTGCACAGGAGGGGCAAGCACAAGGTCAGGGAGTGACGGAAACCCCTTCGCTTCTCTACAACTTGGGTTCGTTTAAGGAGCAAATTGGTGCACCTGAAAGGGGAAGGTTTCCAAAGCACCTCATTTAAAACATCAAGTTTATAGGGAGACGAGACGTCTTTGCATTTACGTTTTGCCATGTGACAAAGTTACTATTTTAATATTTTGATGGTTTTTCCTGTTTATGTTTTTTGCTATTGTTTTACTGGGTCTGTTTTACAAGTTCTTGAATGATTTTTAATGCAATGTATTGTTCTTTTTATGCTGCGCTTTGTGCCCTTAAAATGGTTGTAAGTCACTTGGAGGATCCTTTATAGGGCAAGCAACTAATAAATTGACTATTAATAATAATAATAATAATAATAATAATAGATGAACCAATAGCAAACAAACCATTCTGCACATGTAGAAGCACATCGTTTATGCAGAATAGTTCTAAAACACAGCTGGCGTATAAAATGGCGGATAAATCTGAGGGGCAAGTTAAGGTGAATGCTCGGGTCCCTAATACGACATGGAGTTCATCTCTCTGGCAAACATTAATTAAAAGCATCCATCCTAGCAGCACGATGACATCTGTTGTCATTGTTGATACTAGGATAGAACCTCTGCTCCAAAAAGGGAACCACTTCTTTTGAAATCACTCCAAAGCTGCTCTGGTATTTGCTGAAGTCTGACCTCTGGTAAAACTGCAAGCAAAACATCTTTTAGCTGGTCACTTCTGGCAAATTTCATTATATATAGCCAGAGTTTTAAATGGGGCTTCACTTCATCTGAAAGCTTTCACCCACGAAAACAGTAACTGAGGTGCCAGAAGGATCTGACGGTTGGTTACTACTAACTGTTGATCAGACCTTTTCATCAAGAGTCATGATTTCCTTTGTAGAGAATCTGAACAACTGCCTGCTTCAACAGCCACCTTCCCGCCCACCCAGCCCATGGAATCTGACAGGGAAATGTCCATTGAGCCAATCCAACTATCCTTCGCTTGGGTAGGCCCCAAACCTTCGAACACAACATCAAATGCCATTATAAGACATGAAGGTTTCACAATATGCACCATTACGGCCTCGCAGACTTCTAGGGTACATATGTGCACTCACACAGTGAAACTACATCATCCGATGCAAACAGCAGATACCCACACTCAGGTGACTAGTGGATATGCAGCCCTCCCTTCCAGTCCCCATCTGTAACAGTTAAAATAAAACAACAGAGAGCCTCACTATGTTCATGAGGGTGAGGACGTAATTCTGGACGTGTTCCTTCCCATGGAATCGCACAACGGAATCGTCCACGGCCAGCAGAATCTCTATGTTGTAGTCGTCTTTCTTGGCGTGGCGCCTCTTCCGATCTGCTTCGCCAACCTGCTCTTCAATTAGGTTCAGTGTGTTTGGGAGCTGACCTAGGCTAAAGCCTGGAACTAGGAAAGTTGAGAGAAAAGATAAAGGCGTTAAAAAGCTACTGCTGGCACAATTGTGAAATTTCAGTAGTTATTCTGGTCTCTAAAATCTATTATTCTGCAAAAAAACACACAAAAAACCAACCTCAAAACACATACACCACAAGCCAAAGCATGCAAGTTATCATCACACTGAAACATATATGCAGTTGGTCGATCTTAATTGCTGTGAGTCGAGCTATCACTATAATCTGTGTCTAAAGTACTGCCTTTGGGGACCAAGAATTGGATCAGAAAGCCTGAATGCTCCTTAAACAGGGAAAAGGTAGCCATGCTGGCCCATAAGAAAAAAATCCAAAATACATAGTAGGGCCAGACTATTTATTAGGTCAACCAAAATGTCAAATCTTGAACACTATTTTATGACATTTTGGTTGGCCTAAGAACAGGTACTGCCCTGCCATGTATACTGGAATTTACATTCCTTGATGGCCTTAGCTTACAGAATTCAACCATTGTCAGTTTTGAAAGGGCAGAGAAACAGCTAACAGCAGTTTTGCATTCTGAATCTGGACACAGAAAGAAGTGGAAAGACCTGAGAGCTTTGAGCTTGGGTATAGCAGATGGAAGGGGCACAGGGGTCCATGCTGCTGGTTGGGGCGCCTGGGGCAGGATTAGCAGTTGTGCTGTCAGCTTTTACTATGTTCTGCTTACATATTTGTAAATAAAAACCAGTTGTTAGACAAAGTAAATCTCCAGTACTCTCTCATGCAAAAGAACACTAAACCAGTACTTTCCCTAGACCTCTCTCCACCCAGAGGGAGTGCTTAAGAATACGAGTTGCATATGTTGGGATTTTATGGTTGCAGAATTCTGGAGCATTTTTGTCACACACACAAATAAATCTCTTTTGTGTATGTGCAACAACTTCTTGGTGACTGACAGAGGCAATCTGTGTTTCTCTTTGTCCTCCAGGAAAGAAGGAAGCTTCTCCCATCACAGTGTGTCAGTCCTGGGGAAAACTGTATCTGCTCAAAGATGCCAGGCCCTGAAGCTCTTAAAAGGAGAAGAAGCTATGCCTTTTTGCTTTCTATATGTAAGCATGTAGATTGATTGATTGATTGATTGATTGATTCATCCCCCAATACAAAAATAGCATACAATAAAAAAGTTAAAAATAGAAATCCTCAATAAATAAACAAGACTATAATCATAAAAAAAATCCAACAGCAGAAAAGACAGCAGTACAGTCAAACAACGGCTTTTGAACATCTCAGCTGCCAAACATTTTGGAAGCCGAACGCCGAAAACCCAGAAGTAAATGCTTCAGTTTTCAAACGTGCCTCGGAAGACGAATGACTTCCACTGAGCTACCACTGTATTTTTCTCAATTTTCTCTGTAAATTTGCAGACCGCCCTTTGATCCTTGGTTTTCAAATGTTTCCTAAGTCGACCGGACTTCCGGAATGGTTTACGTTCAAAAACTGAGGTTCCACTGTATATGAGCTACGATTCACAACCCACAAAAACAGAAAATATGCAAAGCAAAGAGCCGATAATATGAACATAGAGATAGTGGTTGCCTTTCTGGGTCTCCCAAAGCATCTGGAAGGTTTAAGAGGGAGAAACAGAGTCTCCATATAAGAAAGAGAAAATGTGTGTTTTCCCAGTAAGGGACAAAAGCAAGCTAATGAGCACTAGGCTTTTATTTGCAAGCAAGCAGGATTCCAGCTCTGCTTCCTGTGGAGAAATGGTGGGGGGAAATGGACAACATTTCAAACACCACCTTGGCAAGAGTCCCTCTTCAGGCATAATGTTTTTTCTGTCCTGGAACTGTTACGGAAGCAGATAGTGCCTCCGTGTCAAATCTATCTGGAAATGGATGTGTGGGAGCCATGAACACGGTGCTGGAAATGTGCATCCATCTCAACAGGAAGACTTACCTTCATTATGATGGTCCTTGTATGCTTCTGCTCTCTGTTTGACAGTAGACCTACGGTAGACCACATGAGCTCTCCCATTCTTTTCTTTCTCCCACTGTCCTCGCTCCAAGGGCTCAATAAAAAACTCGCCGCTGTCTGTACGAATCAGGCCTGCCTGGAGAGCCATGGAAGAAAACGGCAAAAGAAAAATAAGGAAGTGTGTATTGGTGATGTCAGCTTGAAAACCATGTTTGGCCCCTATGTATTCAGCAGTACTATTGACATATCCTGGAACCTCCCAACTTCTGGAGCGAAAATGCAGAACTTCAGTGATCGTGCAATTTATACTATTTGCAAGGCTGGACACCACAAATAGTTTCTCTTGCTGATAAAGGAGTAGCAGTGTTGTGATTTTCTTGCTGTATTAAACACTATAGCACTGGGAATTTGTGCATATTTCCATTAGAGACAAAACACAACAAATCACAAGCCAAGACATCAGGGGTCCGTAAATGCAAGCAAATATCCAGAATAGTAGAAATGGCATGTGGGGCGTAGCTGGTAACATAAACATTGTTTCAAGACACCAATATGTGCCATCAAAGGTGCTATTATGCACTTTAGAGTGACATTAATAACAACAGTAGTTCTGGTGCTATTAATAACTCCTGGTGATTGTGTGAACTTTCCTCATTTGTGCCATTGCAAGTTTTGCTGGATCCTCTATACTCTTTCCAACTAGTCTTCTTAACGTGCAACTTGGCAGAGAACCCATGTCAACCCCTCCATTTTCAAATGCCTCCCTGGGTTTTGGTTAATCACAGTTCTGATTTCAGTTCACATGCTACATTTTGAATGCTTCAGGAAGAATCTGCCTTAGAAATACAGAGCATCACACTGGTGAATACCCCCAGCCCAAGGAGTTGCTGCACGAAATCCTTGCGATACCAGATGTCTTTACTCTGAAATAAGTCTTGTGCTTCCAGTAAATCTGCATTGAGGCTGCCCATCAGTTTTATTCTGAAACTCCACCTGATTAAGGCTTTGGACAATCAAAAGGAAATCAAATCACACACTGCAGACTGACAAGATTTTGGCAAGGATGTTAATATTGACCTAGCGGTCACTGACTTTCCCTAATCACCACCCACTTTTTTCTTCATCTGTTGGCTATGAAAAAGCTCTTTTGTAACACACATCAGCGGTATCCTTTGAAGCTCTGCAACAATCCAGACTATTTTTTCAAGAAACATTTTTGTCCCTATTAAGCCAACAAACGCTTTGGGAATTCGAAACTAACACCGGCCATGTTACCATATTTGGTGGCCTCTAGTCCTGGGTTAATTTGTTGCCGCAGAGCTGCCAATACATGCCAGTCTGTCCACACTGGGAAATAAGGCCTGAGAACAATGGGTGATTTGCCTGCACTGCCAGAGAGTTGGAAGAGTCACTGTAGTGCTCTCACATTGACTGTGCAGTAATAAACTAATTTTGCACGTCAAGCAGGCAGCAGTTCATAGGAATGCACTGTAAAATCACTTACGTGAATATTAAATGCTCAGCGAGCTTTGCCTGGGGTAAACAGCTGGGCAGTGGAGGTTTATGTAGTACAGGTGGAATGTAATTATATTAAACCAGCCTTCACCCATCTGCCACCTTCCAGATGTTTTGGCTGCAGCTTGCACCAGCCCCAGCCAGCACGGTAACAGGTTGGCAAAAGTCAGTCTAGACTATACGCACAAGAAGGAATATTGGTACCATAAATGTACTGCAGCTAGGGTGAGCTCAGAATGCCTTATATGACCATCAGTTTCCCTTCTTCTATTTTTTACAGTTATAAACGTGTGCAAACTGGTTTCTATACTGTGCTAGCATCAATGGAGAGAGCTCAATATAGGCCTATCACCTACCACCACCTCCAAAACCTCCCCGCCTTTCAATAGTTTACCCATCCAAAGCAGCACTAGAGCTCCAAACTGCAGTAAGTGGGAACAAGGAATAGCTCCCAAGGGTTGCCATGTCTCCTCTTTTTCCATGACATGTCCTCTTTTTCAGGGGTGAAATTTCTGTCTGGGTGGATTTTTTTAACTTGCCAAAATATCTCTGGCTATACTTTCTGGATGAGACATAGGCACAACTGGTGGTTGAAGACTTACTTTCCTCTTCTCTTCTCCTGCCAGACCCCTCTCAACAATATATCAAAGCTTCTATAGCCTACATATAGTAGGGGTATTTAAAATAAGAGTCATCATAGCATCCTCTTTTTTGCTCTTCAAAATATGGCAACCCTAGATCTCCCCCTCCCTTCACTGTTTGCAAATCAAAAAGGAGTGCACCCTAGAGTGGAGGGAGAGAGAGACCAGATCTCCCTTGATCTCTTTTAGGACCTCCACACCCATGAATGCAGGAAGATTCAGGAGACAAAAGAAAGCTTTACTTTCACACATCACATGCTTAAACTACAGAAGCTGCTTTCACAAGATGGCCACAAAAGAGGAATAGACAAATCAGATAAGACTATCAATGGCTACTAACCATGGTGGTTGTGTTCCACCTCCACTGTCCAAGGCAGCACACCCCGGACACTGGCTGCTGGATATCACAAATAGAGAGAGTTTCCATTACCCTCACGCCCTGTTTGCAGACTTTCCAGAGGCATCTGGTTGGCCACTGTGAGAACAGAATGATGGACCAGATGGCCTCAACATGGCTCTTTCTGGGTTTTCCTTACTACATCTGGACACTGTCTCCATTGGCTAGTACAAATGACTTCCAAGTAACGGTGCATAAGGATAGCCAGCAGTGTACTGATCTGGTTGAACACTTTCTGGGACCTGATGAAGTTTGATCCCACGCTTGCTTACATGGAAGTAAGTTCCTTACAGATCTCAATTGGGTTTAAGCCCAAGTAAGTGTGCTCATGATTTGTTGCCTCGACATTGCCTGCTCCTTTGCATTTCTGCAAGAAAGGATCAAGCAACCCTTTCTTAAGACCTTTACATGGAATGCAGAGCGCAGGTTGCACGTTACACACTTGTCAGCTTCCTGGGATGACTGAAAAAACAGTCTAGACAATTGATTCTAATGATCTGCTCCCTACTGGGCAATCTATTTTTCCATGTTATAACGCTGCCTTTGAACAGATTAAGGTCACCGAACTGCAGGTGGCACAGGGCCTCTGCTAATGAGTGGACCAACGCAATGTTGGTCCTGAACCTAGAATCATACTTTTAGAAAACAACACACACACACAACCTCTAACCTTTGCAATCACCAAAGTATTCTTGCGAAGACCTGCCTCATTTGCACTCCCCTCTCCTGGGCTAGGAATAATAATTACTTCCAGGGAAAGGGCTCACACTGACCCCACTGTTCAAGCCACCCTGAGAAACAAAACTACATGTAAACCTTTTAAAAATTATGTATCTGCAAGAATGAAAGGGAGTGTTGAGGTCATGGGCTTGTGTACACTTTTTGCTGTGCTGTCCAGGAAAGAAAATTCAGTACAGAGCTATGAACGTGCATGGCTTTAAAAGAGGATTGGCAAAATTCACTGACAATCATTGGCCTCTAGTCTATTTTACCTCTACTATTGGAACAGGCAACCTGCTTCTACATTAGTTTATGGGAATCGCAAGGAGTGAGAATTGTTATTGAACTCCAGTTCTGCTTGTGAGTTTCTTCACTGTGACAATAGGATGCTGGACTAGACGGGCCTTTGGTCTGCACCAGCAGCAGCTCTTCCTATGTCATTAGGCTCCCAAAAATCATATTTAAATGACACATCTTGCAGTAGTTCTTTTTTAAAAAAGGGGGGGTTAAGCATTTTTAACTAGATATAGTGAAATTCTGATGTGCTTTCAATTATCTTATTAGTCAAATGTTCATTTCAGTTAGTTTGTTTTTAGTTCTAGCATTTTTAATTGTATATCACAGGTTCTTTTTTTGCTGTTGTGGCAGAAAAAAAGCAATTTTAAAACAAACAGGACAATGCATTAACAGTGTGATTGCCTGCGCAGCCTTCTCAGGAACAAGCATCACACAGTTCAATGAGGCCTACTCCCACATCACAAGGTCTATAGTGTCTATAGTGAAGTGTCCCAAACGTGGGTCTCCAGCTGCTGTTGGACTACAATGCCCATCACCCCTAGCTAGCAGGACCAGTGGTCTGGGATGATGGGAATTGTAGTCCAAAAATAGCTGGCGACCCAAGTTTGGGAAACCCTGGTCTATAGCTTCTTCTACTGCATATGTCAATGGCAAAGGGAGAAAGCCTAAGAAGTCACCACCCTGTCAACATAACAGAGCTTGTTCAGAAGACAAGCAACAACAGCAATTTGGGGGGGGGTGTTAAAAGTTGTTCTATTGTCTTATTTCTCCCTCCTTTTCGGAGGAGGGCTAAAGGTGCAGACATGGCTACGAAATGTCCCAAAATGATCCCATACAGGAGCCTAATCCCCCTTATTTTCTCTTCTCCCAATGGGCCTGGCACCAGCCTTTTCAGCCAAGCACGTTTCTCCGCTGGAATCTCATCAGCTGAGCAGCTCTGGAGTTGGGAGCCAGCCCCAAGCCAAAGAGAGACTGGCTTGGCAGAAGCTCCTGGCAGCCCCCAGCACGGGAGGCTAGTAGGCAATGCTTCAGTAGACCCTGCCAACCTCAGCACCTCCCTGCCAGCTATCTTGGTAAAGTTGGGTCTCAAACATTTTAGTTGGCTTGGAGGTGGTGAGCATATGACTGGACTCCAGCCTCTAGGCTGACGCGGGTTTTCTCAACATTACACAGTAAGATAAAAACCCTGAAGCGTTCTGTGTATAGTGGTACTTCTGGTTACATACTTAATTCGTTCCGGAGGTCCGTTCTTAACCTGAAACTGTTATTAACCTGAAGCACCACTTTAGCTAATGGGGCCTCCTGCCGCCACTGCACGATTTCTGTTCTCACCCTGAAGCAAAGTTCTTAACCTGAGGTACTATTTCTGGGTTAGCGGAGTCTGTAACCTGAAGCGTATGTAACCTGAAGCATATGTAACCCGAGGTACCACTGTACACACAAAGCCAGTCTAAATGTTCAGAAGCAGCATGTGGTGCAGAACTGCATGTCTGATGGGTCTCCATATAAAAGGTCAGGGGGTGGGGGCAGTGGCCTAGCATGGGTTGCTAGTGCCTGGGGCTGCGCGAAGTGGGCAGGAGGGAGGTACACATGTGCATTCAACTGCCTAATAACGTCCACGTCACCCAGGAGATCGCAGCCGCAGAGATAAGCAAAGAAGAGTTGTTCTGTTGTATGGAGAGGTCACTTCCTGGTTCGCATGGAGAGCCGTTTTCAATGGACCCCAGCGACGGAAGCATGCAGCTGAATTGAGGAAGCACCAGATGTTGAAATTTTGTGCCCCTAGCAATTTTGCGCCCAGGGCAACCATACCTTATTCTCTGGCTTACCAAATATCCAGCATCTGCATGGCCAGCAGATGGAAGTAAATATCTTCCCCCACTCATTCAAGACAGGGTAGGTCTTATTTTGAATACACTGAGCTGTATTAAACTACCCTGTTCTGCTAGCAGAAGCCAGCATGAGGGCTCCCCTGCTAACACAACAGGGCTTTCCCCCCTTGTGCACCCCCCAAAAAAAATCCACTCTAGGGGCTTGTGAGAACGCCCCCCCCCCGAACAATGTGTGGAGGGAGGCGAAATGCTTGCACTGTAGGATCAACCTCCTTAGCACCACATTGAATTCCACCCAGTACGACCAAAAATTAAGCACAGTTAGTCTTTGTTATTTCGGATTACATGCTTGATAATCCGCCCTGCCCCCCCCCCCCCCCCGGTTTCACCCACTCTATTACAAGTGTCTTTATTAGTCCATAGGCATAAGGGAAGGAAACTCTACTTCCTGAAGTTTGCATCTTAGACAGCTTCCATTACTACCCTACTTTACATAACTTTCACACTGTATGCCTCATTAATCCACCCCAACAACTAAGCAGAACTTAATTTTAATGCTGGCATTCATTTTCAAATTGGATCCAGCTCTAGATAAGTACATACTGAATCACAGGTCAGTGTGGCCCTGCCAAGGAAACATCAGAATGTGGGCAGGTCAACTTTAGGTGGAAACAGCTTTTGTGGTAAGCATTCCTATCCACACACACACACACACAAATGCTGGCCCTGACCCTCCCCAGGAACCAACAATTTATTTCAAGAATTGGCACCCCCATGGCCAACAAAAGACAATGTACAATGTACATATCACTGCTTTTCCTATGTGTTCATTGAATGATCTTTCAGCAGCTTTGGTATGTTTCATATTATGGAAATATTCCCCAGCCTCCTCCAGCACATTGCATTCTCCCTCTTTGACACCACAGCAGCAGCAAATCGTGGGACATTTCCTTCTTAACCAATTCCAACCGATCAGGACTCACGTGGCACGTGAGATGTCACAGGGCTAGGAAACCGAACAATGAGGCCAATGCTTTTCCACCTGCCACTGTCCTTCCATTCCTGATAGGGGAGTCTTGCAAAATTGGTGAACATTTCTACGCTCTTCATTGTCACTCCCTATTGCAGAAAGCGTTCCTGAAAACCAGAGTCCCATTTTGGCACATCCCAAGAGCGAATAGGATTGAGTTAAAACAGCCACACATACTGAACATTGTGTAAGGCAGTTATTAAGCAACACCTGTACCAGCAGCAGACACAGCAATGTTTGTAAAGGGCCGTGTGGAAGTTAACTGCAACCTCCTATCCCCATCCATTAATCAAACTCCAGCTAGTTCCCATTACACTGTAAATGGAATAATGACTGGTGTGCACTTTTCACTTACAATGAGAGTATTCTAAAAAAGCAAAAAGACCTCAGAGCAGCCCATTCAATTCCTGCCAGGGAAGTTGGGCACTTAACATTTTGTAAGTATGCCCATTTTAAAGAACGCTAGCTTTATTTGCATGTTTTGCCAGCTTATGCACAAATGAAAACAAGAAGAAACGAGGCCGGGAGACTCAACAGTATTCCTTCAGAGTGTTTCTCCAAGCTCGATCCAACACCAGGAATTCAGCAAGTTAGGTACGTAGGAAGTTGCCATATAAACTAAGACTAATGGTTCGTCTCTACACTGTCTGGGTCTCAGACGGGAATCTTTCTCAACTCCACCTGGAAATACTAGGGATTGAACTCAGGATCTTTTGTGTACAAAACATGCATTCTGGCACCAAGCCATGGTCCCCTCCCAGCTCTTATTTCCATCTTCCCGTCACCAGGGATGTCAGAATTCCAACAAAAATGGAAAAGTAAGCAGAGATTGTTGCAGTTCACACATTTCTCTGTGGTCAGGATTGAAAACCAGTCCAGTGAATAAAATCTGTATTCATTTATGTAGCTGCTGTTGTTTTTTGGTCTGCAAATGATACATAATATAATTATAGTTGTTGTTGTTTTACACTGTTTTGCTGTTTTCTTTACACTAAATGTTATATAGGAAATGTAAATAGCCACATAACTTATGCAACTTATGTGCAGCTAGATAAACAAGGTAGTATTTGGCAGAAAACAAACTATGGTGGAAAACAAAAGAATGCTGACTGCGATGAATACAGGTTGGAACAAAAATAATAGAATCATAAAGTGGGAAGGGATACCAAGAGTCATCTACTCCCACCCTCTGCAACACAGGAATCTCAACTAAAGCATCCATGATGTAGAATCATAGCCTTCCTAGATACTTGCCCATGACACTAGATGATCAAATGATAAATTGCCATTTCAGAGGCTTTCATCAGAGGTTAGAAGTGTTAAGAAGATGCAGTGATCAGGATCGCAGGACACTCCATGCACTCAGTAACAATGCTACCAGAGTTCAAAAATATCCAGTTTTGAATACAAGTTCCCTTTGCCCCAGAAAATAGTTTTCTGCTCATAAATTATGAACATTAATGCTCATGTGCCCGTTTTTGTGCCTCCATGGTCTACTTTCCTCTGAATTTAAGGGCTGTCACTAAAGTTGGTTAGGGAGGAGAAGATTTCCCCAATTCTGTCCCTCCTCTTTCCTTCCATCTGAATTTCAGTGTAGCTAAGAGAACACCTAAAACCAATTCTGGAATTTCACTTGCTTCACCTTGTTTGCACAGTCCCCTGTCACCACAGTGCACATATACTTCGATGAAACATTGCAAAACAAGAAATCGTATGATTGTCTGAAAAACATATTATCGTGTGGTTTTCCACTGGTACATCAATGAACTTCTGAGCAATGATAAAAACACCACACAAAAAGAATCTTGGAGCAATTACACATACCATCACATAAAGACTGATAAAAAGCACTGTGCATCAGTTAAGTATTGCAAGGGGAACAAAAAGAAACTCAAGGAACTAAAAGCTGCCACATACTGCACAAGCACCCTACCGTGTTCAAAATACTCATTCATTCATTCATTCATTCAAGGAAAAAATGGGAATTCCAAGTCTGCTGGTTTTTCCTTAGAAGCAAGACTGGGTGACTCAGAAAATTCTGGAGGATATTTGGATGAGATATTCAGAAGCATCCCCAGCATTTGTTGATTTCTGAAACAAAGAGTTCGACTTTGAGTATGCAGTTAAAAATAATAATACCCTGTCTCCTAATTTGTGATTTGAGCAATCAGTTTGGCTTGGAATTTCCTTGTTAGGAAAAAATAATAATGCATGCACCACAAGTGCAGGCACACACATGCAATCTCTCACAAAAGCCAAATTGGCTGTTACCAAAAAATTAAAAATAAAATAAAATAAACTCTAAGTCTGACTATTTGAAAAACACAAAACAAAACCCTTGCATCATGAACAGCAGACCAATGAACCGATTTAAAAGTTAACCTAACAAGGCAATCAATGTAAAAATATTGGCATGTGCCTTCCAGTTTGGTCTGCTGGTGCAGGTGACCTACAATAACCAATCATGCAGAGGGGGAAAGTCACCAGTATATAGCAGCCTGGTGGATTTTAAAATCCCAGCCTTTGCCTAGGCAATGTTTTGCCATTCCCCACCAACACTGAGAGAGCATGCATAGATCAGAAAAAAGTTGTGCATGTATAATTTGTGGGGGGTTGAAAAAAGAAAAGATCCAAGTGTTTGCCAATGCTGATCATAAATTGCCAGATCATTTCTAATTGAAGCTGAGGAGACTTTGCCCACAAGGGGGTGGGGTGGGAAGCAAAAGCCCTCTTCTGTGCCAACATCATCTACAATGGAACCAACACCAGAAGCAAAGCATGCAGTCACTTAGGGTCAGAAATCTCTTTAGAGGTGCTAATGAAGCTGTTATGTACTGAAGTTCTCACCCTGGGCCAGCAGGGGGATACTGTAGATAGTTATGCAAATGAAGGAACGAAAGTGACGTTCAGTGATTGGATAGTTTGTATGCAAATGAAGGATCAAAAGTGACATTCAGTGATTGGATAGCTTTAGAAAATGGCAACAGTTACATTGTTCTGGAGCTCTATATAAGCAGGCTGACTGAGCCCCTCAGCCGGTTCTGTTCCAGCTTACAAATAAAGAGCTGCCTTGGAAGAATCACTGTGTCGTCTGCTATGTCTACCCACAACTTAACAGAGGCCATGTGCAATCTGAAAAGTGCTCTCCTCACAAGCACTTGCACTATTCCAGTGGATCTCAGGGCACAACTTTCCACACGGCCAACTATTATGCCACTGAAGTGATTATGTCTGTTTCTGGAGGTTCTCAATTGCCAGTGTGTTTTGGACGCAATCCCAAAATAGAAGGTGACAACAAGGACCAGTGCAGCCTGTGATGCTCTCCAGGCTGAGCTCACTTTTCACTTGCCCTTCTAATATAATTTGCATGTGGGCCATTAAAAAGCCAATACTGCAATATTTTTCTTTTGTTCCCCCCCTCCTATCCTTAGGGAAGGAAATCAACCAAAAGCCTTTATGTTTGTAGTCTTATCGACACCAACGTTTCCCTTGTCCATGCCTAGGGAACGGGAGGTTTAGTCCTTCAAATACTGTAGATACTATCACTTGAGAGCCCAGTTCTTTCATCTTTCTCATTTGAACAACATGACTCTCATTTAGAAGTTTTTTTAAGCCAATGTGTGACACAGAAAAGTTGCTGTGACTGAGGATACTTTGGGAATACAGCTCAGTGATTCGTATAATTTGAAGCAGCTATCTGAGACGCTCAACAAGACAGGCACTGCCAGAATGAACTCAATTTTGTAACAGAAAGAGGCAGCACACACGGCTGTTTCATTTGGAAAACGTTAAAATAAACTTATCCAAACAAAACGGAGAGGTTTTATGGAATGAAATAACTGAATGGGTGGATGGGGGTGTTTCAAACCTCCATTGATAGTCTGTTTCGATACAAGACAGTGGAATCCACCAAGCTGGAAACGTGCCAGTCGTTTAATGAAAAGTCAGACAGTTTGGCACAGACATTACACATTGTGCCATGGATAAAATTACTGCCCTCTCTAGTGTTTCCTCAATAAATCAATAGGAGAGGAGGTAAAGAGGACGACACGCCAAACAGGACAGGAAATGCTGACAGTGAAATACGAGAAAACTGATAAAAACTGCTACTTGGAGATCATAAGGCAAGGAATCTCAGCTGCAAAAGAACAGTCCGCTGCAACTAATATTTCACTAAGATTTAAAAAGATCTGGAAGGGCACCAGCCAAGAAGAGAGGCAATTTCAGGCAGAGAGAGATAATTTATATTAAGCACTGCAAAAAAAAAAAAAAAACCATAGCAGTTTGCAACAAAAATTATCAAATGGCAGCAAACTCTGCCTGCAAATAAACCCACCCATCTGGGAAAGCCTGTAAAAATAAAAGTTTTCAGCATCAGACAAAATGCTTACAATGTTGGAGCCTGTCTAACTGCATTGGGCAGCATGATCCACTGAGCAGGGGGCACTTCAGTGAAGGGCCTAGTCCAAATCACTACAGAATGAATCTCTGGTATAAGTGGCGCAGCAAAGACAGTCCCCATAGACAACTACAGTGGACAGGTAGATACATAGGGATATCCTGGTCCCCAGTTTTTTAGGGCTTTATATGCTTAACAGAAAAACCTTAAATCTGGCTGGCTGGCATATTGGGAACTGGCAATAGTTCCCTCAGCACCAGCCCTACATGCTGACAGAAGGCAAAGCTGGCCACAAATTGGCTAAAAAAAAGGTAAACGACCCCTGACAGTTACCATAAGTCCAGTCACGAACAACTCTGGGGTTGCAGCGCTCATCTCACTTTACAGGCTGAGGAGCCGGCATTTCTCTGCAGAGTTTTTCCAGATCATGTGGCCAGCATGACTAAGCCGCTTCTGGCAAAACCAGAGCAGCACACTGTTTACCTTCCTGCCTATTTATCTACTTGCACTTTTTGGCGTGCTTTTGAACTGCTAGGTTGGCAGGAGCAGGGACCGAGCAACGGGAGCTCACCCCATCGTGGGGATTCGAACCGCCGACCTTCTGATCAGCAAGCCCAAGAGGCTCAGTGGTTTAGACCACAGCGCCACCCACCTCCCTCACAAATTGGATACAGCCCCAATAAGTGAGGTCACCAGAATACGTTTCTATGTCCCAGTGGTGAGGGACTGATGAGCTTCCCTCCCACCAGCAGATGGGAGAGCAATCAAACCTTCCTGGATGAAATTGCTAGGGTAGTGTGGTGATTAAGAACCTGGGGCTGAAATCACTTGATTTAGTTAATGTACCCAATTCAGTTAATGCATATTATTACTGCTCACAAGTTATGCTTCCCCCACTTTAAATGTCACTACACTCCTTCCAGTTAGCTTAGATACAACATTGTTATTTATCAGAAATATTTATCAACTCTAAGCTTCGTAATACCACCACAGAGGTATACAAAAAACAAAACAAAAAAGTTTTAAGCAAGTAAAAACAGGTAAAACAGTTCTTGAAGGATATGAGTTACTGCCCACAAATAAACTCCTCCTTCTGGAAATGTCTGGGGAAACAAAACAAAAAAACCTTTTCCTGCATCTGACAAAATATATAGAATGCAGGAGCCTGTTTAATGTCAGTCACAGGCATCTCAAGGTACAAATGGGGAAGTCAAACCCTGGAGAATTCTTGTACTGAGCTCAATTGTCTGACTTGGTTCCCCCTTTAAAATATGGCTACAATTCTAAACATGTAACAAGAATGCTATTCCCCACGCCGTCCCCCAAATACCACTTGCTTAGGCTATAGGAAATCACCATCTTTCCTTTCTGCAAATCATGGGGCAGGGGGGAGAGAACTCAGCAGACATCTGGACACTGAAATGAAATATAGGGGCCGCAAGGGAAATTTAGGGCTCTGGCCAGATGAAGACTCCTGGGCATCTCCTTAGTTTGCTTACTCACTTGCCTAGAAAATGACAAGCAGCTGGCTGAGGGGCATATGAGCTACAGCTGTAGTGCTGTTTGCAAAATGATACAAGACTTAGCTTTTCAACTCCATGGTAATTAGAACTTCTAATTTCCTAAACCACTTTGGAAAATCGGATCCCATGTTCATAATTACACAGTTGAGAAGGACAAAAGCATTCTGATGTAAGGGACTAAAAGCATCTGGAGGTGTTCATTCCTACATATCCTGCAATTATTGTTGGTTTTTCACCTGATCTTTTATCTTCAAAGGGACACTGCTCTGTCTTTTTACTTATTAAACACGCCGTGCCCCTGCAGGCTCAGGGTGAGTAAAACTAATTGGCAGGTTTAGGAAAGTCCACAGCAGACCAAGTCTGTATCTAGATCCTGGCTAGGCATGGATGAGTCCACCAAGGTCAGTTTCTCTTACGTTTCTCATTGCTCCAGTCTTACCTTCAACCTGTCTTGTCTTCTGCCCTCTTGTGTGGGTGAAAACTGTAACTAAAACACTTGGCTACTGCAGTGTGATAAACAAGGGGCAGGGCTGTGGTAAAGATGTGCCAACTTCAAGGCCTTTGAATTTGGGCTTAATTCTTGGAATTATTCTGCAGAAACAGAAATGACCTGCAGAAATATTACACAGGGGGCAACTATTTTTTTGTGCATGACTGCTGGCATTTGGGTCCTTTTGGACTGACAAGAGGGCAGAATGGGGGTGTAACTGGGGGGCAGAACGGGGTGGGGTATAAGGAGGGCAGGGCAGATTTATGTGTGGTCTGCTGACATGCACTGAGGCCAGGAACGGAACCCCACGCAAAACGTTCACCACCTGTATATACCAGAACTCACGACCCTCTTCATTGTAAACTGACCCATGCATTGGGATATAACTTCATCAATTATCCCATAGCCAGCTTGGACAGGCGTTTCTATCACCGAGCTATTCAGCTATGCCATCTCAGCTTTCAGAGGGGCAATATTATCAGATCCCTAAGTATAGCCTAACACTTAGTACACATAGGAATAACCTTAATACTCCACTTTATCTGTATTGCTCGTTATATTCTGATGCAACAAAACTCATATTGGGACTAGCAGAATATTGAGGGGGGATGTCTCATTTCCCCCCTTTTCTGAAAACAAAAATAATAACAATAAATGGTTAAATGTAAGGAGTACTGGGCTGTAGAGAGGACCTACAGGGAAGAGCCTTACTACAAGAAGCGGGGCAAAAGAAAATAATATATCAATTTCCAATTCAAATCCAAGATGGTATTTGGCATGCAAAACCGAGCCTCTGTACCCACTCCTTTGAATTGCCAGCAAGTATGGCACATAAGGCCATACAGTCTAACTTGAAATCAGTGATGACGAAGAAGCAGCTAACAAATAAATACCTTCAAAATTCTCATATATTTGGAAATGTGCATAAATAGGTTTGCTATTGACAAAGATTTCAATTAACATAGGATATTGTTACTAAAACCACAGGACTTGGTACATTGCACAGTGCGCTTGGTACACTTTAAGACCTCCACAGATGTTCAGTCAAACATGCAATGTTAGGATGGCACTGACTCGACCAACCCTGCATCTGTTTGTTCAGCATCAAAATTGCACAGAGACCTGCCAATTTTGCGGTATACAGACACTTCAAACTAGGGCTTCATGGGCTGTATGCCTACTGGTCTCATCTGTGACACTCAGTGTACAGGCACTGGGTGGACCTGATAGTAGTAGCCCAGGAAGGGCAAGCCTTCAGAACCCTAATATTCACTCTGTGTGTGTGTGTGTGTGTTTCAGTACAGAAGAAAATGGCATAGATGGCAACAGACCATTAAACACTTGAATATATTCTCTAAAAAAAACTTTGTTTAACGTAAAAGCTGAAACTTTCAGGATGCTGAATTATGTACCAAATATAGAATTCTGCACTTGTGTGATGCATTTACAAAGCTCCAGAATACATTTGAAACTAGCTCTGAGAGTGCAAGTGAACTTTAGAGTTGTTTTACTCCAGGCTTCCTCAACCTCGGCCCTCCAGATGTTTTTTGAGACTACAATTCCCAGCAACCCTGACCACTGGTCCTGCTAGCTAGGGATCATGGGAGTTGTAGGCCAAAAACATCTGGATGGCCGAAGTTGAGGAAGCCTGTTTTATTCCCAGCAGCAGCCCCTGCCCCATGGCAAACTAAGCTGGAAACTGAGAGTAGATTCAAGAACTGTTTGTGATATGGTACCCAGGGTTAGCGGTTGAATGAAGGTCCCACGAGCCATGAGGCCAAGCAGGTCTTTGAAACCTTGCCTGACTTAAATATTTAGGATTCTGCAGGTGACTTGGAAGCATTTTCCAAAGTTTGAAAATCAACTCAGAATCCCTGAAGTCATCATTGCCTGCAGGTGCCTCAACTGGTCCAGCAGTGGTTCATGCAGGCTACCATTCTCTTTAAAACAGCAGCTAGGCTGATGCTCACAAGAATAACCTAAAGCTGGCAGCATGTGCTTCCCTGAGATTTATCTATCAAGACCAATAGTTGCAGGTGAACCTATCCTATCCATTCTGCAAGACACTCTAGTTGGCAGAGTTACCTCTTAACCAAAAATAAAGTCCAGCCTGGCCAGTAGCAAATATTTTGTGCTGCGTAAGAGCCAGAAGTCTGATAAAACAAACAACAGTTCTTGAGTAAAGCTCTTTTGTGAAAAGCAGTGTTTCCCCTGAGCCCCACTAAGGCACAAGACTAGTGAGATAGCTTCATTGTGCTCTATTTCACCCACTGCTGAATGAGAAACTGAATTGTGTTCTTACTTTGCATCCTGCCAGCACAAGTGCTGCTGAAAAGCAGGGCTGCTGAAGATCAAAAGGAAAACATCGTGATGTCAGCAGAACAATGGGAATTTCCTTCACACCCACTTACCTGCTGGTATTCCCCTACCCTGATCTGCCAGATCTTCAAACAGGAAACAGAAATTTTTGAAATCTGAAGTTGGCAACTTTATCCCCTAATATCCGTAACAAATATAAGGTGAATTCCAGAATACACACTCATAGCAAAAAATTATTTGCAAGGCTCAGAGGGGCTTAAGTAACAAGGCAAAGACAGTCCCAAGGCTGGGGAAACAGGAGAAAGGGATTCATCTCTTCTGTGGACAAGAAGAAGAAGAGGAAGACTCAATCCGCTTTTGCTTACCAGTCCATCACAATTACTGATGGCCACTGCGGCACCTGGCATGCCCGAGACTCCTCCTGTAAAAGCACAGTCCTGTTGCAGCGGTTCCCGAAAGACTTCCCGGAAGTCCTCTTGCCACTCAGTTAATGCGCCAGGTGACACCAGCCGCCGGTTGGGCTTCAGGCGAAGATGCAGCTCCTTTCCAAAAACAGTAACATTGAAGTAGTACAAGCGATTCCCAGGCACGCCTTGGTTCAGAAAGGAGGTGCTGCGGGCAACCCTGCGCCGGCCTGGGCGAGGTGGAGGAGCGGGAGGGTGGGTGGCTTTGCCCCTCCTTGCTGCCACCGAGCCAGACACCACGTGCGAGAGGAACCGTCCCTGGCAATCTGCACTGAAGGGCACAATCACACCATATTCACTTAGCTTTCCAGACAGGAGCAGCTCTAGTGGAAATAAATACAGATAGACATACTTCAATACATTCAAAGCAGAGCGGGGCGGGGAAACCCCTTTTTCGTAAGCGTGTGTTTGAAAAGCCTTTGCTCCTCTCAAGATATGCACACCTGCGGCTCCAGCCTCACAGGGCTTAGTCCTGCAGTTAGCCATTCATTGGCCCATGGCAAGTCACACTACTTTCCAAGTGAGCCACCTGAAGGAACTATCACACAAGGCATCCAGTAACAACACAAAGGCAGAGCTGTATGAAGTCTGGACAAATGTATACAGAAAAATTCTACAACCAAAACAGACGAATTCTGGCACCCGAATAAATTAATGCACATAAGACACATTTGCAAAACCCATTTCATTGTTTTAAATTTATTCTGCAATTTCAAGTGTTTTGCATGACTTATGCTGGTTTTGCTAACCATGTGGGTGGATCAAGGAACTATGCAGGGCACTGAAGTCTTCTCCTGCCCAGTTCTTCCACCACCACCACCACACCAGACACAAGTTCCAGGAGGCATACTTTTTTTAAATCTAAACTTACAAGTGTGTTTTCACCAATCCAAAGAGTTAGAAATTTGTTTATAACACACACAGACAAAGGGGCTGTAGCCAACGAAGTTTGACTCAAGAGTAGCCCCACTGAAATTCAGGGGCCAACGTTTGTCACGTCCATTAATTGCAGTGTGTCTACTCAAAGTCTGACTACACTCCCCTATAAGAAACTTGTTTTATAAATTAAAGCTGAGAATCTCAGGAAATTCAGGTCTGTTCCTCATAAGTGCTTTATGCACTCTCCCCCTCCCCGTGCTCATGTGGAACTGCGGAACACAAACAGAATAGACACAGGTGCTGAGGGCTACATATCTGGGTGGGCTACTACATAATTGTGTTGGCCTGCAAAGGTTGTTGAGACATTTTACTTTTTACCTAGATCCATCCTTCACCCAGTTTTTTTATAGTGGTTCTTAAATTTAACTACAAACCTTCACACTTTTGTTTCAGAGTAAGCCAAAAGAATGATGGCTGCAAACATTGATATTTCTGGAGAGGGGCAGTTCTGTTAAGTGAGAAGCTATTGCTCTTCTTCCTCCACCTGCAAAACCTTTATGATTTCCCCCTCATAAACTGTAGCTCACAAAGCGTCAACTGGGCATGTTCAACACAGCAGAAGAAATTCACACTGACACGCCCTTATGCTTCTTGCATGCCCAGCTAACACCAAGCATCCAAAGTATTCATTGTGCAGTTTCCATGTCACACTGTTCCTCTAAAGTAGAGGATCCCGCTGAACTTAAAAAAAAAAAGTGTGTCAGCATTGTAACATACTTTGGCAAGGCTTGCAAAAGAATCCCATGTGTTAGCTCTGTATTCCAATTCCTCAACAGAGCTTAAACAGCACTGTTTTAGCTACTGCATCAATTGTCAAAATGAAGCTTTAAAAAAAAATGCACTATGGAGGTGAACAGCACTGCCATCTTAAAAAAACAAGAATCTTTGAAGTGATGCACTCCTATTCCTGCAAACTGTTTTGCCTTACTGACTGCCCATCTCTGCACCCTTCAAATGCAGCAAAGGTTTTAAAATGGAACCTGTTTAAAAATACTTGGGCAGCAAGGTAAATGGAAAGAACTCTCAGCCTACCCATCAAATGTCATCAGTCCAGCTGAAATCCATTAACCTGCCTTTGGAGGAAACATGCTTAGGATCAGAGGTATAAAGCTAATTTGGAAAACCTGACTCATAGAGCCAAAACACAGTGATAAGTTTAATTCTGTGTTTAGGGCTTGCCATTTGTTTCAGGGCTCCATCCCAACTTAATAAGGAACAGGGGTAGGGGCTGTGAGTTTTTAATTGGAGTTCTCCCTGTCCTGAAAAGAAAACATGTCGCTGGTAATATGGGAAATGCTGGATCTCCCCTTCCATTTTTTAAAAAATTGTTTTTATTAAAGAGTTTTGGGGGTTGTTGGTTCTGTTTTGTTTTAAGAAACAAAATCTTTAAAAGCCAGGAGTGGGGAAATCAGAGGCACCTGAAAATGGCTCCCAAAATCTGCCTTTCTTATCCTGTCCTAAGCAGGATTAGCCGATAGAGATCTCGAATGTCTAAGAGTCAACATCAAAGAGTAGTTTTTGTTTGGATTCCCCCCCCCCCCGCCCCCGGCCCACCTCTAAGGTACAGTCAAGGGCAGGGTACAGGGCAACGGGTGCCTGGAAATGTGAAACCTGGGTGTTTCGCAGCCTTTGGTGCAACACTTTGGCACTTGATCAGATGGACGACAGATGACCGGCCAAAAACAAAACAAAACGCCGAACTGCACTTCCGCGCGATAACCAAACCAGCATTTCCATCTCTCTCGGGCCACTGGGTCAGGCTGGCGAGAAGACGCATTTGCATTCATTCCTGGTCGCCGTTTCACGCGGCAGCAAGAACCACCGGCGCCCAGCGGAACTTGCTTGCCGGTGAGGATACAGAGACCGGGCGGGGGAGGGGGGGCGCGGAATCCTTCCACGTTTTGCCAGTCAGAAAGCCCTGAATTCAGCGAGCCCTGCTCTCCGGGAGCGGGCAGCGCTGCTGGATCGTGGACCGAGAGCGCGCCTCCCGGACCCTGCCTCCTGCTTCTTGCCCACCCAGGAAGCCCGCAGGCAGCGGGGCGCGAGCAAGGCGCCCAGAGAGATGCAAAGGCGCGCGAGGCGGGGCGGGCAGGTTGACCCGCTTCCCTCCCCCCCCCCGCCTCTCTCCTTTCCCCGCGCCGCGCGCTCCTTCCTACCTTGGGCTCTCGCTCCCCTGCCCGCGGCGAGCCAGCAGCTGAGCGGCACCAAGCAAGACAGCATCGCATAGAGAGGCGGGTAATCCATTTGCGGACGCTCGCCCGGCGCGCCACCCGGGGACTCCAGCGCCCGGCCAGCCCCACACAGCCGGGAGGTGGTGAGGAGGACGAGGAGGACGGACAGTTGCTCCTTCGGGTCGCCTGAGGGGCTGCTGCCGGGGAAGCCGCGCGCTCCCAGCCTGGCGCGCTCTCCCTTCTCCTACCTGCCTGCCGCCGCCGTCTCCGCCGCCTCCTGCTGGCCCGAGCAGGGCGCTCTGTCAGCGGGCGAGGCGCCGCTGCTCCTCCTCCTCCTCCTCCAGCCGGCCCCGTCTTCGCGCTGCGCCCGGCCCGGGACGAGTGCCCTCCATGCACTGCGACGGGGCAAGGCGCGCAGCGAGCGGCCGGCGGAGCGGAGGAGGCGCTTCCCGCTCTCGAGGCGGCTGCCAGCTGAGGAGAGCCGAGCCCGCGGGGGGGGGGCGGGGGCGGGGAGGGCCGGGACGACGGCGACGCCTCTGAGTGACAGGCGGGCCGCCGGCTGGAATGGGATACAAAGGGGAGGGGGCTGCACACAGCCCGCTCGCCGCCGCCGCCGCCGCCTCCTCTCCCGCGGGAGGCACTCGCAGAGTGGGGAGAGAGCGAGAGAGAGAGAGGACTTTCCATTGCACGTGGCGCTTCCAGCGCTGCGCCACTTGCCATTGGCCGGCCCCGGAGCCAAGCCCCGCCCCCACTTTCGGCGAGGGTCGTCCCATCCCCGCCTCAAGGGCTTTTGCCGATGGCACCCGAGAGAGGCGCAGCACGCGTGCACGTCGCCACGCAGCCTGGGCGCGAGACGCGCTTGCCCGTCTCCTGGCAGACTGGCGGGGCGAGGTCCCCACCTGCCCGCCTGGGAGGTTTGAAGCTGCTGCCAAGCTGGTCGCAGCCCCTCAGAAATGGGATCGGTCACCGTTTTCATAAACGGGCAGGGCGTTCCAAAGTTTCTGCCAGCCTGGGGATGCTAGGACTTCCTGCAAAAGTTACCGAAACCCTTTCAAGAGGGAGGGGTGTTGCAGTCATCTACGTCTCTGAGTTCCTTCAGTGCGTTTCTGTACATGTGCTACTCAGAAATAAGCACCGTTGAGTCCCAGGAAAAGATTTGTTTATGGCAGTTTCTGCTTCTAAAAAATCCATCAGGTGGCTTAAAATATAACAAACCTTTGGTGTTGTTGTTTTTTTTAAAAAAGCCAGTATGAGTCCACATAGGGTAGCGTCAGAAGTAATCGCTCCTCACAGTTGTTGCATCACTGCAGTCTGCTCTCCCTCTAGGATGCAAAGTATTTGGTGTTAGAATTCTCCTTGGGCTCATCCTCATCATGGCTAAAGTGGTTGGTAGCCATCTCAAACTTAATGGCCTTTTGAGCAATGCATATACAGTGGTACCTCGGGTTACATACGCTTCAGGTTACATACGCTTCAGGTTACAAACTCCGCTAACCCAGAAATATTACCTCAAGTTAAGAACTTTGCTTTAGGATGAGAAGAGAAATCATGCTCTGGCGGCGCAGCGGCAGCGGGAGGCCCCATTAGCTAAAGTGGTGCTTCAGGTTAAGAACAGTTCCAGGTTAAGAACGGACCTCCGGAACGAATTAAGCACTTAACCTGAGGTACCACTGTATGTCTAATACTCAAGTGGTGGACAGGGGTGTCAGGATCCGGCACATTGAGTGGACGAGACCAATAGCGGGTCTGGTTTTGGAATGGGGTGGGTTCGGTAACCCTGCTGGACGATCTTTGCTTAGAGATGGACGGATGGAATGTTATTTCTGCTGCTCTTACTGTACTTCTAACCAACTTATGGCAGTGTGGATCACAAAACACTCTTAAACAGTGTACTCTATTACATCCAGTTGTTGGTGCTTGGATCACAGCATGCAACGAATCGTGGAAAGACCATCTAACCTAATTTGCTGCTGATGCAGAAAACCCAGCGCTCAAACAGAAGTGATTGAAGGGAAAGTGAAATTACTGAAGGCCACATATAGCATACTATTAGAATGGGAGACAAAAGATGAAGAGGTAAAATCAGTTATGGTTAAATGGGCACAAGATGTAGGTCACAATATTATGATGGAGGATTGGGTTAAATTATGGAAAACTGACTTAAAATTTACAGATTGTTCACTATTGAAGGAGAACTACATGAAGATGATGTACAGATGGTATACAACACCAGTGCAGCTAGGGAAAATGTACAAAACTAGCTCAAACATATGTTGGAAGTGTAAGGAAAAGGAGGGAACATTTTATCATATGTGGTGGGATTGTAAAGTAATTAAAAAAAAATTGGGAAATGATATACAATGAACTGAAGAAAATGTTCCATGTAACATTTGTTAAAAAACCCGAGGCATTTTTGTTGGGGATTGTCGGGAAAGACCTGCCAAAAAAGTTGAAAAACATCTTCATGTATTTCTGGTAGCACAAGGATGGAAGACTGAAGAAATCCCAACTAAAGAATCATGGCAAGAAAAATTGATGGATTATGCAGAACTGGCAAAATTGACACATAAGCTATGGGACAAGGATAACTGTGACTTTAAGGATGAATGGGAACCTTTCACAAAGTATTTGAAGACGCAACAAAGTGAACTGGACTCCTTGGCAGGTTTTGAATAAACATCCACAATTTTTTACTGATAATAATTAGCTAAACAGTTGGAGGATCTATACAACTCTGTAACATGCAGAAAATAGCATTATTGGAGAAACCAAAGACTGGAACTGAGGGAAGTCGGGGGGTGGGGTGGGGGGATGGGTTTTGTGGGGGGTGGGGGAGGAAAGAATGGGAATAAGGATATGTTTTTGGAAAATATGTTTTGTTATAACTTTGAATAAAAAGAAATTAGAAAAAAGAAAAAAGAAAACCCAGTGCTAAAGCATCCCTAACATCCAGTCTTGCATGCCTCCTGCTGAAAACAGCAGCCATGCCTCTAGCTCTAACCCTTCTAATAGGTCTGTGCTGTGATATCAGGCACTCGGCATTGCACACACAGCAGCCTGCAGCAGCCACTGCCAGTGGTGTGCACAGGCAGGAAAACGCATACCCTTACGACATCAGAACAGATAGAATTACTACTAGACATTGCAGAAGGGAAGCTTAAAAGCACAGAGTTGCCATTTTCAGCAGCTTCTGGTCCAGACTGAGATTCTGAAAATGTATGCCGACTTCTGCTTCCCTGCCATTTATTTTCAGTTTGAAACATATAAGAACAAAGGGAGTGACAGCACCAAAAAAAGACCAGTGGCTTTTCGTTTGCAGGAAACTCACCCTTCCGAAGGCTGCACTGAACTTCCTATGACTTGGGAAAGAGGGATCAAAACACTTCTCTAAACTTGCCCTGGAGCAACATTGGCTTCCACAATGAACCCCAGATATTTATTTTTTTTAAAAAAAGAAACTTCCTCAAAATTGCTTTTAAACATCCTTTTTCTTTTATATGATGAAATCAATCTGCTGCCGATAAAAAAATAAACAAATGCATGCCCACACAAAATTCTGTATCCGATATGGAATGAGGCACTTTGTTGTACTTGTAAGTTACAGCGTATCTCAAGGTGCTAACCAGGCTTGCGAAACTATGGTAGTTAAGGTTGCAATCCTCTGGAAGCACATGGACCTGGGAATTTCAAGAGGGTGGGGTCCTAAGCATACTTACTAGGGGAAGAACCCCACCAAACTCAACAGGCAACTTAAGAGTTACATGCAGGAATTTTTTTGTATTGAATCCTACTGGAATCTTTTGCATATGCCAATAAAGGTCTGAGAATCTGAAGTCAGCTTAGCATTGTGCTGTAGTGCACATGCATGTTCGGTTGGGCTGCATCTTGGCTTCCTGCATTTTGCCCTCTCCCTGTGTGTTTGGATAGTTGCAAGGAAGGGAAATCCCCTCCCCTCTGCCTCAGTATGACAGAGATCTTCATTTTCATGTACAATACCGTGATGAGACTTTACAGCATCTGTTCTGCATGATAAGAATCACGAGCAGTAAAGCACAACCGCCATATGATCTTAAGTGCAAACAGCTGTCTGCACAGGAATCTCCAGGGGGGTCCCTGAAATCGCAGCAGGAATCTCACAGCGATTACTGAAACAAACACTAAAAAGGGGGGGGGTGGAGAGTGATATGGAACCCGGATGATCTGACATAAGGCTCATTGAGCACTCGAAATATCTGACCCACCCAGAGGGCATCTGTCCTTCAAAACTGAAGACTTTTAAGTGGCTGAGGTAGTTCCACAAGGCCTGGAGAGATGAAACTCAGTACACATCTTGTTCCAGACCACCTAGAAAGCTACAGAACAACAGTGTTACTAACCAAACATGGTAACAACTGAATGCTGCCCAGTTGGCTTTGACCTGCAGCAGGGCCTTCTTGGTGGTGTTTCCCTGTTTACAGAATGCCCTCCATGGTGAGGTGTGTGTGTCTTTCTCAGTACTAATGTTGAGGATGAAATTTTTAAACATTCCTGTTCAGCCAGGCATTAGGTGGCTGAAAGATGCCGTTCCTGGCAAGCCTGAGATTGTTTCCTCTTGTGCCAGCAGAGAGGAAACAGAAGCACACAGGGGCTGTGGAAGTCTTGTTGCCTTCCACACACTTGGATCAGTCTGGAGAGAATTTCCAGGCGTGTCCCGGAATGTGAATCTTTGTCTGCAGAACACAGACTTCCCCACACATATTTTGGTACACGCCCGTTTTAAGCACTGCTGCCATTCTCCAGGCTTACATATGCCTTTTGTCCTCAGCCCTTGACTCTGTTTATAGAAATATTGTTCTATAAATATTAAGCCCTTTCTCACCGAAATTTCTACAGATCACATGTTACGGCATTGCAGGAAGGTCTTGAATTTGGGACATCTGAACAAATGCATATCCCGAATGTCTGCTGTAATGCATTCTGCACATGCCACATTAAAAAAACCCAAAAAACCTAAGACCTATTTCAGAAATGTTGGCGAGAGTTCTAAAATAATTTTAATTGGTGCTTTTTTCAGCACCCTCATCTGTAAAATCC